ATTCATTATTGCGGTAGTCTTCGAGCCATTAGATTTTATATTAGTCTTCGGAAATATCATTTTTCAAGTAAAAATTAGCTTTACTGATGTTCGCTTTTTCAAATCGATTGATTAATAAATAAAAAACAATTTGAATAGAAAATATCCATATAGAGATTAATTACGCGTAAATTGTAATTATTTGTAAAATGTTATTATTTTTATTGTTTAATAAAAAGCGAATTATTTCGCTCTAACGAAAAGTAATTCTGACTTTTTATTTGACTAAGCCTTTTCCTTAGTTATAATTAGTTTGTAAGTAGATTATAATTAGATATAAGAAATATTTCTTCAATGTTCTGCTGCAGTTTCAAGGATCATACGGTAATTATATCTTAAATTTTATCAATAAATTTAATGATAAAGTAGAGTAATTAGATGTTAGCTTGACATTAATAGTTGTTTTTGAATTTTTCTTTTTAATTAACAGTCAAAATTAACTTAAAAAAATATAAAGAATAAAACATGATGAAATAAAAAATAGAGCAAAGTCGTTTTCCAATTAAAAATCAATTGTTTTAGCTCCGTGTCTTATTTTATTATTCCCGGTCTGACCAAAATTATTAATTTAGTACTACTTGATTAATTAATTAATTAATTAAATCATTTTATCTTAAATCAAAGCAACAGCTGTACTCGAAAGCAAATGAATAAATGATTAAATAAATATTAGACGGATAATTCTCAAAAATATTAATCACGTGCATGCGTCAAGTCTGACTTAAATGAAATATTACTATTATTAATTGAAGATACTACCCGGGTCATGCTCGAATATTTGCTCGATTTACCGTGTGACGAATAGTATATTACATACCTAGGCCAGTAAAATAAGAAAAGTCTCAGATCACATGTAATTGTTACTTTACTTTTTACTGGCCAAGGTGTGTATACTATTTTTCTGCTCGACGTAGCCGGAATGTGGCAACTTTGTTTAGCGCAGCGGCCAGAAAGTTGCCACTTTCCGGCCGGAGGGCAGAAAAACTATTTTATACTACTTGAATTGAACGAGGGCTTGAAAAAAATAACAACTCATTTTCTAAATAAATATTAATTTTTATTATAAAAATTATAAGTTTTATAAATCTAGAAAGCATTTCAATAAGTGAAAAAAGTCGACGAATTTGAAATTATTTTATATTTTTGTGCATAATTGTCATTTTAAATTATTTTCTTTTAACATAAAATTAAAACAGTTTGCACTTTTCGACAGGATTCATATTAGAGCCCACCGGACACTTGAAATCCTGGGAAAATTCTTGAATATTAGCAACCGTTCCGACAACTCTCAAATCAGCGGAAAGATATCTAATATTATTCCCACTAGACCTTTGTGGAAGAGAACACCATTGGCTGGCATAAGACAGCCAGAACAGCTGATTGTTGGAGTACAATGCCAATTCAGGAAGAACTGGATCCGTGCCATTTTGTTTGAGGTAGTCTTGATACGCTGAATATGCTACCCTGACTCCAATATTGTCAGCCAAGTTCTCATCAACGCTTTTACTTCCATTGATCTAGAATCATCAAAATATTAATTGAATCATTGATGAATATCTTCAGAAGATACCCGGTTTACCTTGACTCCGAGTTTTTCTGCAGCAAGATTGTATTTTTCAATGAAGCATTGAACTTTTTCTAGGTAAGTATTATTTGTAGTGTCGGTCCACCAGTTGTTGTTGAAGCCATTTTTGTCTAGATAACGATTTTTGGTGTCAAAAGCGTGCCCCATTTCATGGCCTATTATTGTACCAGCTCGCCCGTAGTTTATGTAATTAGGACGGTCGATATTGAAGAAGAAACCTTGAAGTACACCTGGTGATATTTCTGTAAGTAATTTATAATTTTTTTGTTACTTTTTTTTTATAAATAATCTAATTCACGTCTATTTTTTATAAAGTTTCTTAGCAACTAACTTAAAACACGCCTATTTTAGTCCGTTACCTATAGCAACCAACTTAAAACACGTCCACTTTAGCTCGTTACCTAGCAACCAACATAGAATACGCCCACTTTTTGCTCGTTGCCTAGCAACTATTAACTTAAACCACGCCTATTATTAATAGTTTCATAGCAACAAACTTAAACCCCGCCCAGCTTTTCTTCGTTACCTAGCAACTAACTTAAGACACGATAATTTTTATACGCATCTTAAGATTAGCAGCGAACATAAAACACTTTTTACTATTATTAGTTTCTTAGCAACAAACTTAAACTCCGCCTACTATTGCTAGTTTCATAGCAACTAAGCTAACTCCCGCCCATTTTGACTCGTTTCATAGCAACCCAATTAAACCCCACCCCATTTTTCCCGTTACCTAGCAACTATTTTTAGCAACAAGACTAAACTCCTCCCCGTGAACGTAAAACACTAAACAACCTACCTATAACATTTTTATTCGACAAATATCTCGCAGTATACGACGTAAACAACGGAATTTGATAATACGTGAATACATCCAGCAAATCTTGAAGATAAAACGGTTTCTTCACAATCCTTATTCTATTTCTCATCATAAACAGGTTCAAATTCTGATAATTCTTGAGATAATCCCCGGAAATCTCGAGACTCTTATAAAACTCCTCCAGAACATCATCTCCTAGCATATTCATATATCCCAGGATCTTTGTCGTGTATGTGACTTTATCACCAGCCTCCTTTCTCGTGCTTTCATCGAACCAATCAACGCCCTCAAGTACCTGGCCAAGCTTGTTCGCAATTTTATCAACAAACTCAGTAGCTTCAGACTTGGCATAAATATCACCGTGCTCGCGAATGAACACCGAGTAAATGCTGAAGGGCAAGAAGTGTTTAACAACTTCAACACAGTCTATCGGTGGCAAGGCGTAATTTGGAAGGACCTGGTGCCAGTAAGACCTTCTCAATCTACTGAGACTCGCGGACTTGATATAGTGAATAGACACCTGGACGACTTTCCAGACGGCGTAGTTAGCTTGGACCCTTTTGGGGGTCTGGGATAGTTCCTGCTCGAGCTTGGTGACGTAATTGGGGTTCTTCACTTGAACTGGAGTTGCCAAATCAATGACAAAGTCAGGAAACAACTGCTTGAACAGATCCATCCACTGAATCCCCGGCCATTTTGATTTTAACTCAGACAAAGTCATCAATGTTGGTGATTCCTTGGTGACTGATTCAGCGAGCCTCAGTTCGAAGGCCAGGGACTCCAACAGGTCTTCCCTGGACCTGATTTCTTCAGCTCCCAGTTCCTGGGCCACTTTGGTCATGAAGCTAGTGTAAGCCTCCAGCAATTCGTTGTAGCGCTTCGTTGACTTAAGAAGAGCTCCTGAGTATTCCAAGTCAGGCGGCGAGACCTTAAAGACAACCTTCAAGTCAGTTTTGAATTCTTTCTCAGAGATAGATCATATCACTTACCTGAATTAGAAGACTTCCGTCAAAGTTGTTCTGCAAAACTTCAGCATAAAGGAAGCTCAGCTTGAAGAATCCTTGGTTCTGAGCCTTGCTGATGAATTCCATCCAGTTAAAGTCACTCCGCCAGTTCCTCAACAGCACTGGCCAGTCTCCTAGAGCCGATACTATGCCTTCCAAGGTATCAAGGCTGTTAAGGCCGTGTCTGTTCTCTGAAATGATTATAATAAATTCCTGATCCTAATCTTAAAGTGTCTCAAGAGGTAGAAACTTACGGTTGTTGGTCTTGAAGTCCTGGCAGGAGTTAAAAAGGCTCCGGACGATCTTATAAGGCTTGAATTGGGTACTGGAGCTTAATATCTTGGTGATGGCTTCATCCAGTTGGCTCGCTTTGTCATTATTAAGCTTCTGGAAGTGGTTGGAGAATCTTACTCTTCTAGATGTCGCTAGGGAGCTGGCGTAGTTACCACAAGCGAATTGGTAGAAATTGTCGCAAGGATTCACTTTTGGGTCCATGTGCTTTAAAATATTGCTTCCTAAAGGGTGTTAAATCGTTAAATTTTATGATATAACTTGCTTTCATATTAGTTATAATTTTTTTGGTATTATAAATTTGATTTTTACCAAACTCCAGGTTGTTTGCGATGCAATTTGGAGTATCACATTTCCGCATTCCTAAAAAATATCTAAATTAAGTTAACGATCCTAAAAAATGCAAACTGTATTTACTTTCTGGTATACACATAAAGTAACCACCGTTGTTAGCTTTATCAGGTACGCAAGTAGTGTTATAATAATAACAACATGGTTGTGGAAAATCAGGATCACACTGTAATAATTACATTAATAATTATTTTTTATAAATGCAAGTTTTAAAGTTTCAAGTTTTGAAATATTTACCGGCATTGCATAATCTGCGCACGGCTTAGCGGAGTTAGTCCCAATAATTGGGTTAATTAATAGCGACAAAATGGCGAGAAGTTTAATTATTATTAAAAACACCATCTTTGATGATTATTGTTTGAAGACTATTTTAGAGATAAACAAGCTTAGCCGTTTTTAGAAGGCTACTTTTAGTAATACTATTAAATTTTAATATCTTTCTATTTTTAAAAGTTATTGTTTTTCATTAGATTAATCATATCCGTTGGAGGAGATACATAAAATTTATATTTATTTACATTTTTTGATAAATAATAATACCAAGAATTTTATTATTAATTGAAACTTTGAAATTATTCTTATAAATAATGACAATAATAATAATAATTTTTAAATTAATACAATTAATTATTTGCTTATAAAATTTTAATAATATATATCTATTATTATCAGAAATCAATTGTACATAAGTTATATATTATATAGATAATAACTTGGTAACATATATTTATTAATTTGTCATAGTTTAAAAACTTTTATTAGATATTAGATATTATTCTATAAAACCTTGAGTTCATTGATCGCTTTAAATTAAACTTTATTCGAATAAACTTAATAGTTTGTCAATTAAATTAAATTTAAATAGAAAAAATATATATATATTTTCTTCTTTCCAAGATAAATTAGTTCAAGTTCTTACTGCAAGAAGAACTGACATGTACCCAGCAGATGTTTTTATCAACTAAATAATTACAATTGTTTAATTAAATTATATTTATTTAGGATTAAGGATTTTGATTAGATTTTTAACTTACCTTAGCAAAAGTACTTAGCGAAAGGGGTGCAAATTTACCAGCAGTGACTACCAATGGCTTTTGAGCCCGAGTTATTATCATTATTATTTGATACATGTCTCTTGTTTCTAAATTAACCCACTCGGAATTGTAAGCCGCGTGGTAGATCTTTGTACTCTGAAATTTAAGTAACTTTGTAAAAATTAAATTTATGATTGATTATTTTTGATAGTTACACAGTCGATCAAATATTCTCCGGCTGCAGAGTACAAAAAAATAAGAAAGAGAGCGTAGATAAAGTAAGAAATTGAAAAACTCATTGTTGAAAATGAACCCTCTACATCTCCAGTCAAAACCTGATCAAAATTTGTAAGTTTTATTTTATATTATGCGGAAAATAATCAGTTATAGTACTTACAGATATCACATTGAACCCTTCAGTCGCAAAGATTATTGCAAAGGCTGTAAATTGTTCTAGAAGCATCATACAGAAGATATTCTCCATTCTTTCCACAAATCTGATAAAAAAAAAAAGTTATCTTTTTATTTAATTATTTTTAAAATTGAAATTCTGGCTAAAGGGCTAATTAGAGATATCGAAAAATTTATAGATAAGTTAATTAAAAAATTAACCATTAACATTTCCAACAAAAAAGGTCTCATAATTTGTTCATATTTTTGATATTTAACCCAAAAATAACAATTAAAATTTCCTTACAGGATAACTCTCTGATGAGCTCTGGCCACCAAATTCAAATCCTTTTGAAAGAGAACTTTATCAAGACACTTGGTGGCCTTGTCATAGTGATCGCATAAATTCTGGACCTTGACCTCCAAAACTTGTAATTGACCGCTGACATGAAGAATAAGCGCCCCAAAAACGCAGTCAATTGTCGTGTAAGAGCTACCAGCCACCAAACTAGATAAAAATTGACAAGTCGCTGTGATTTCAAAGGTAGGTGTCAAAGTTTCATCGTAAAAGTAGATAGTCTGCATAACTAGAGCCCGGGTTCCGTCGGTGAGGTTCGTCGGAGTCCTGGGGACAATTCCGGCGACCCACAGCGGCAAGTGGTGGATCAGTATCACCCAAATTACCAATATGTACGCGAAAATCGTGACGTTTCTCGCGACTGTTGCTGTTTTTAGCATTATATTACGCTCAAGTTCGCTTCTTGGCCTCGACCAGTCTTCGCTTATGTCGTCAAAGAGCTTTTGGACTTCTGTTGGTAATAAAATTTGATTATTTAATCCAAAAATCAACATTTTAATTTAAAATTGTCTCTATAAAAAGTCCGCAGAAATAAAATGAGATTTTGAATAAGAGATATCAATATTTTTTATATTTAACCCAAAAATTAAATTTTTTGACAACTAGCACAAATTTCACAATTTAAAACAAATTTGGTACCTTCTTCCTTGGACCACAGGACATTTAATTTAAAAACAGCGGTAAAAAACGGCAAGGTTATTATCAGGTTGTCTATTATAAGGGTCATATTGCCCCAAACCTTGACCAGCGCAAATAATCCTGGAATAAGAGTAAATATCGCGACAATTAGCGTTGCAATAGTAACTCTGATGCTTATCAGCGTCCTCAGCCAATTGGGTCTTCTGATATTAGGCCAGACTCCGCAGACTTTCAGGCCCAGCTTGGTCATTTCTATCGCCCACTCGTAATCTGTCCATTTAATTTATAGAATAATTATAATTATTAGAAGAAACTTTTTTAATTTTTTAACTCACCGCTAGAATTTTCCTCGCTGACTTTCATCACGGATTAATAGTTTAAGCATTACTGCACAAGATTATATCTTCTGGAGTGTTTCTTCAACTAGAAATACAATTTGTACGCATGCTCGATAATTAGATGCATTATTTATTGTTATTGTTTATGTATTCTATAGAAGGAAAAGTTTTAAAAAGTTTCCAATCAAAACTAGTCGATACTTATCTCTTCTTTCCATTAATTATTTATGTTTGAAGTTTTAATTTGTGTCATTAGGTTAGAACGAGATCTTGGTTATAATTTTCAATTAAATAATTATTATTTTCTTAACTATTGACCTTTTTTAAGATATAATAAGCTCATCCTGATGTTACACACTCATCAAGAGCTTTCATTTGAGTACCCACATGCATTTTTGTTATATTTTTCATATATTCATATATATATATATATATAAATATATAAAATATATGAAAAATTGATGTGGGTACTCAAATAAAAGCTCTTGATGAGTGTAATTTCGAGATGAGCTTATATCTTTAAAAATGTCAATGGTTCACAAGATACAAGGTCATTTCTTAATTATGAATCCCGGTCACAAAACTTTTGCTTATTCTCTTAATATAGATTATAAAATATAAATATTGGCTGGAAAATAATATAAACAATATTATGTACAGAAATGTTTTATTACTTAAAATTATGCACAATTGCAATCAATACAAATGTATCTGAAACAAGCAAGTTGGGGGATATCTCAGTAGATTTTATCCGCCGCCATTACAGCTGTTCCTAACCCCACTTTCGACATTAATAACTCATATCTCTACAATGGCGGCCAGAAGTCTCGTATTTATTGTTAATTCTTTATACTTTAATTTATTATTTTCCGTAATAGGGCGTAAAAATACATTTTATTGATGGTAGTCATTTATCTGTTACTCATTAGCTCATGGCATCTCTTTACTTTACTTTATTCAATTTACTTTAAGGAGTAAGTGTGTATAGCATTCAATAGTAGTAGGTAATATCATAATAAATCGTCACTGTTTTGATAATTAGTTATTAATGGCCTTCAATTATTCAATAAATTTATTTGAAGGGCACTAAAGTACTTTTTTTGTTTCTTGTATTTCAACAAGACTTTTTTTCTTTTTTTTTTTTTTTTTTTTCTTTTTAGTTTATAATTATTAAGATCTCCGATATTAATAAAGTCAAATCCAGATGATTTATTTTAAAAGACTGAATAAAATAATTATAATTATTCTTAAGATAAATAATTAATTATTACTAGTCATAAATAATTTTAATTTATTTTTTAGCCAATTATTATTTATAAATAGTAATTATTAATTATTAAGTATCTTTTTTTTTTTTTTTTAAAGCAATAATTAATTAGTCTTCATTAAAATAATCAGTCGTATTTATTAGTAATAAATTCGAAATTTTGTTCTTGTTATTTTGTTTGGTTAATTTGAGGTTAGATTTTTTTTTTTTTGGGATTACAAAAAAATATTCGGCTTAAGGCTGATTTTCATTGGCGCGATTTTTAAATTCATTTTCATGAATAAAAAATTTTTTTTAATTAATATAATTCAATCAAAATATTTTTAAAATAATTTTTAATCCTCTAATTAACCAAAAAAATAAATTTGCTCTTTCAAGATACCCAATGCATATTTCTGTCGTTTTTTTATTTTTAATTTTTATTAAGAAAAATTATAATAATTACTCAAATAGAAAACTTTAATAATTAATTTACTGACATAAATTAAACAATAATAATAATATTAATTAAATTAATAGTATAAACATGATGTTTGCTTGTTTGTGAAAAACGAAAAAAAAAAAAAAATTTTTTTTTTTTGGGAGTTTCGTTCGTTTTTTTTTTTTTTTTCAAAAATAAATACAATACGCTTTGACTATTTTAATAATAAAACTAATCTTAAAAATAAATTCGTATAAATTTAGTCACTGGTTTTATTTATCCAAAAAAAAATTAAATAAAAATTATAAAAATAAAGAGACGAATTAATATTTTTGTCAAATAATTTTTTTTTTACAAAAATATTAGGCACAGATTCACAATTTGGGGTTTTAATTTTTTATAAATTAAAATTTTTCTTTATTATCAATTTATTGATACAAAATACCTATAATATTTTTTTTCACAATTTATGTAATTAATATATAACAATTAATTATTTAAAATAATTAATTATACTTTTTTTTTCCAAAAATCATGCACAAATAAATATTAATTTATGCTTTAATAAACCCTCTCTTTATTTCAAAATTTTTATTACCAATTTAATTGGATTAAAAACTAAAAATGCCCTTGTATTAATTAATACCAATCTAATATCAACCAATAACTGCCGTAATAATAATTAATAATTAATAATTAAATAATAAACCACAAAAGTGAATATTAATAATAAAAACGAACGAAGAAAAAATTAAAGAAAAGGAAAAAAAAAAACAAACAAACAAACAGTCTTAACAATTGTAATTGTAATGGACTTAATTAATCCTCTCATTAATTATTAATTAATTAATAATAATCTTGTTTGAATTCGTCGCTTTTAAGAGTCAAGTCCGCGGTTAACCGTCGGGATTTATAAAGCCTATTATTAATGACGCTAAAGCTTTATTTCTCTCTCTATATTTAATTAATATCGATTAATTTTAAATCGACACATGTAATTGTAATGATTAATTGACTAATTTTAGTATTAATCGATTTAATTCCGGCTAATTAATCGGTTATTTGATCTTTTATTGATCGGGAGGATCAATAAAAGCATTAAATAGAAACCGATGTAGTTAATAGAACAATTAACCGATTAATATCAGGGATAATCAATCAACCGTGTTCTCAGGTTTGTTGTCAAGATTCTTGATTTAAATATACATCGTTTGGAATATATATATATATATCTATATATATATCTATATGGTGGACTTACGATATTTATAGTGAAGATAATGTAGAATCTGTCAAGTCATTACATTAGTGTATTTTTTTTGTTTTATTAATTGTAGTTGTCATTTCTTTTTATATTGATGGTGACTAACGAATCTTTAGATGTTTAGCCACTGGTACCGTTGACCAGGGTTTCCTTGGGCTTGTTATTTGTCGGGTTTCGCCAGTGGGAGTTGCGGCGGTCGCCTCCTCCTCGTTGTCCTTTTGGGCCTTGCGAAACGCTGTTGTTTGATATTATCATATCATTCGTCGGGACTCCGTCTTTTGACTGTTCGCCGGTTGAATTACCGCCTTAAATTTTAAATTAAATAATATTTTAATTTTGATTTATTTAATTTAAAAATTTTCTTTTAAAAATATTAATAATATCAAAAAATATTATAATAATTTATGCTGGTAACGTTAAAATTAAAAAAAAAAATTTTTTGAAATTTGAATTTTCCCGCGTTAGTGACGTAGTTCTGGATCCGGCGCGCGCAACGCCATCTTATAGAAAATTTAGGAACTGTTATTTAAAAAATTAATTAATTATCCTTAGACATTAATAATAAATAATAATTTTACTTATTTATTTATTAATTTTAATAAAAATCTATTTTTTCCCGCAAATTACCTTGTTGATTAAAATCAGGAGTTGAACTTCGCCTTCTTGTACGTATCAGTCTTCGCCGATTTCCTCGAGGTTTCCCTTCGACACTCGATACCGATTCTACATACGTATAACAAACAATATTGTGACCATATTCATTAATAAAAATAATAATAATAATAATAACTTAAAGTATTTCTTCCTTGTTAGTAACCTAGCTTTAATTTAAAAACTTTAACCAACAATTATCAAGCGTGCTGTTAGTGTAGCGAATTAATAAAAATTAACCGGAGATAATTAATAAAAATATCGGGTTAGATGGTCACAATAATTTTGTTACACATATTAATGCTATTAATACCAACTAAATTAATTTCTACAAGTTTAAAATATATTAATTACCTCGGTCGATGCTGGAGACGTCTTGGCTGTCCAGCACGGTGTCCTCGTCGTCAGTGGTACGACGCCGGTCGTCTCTTCTGTCACGTCGCGGCACTTGTGGTCTCATTTGTCGGTTTCCCATGTAACCGGAGTTACCCTGGTGTCCTCCCTGGTGATGACCTTGGTGACCTCCGCGGGGAGGAAGGTCACGGATACGATCATCGTCACGGTTGTCCATTTGGTCTCGTCGTGGTCCTGTAATTATTTATTATTCTAATTAATGTATATTATTAAGAAAATAAAGAGAATATTATCTCCAGAATACACATAATTAAGAAATAACCTTGTATCTTGTGAACTATTGACATTTTTAAAGATATAAGCTCATCCTGATGTTATATTCATCGAGACCTTTCATTTGAGTACCCACATCAATTTTTCATATATTTTTATACAATTGTATATATGTATATATATGAAAAATATATCAAAAATGCATGTAGGTACTCAAATGAAAGCTCTTGATGAGTGTAACATCGGGATGAGCTTATATCTTAAAAAATCTCAATAATTAAGAAATGACCTTGTATCTTGTAAACTATTGACATTTTTAAAGATATAAGCTCATTTTTACACTACACTCATCAAGACCTTTCATTTGAGTACCTACATCAATTTTTCATATATTTTATATATTTATATATACTATATATATATGTATATATGAAAAATATATGAAAAATGCATGTGGGTACTCAAATGAAAGCTCTTGATGAGTGTAACATCAGGATGAGCTTATATCTTTAAAAAAAGTTTGGAAAATCCAAAAGTGCACGCCTCATAATCTCATTTTTCACAATAAAATTGATTAAAATAAAATATAAAAACAAAATAATAAAAAACAGAAAACTCTGCTATGGTTTAGTGGCGCCATAACTCTAAGGTGAGGAAAAAAAATACTATAATAAAATGTATAGATAGATATACAAAAAAATCCACAGTCATATATTAGTTTTTTATAAATAATAATTTAACGACAGTGAATTGAACGCTCATATTAATTAGGAAAATCCTTCGTGTGTTACTTTAGATAATAAAAAAAAAAAAATCTTTTCCGGTACGATCATTTTTTCGACCAATTTCCCTGCCACATACACTCATCCATACGCGGACGTCCAAAAAAGATTATGTTTAATGTTATTATTTACTATGTTAAACAAAAAAATTGTTATTGAAATATATTTTATGTGCCTGACAAATTATTTGACTTGATATAAGTATACTCATATTAATCTGTAAGTGCGATATAAATAACAAAAAATCAATTTCAGTTTCGAGAAAACTGCTTTTTTTGAAATGTCGAGAGTAGAGCACAACCTCAACGCTTCGCTTATGAGGCGTGCAATATAAATATTTAAGACAGTACAGTGCAATTTAATAAAAGTCATTATTTAATAAAGCAAAATTTTATTATTTTACGTACCGGTATGTCTTGTGGGTGCGCGACCTCGACCACGTCCACGTGATTGGCCACCACGACCACCTCGACCACCACCACCCTCCTCAGGACCACGTCGTGTTGGTGGAAAACTCGGCATTGGTCCAGTTGTTGATCCGTGCATACTTCTTAGTTGTTGATCTATTTCTAATTTTTCTTGTCGTAATTGTTCGACTTCCTGATAATTAAATTATTTTTATTATTATTAATGTTATTATTGACTTACAAATTAAACTAAAATAAATAAAATAATTTAATACCTTTAAATGTGCTAAGTGATACTCCAGAAGTACTTTAGCGTTGGCAATACTTTCAACCGTACCGACAAACACAAAAGGTACCTGCCCCTCTTCACGTGGGATTGTCGGTTGTGGTTCATTGTCGCCTTCTATTTTAACCCGTACCTAAAAAAAATCAAAAAAAAAATTTTTAATAATTCCAATTGAATTTATTTATCCCCAATTGAAGAATATTAAAAAAAATGTAAATAAAAAATTGAAACAGAGAATTTAATTTGACAATAAAATGAAAAATTTTTCATTTTTAAAAAGTTAAAACAAAAAACTGGCCCGAGTGGTTGTGATTTAATTTTTAAATAATTTAATAAAGAGTTTTTTTTAAATTATTTTTTATTTAATTAATTACTTAATAATTATTTAGAATATAGGCACAAACATTAAAGGTAATATACTTACTCTATCAGTATGTACATTCCCACTCGAGCCAGATGTTATCTACCGAGAACAAACAATGCAACTATGTCATATAATAATAACAAAATATAAACCCCACAACAAAATTAAATAAAAAAAATAATATAATTTCTTATTAATTATTCTCATTACTATTTTTTTTTTTTTTTTTTTTTTTAACTAAGTTTGAAATAATTTAATTATTTTTTTAAATTTAATTTCTTTGTTTATGAAATTAGACTCACCACACCACTTTTGTCTACTATTTCTTGAATAATACGACCGTTTTTCCCGATTACTTTCCCGACGAGAACTCGCGGTACTTGGATTGATTCTTCACTGTACTCTAGTATCGAGCGTGCTTTCTTTACTGCTTCAAGGGTCTAAAAAAAGATAGATTTTTTATTTTATAAAGTTAAAATTTTAAGAAAAAAAATTAAATATTTTTTAAAATTAATATAAAAAAAATTTTTTTTAATTATGTAACATATATAATATATATTTCAGAGATATAAGCTCATCCCGATGTTATACTCATCGAGACCTTTTATTTGAGTACCCACATGCATTTTTTATATATTTTTGATATATACATATATAGTATATATATAAATATATGAAAAAATGATATGGGTACTCAAATGAAAGGTCTCGATGAGTGTAACATCAGGATGAGCTTATATCTTTAAAAATGTCAATAGTTCTCAAGATACAAGGTCATTTCTTAATCATGTATCTTGGACACAAAATTTGTCTCCTTCTTTTAGTAATATAGATTAATATATAAAATTTAAAAAAAAATTAACATTTTTAAATTAAAATTTATATTAAAAAAAATAAAATAATGAAATTTCATTTTATAATAATATTCTATTAATAAACTGCAACAAAAAAAAGTACATAAGTGAAACGTTTAATTGACGGGTGAAGTAAAGACTATTGAAAGATAAATCAATAACTGTATAAAAGTACTGAGTAGTCATACATATATTACATTTTAAATGAGGATTAATATTTACCTCGCCATAGATTTTAAATGTACAAGAATTTTCCTCCAACTCAATATTTGTAATTCCTTCAACCTTCCTTGCTTGCTGAATATTGGCCCCGTGAGCACCAATCGCCAGACCCATCAAATCTTCCCGTACATTAAATTCATCTGTATACCTAAAAATGCCAATTATTTTTTACCTCTCACGTGAATTATTAATTCATTAAAAATAACAAATTTAGATTTAATAATTAACTAGAGAAAGCGATTTTACAATACGTAATTCAATATCTGAAAAAAAATTATATTGATAAAATACATGCAGATTTAATTACATGCAATATGATATATTATTTATATATATATATTAAGTGACATAATATAAATATAAATATACAATAGTTCTAAGTATTATTTTTATTTATTATTTTTAAAATATATCAGTGTATCTCAATTTATTTGGCAGGCCAAGAGTCTTTATTTTATTTTATTTTCAAAGAAATATTTTTTTTAAGTCATGCACACTTGACTCGATTGTGTGTCATAAAATAATAATTTAGTGTAGACGAGAAATGAAAATAAATATTGACTAATTTTTTTCAATTAAAAAAAAATTATAAAAAAAAAAAATGAGCTGTGTCGCGAGAATTAATTTCTCACCTTGAATTATTAGCTCTTGATCCTGCCTCATAGTCTGAGACACGGTGATATATTAAGTTTGATGATCGAAATTTGCTGAAATGAGAATTATAAAAATGGGCGAAAAAAAGGAAGTACTAAAAAATATTTTTGAGTTAATTGCAGTGAGAAATTATTTTTTTTTGTTAAATTATGAACAGAAAAAATTGTTAGAGATGAAAAATTAATGATTTTTTTTTAGTTGTGGCCCAACTTACCCGCCTACTGTTTGTAATTTTGTTGATTCAAGCTGTCGGGCTGCTTCTTCTGTTCTTTTTAACAGCAACACCTTTAGTTTTAATAAAATTTTATTAGAAATATATTTTTAAATGTTTAATGAAATTAACAGACTTTAAAATTCATTTTAAAAATTTTATTTAAAAAATTAACTTAAAGAATTTTTATTAAAAAAATTTAATTGAAAAATTTCAATAAAAGAATTAATTTAAAGAATTTTAATAAAAAAATTGAAATTAAAAAATAAAATCTGTTAATTTCAATATTAAAAAAATAAAATAAAATAATTACTTTTTGACTTAAATTACGAAAATGCATTTCTTGAATCATACTACTGTGACGCCTGATATTTTCATTGCGAGAAATAGCCAACAAAATTCCACGATCCGGAAGGTACCGACATACTGCAGCTCCTATCGCGTGTTGAAATTTTTTGTGTGCATTGTCCATTTTGGCACTAGAAACAAAAATTAAAAAAAATTAATAAAGTAACCAATTAAAAATTAATGATTAAATAATATTTAAAATATGTTTACTATTCTCTCAGCTCTTCAGGTACTTCAATTTCTATTTTATGAAAGGTATTTTTGTCGATAGGCGGGTTTGTGTTTTTCATCCTTATACGCTCGACCGCGACTATTTCTGTATAACTGTACTCCCATCCCAAGTATTCGACAACTTGGAACCCGCCTTTTATCATCTGCAATTAAATTCACGGTTTTTTATTTTATTTTTTTCTTTTTTGAGAAGAACATCAACATTCTCTTCAGGGAAGAGGACAACAAGTACCTTAATTATGGCTTTCCACCATCCACAAGCTTCCTGATCATTAGCACGTGAGTAGACTTCTATTTCCTGGCTCTCCTGGAACTCGGGTTTTGGTCCATCTTTCATCGGTAAACGTACTTGAGCAAATGGAAACTTTGATTCGGGTTGCCAGCTTTAATAATTATTTTTTTTTTTAATAATATTTATTGTTAATAAATTATAATAAATATTTGTATCAATAATTTTTTAATATTAAATTTTAACAAAACTTTATATCAATAAATTTTATTAAAATTCTTTATAAATTAATTTTAATAATTTTTTTTAATTAAAAAATAACACTTAGAAATTTTTTATTAAAAAAAAATTTTTTTTCAAGTTTTTTAATTTAAATATCACTTTAGTAATTATTGTTTACAATTTTTAAAAATAATAAATAATTTTTCTTGGTACATACTCATTATCAAATGCCACCAGTACTTCATTTTCAAAAACATCCGTAACATAGGCCTGAAATAAAATAAAAAAAATAAATAAATTAGTATTGATATAAAATATATTTTTTTAATCAAAACAAATGACTGTCTATAAAATAATTCAATATAAATTTATAAAAAATTAAATTTTACCAATTTATAAATTAAAAAAAAATTATCAATTTTATTTATAAGAAAAAAAATTTTTTTAATTAAAAAAAAAAAATTATTTAAAATTAAAAAAAAAATCTTTAAAAAAAAAATTTGTTGAACAAAAAAAGTCGAGCCTCAGCGACGAAATCTCAGACAAAAAAATGGCCTGAAAAAAAGAATTTAAGTTGAGATTAAAATAAATAAAAAAAAAAATAACCCATAAATTAAAAATGATAAATAATGAAAATAAATAATAAATAAATAATAAAAATCACGCCCTGTCAAAGGGGGAAGACATGGCGTCGTAGAAGCCGCGCGTTGTAGTGGGCCGTCGAGGCTGGAGGGCTCGCTAAATAATACAAGTACTTGGGGAAAATAAACGATAATCACTATTGTCAATAATAAATAATTAGTAGGTGGATTTAGGATGTTAATATGAGTAATATATAAATACTTATCACACAATAGACCTTATAATACGCTCCGTTTTCGCCGCATACTTCGACTGCGAGATCCTCCATCTTGCTTATGTGTGTGACAGTATCAGTACAATGTATAATAACGCTAAAGCTTAAAGCTAGTTCTTCACACCAGTCACACTAAACTCAACCAAAAACTTCTTCTATCTCCAACAGCGGCACCAGCAACACCACTCCACAATGCCCACCCGATTATGTTTTCAGTTTATAGTTTATACTCGACACCAGCGACTGCGACTCATACAACAACTAATATCCCACGGCCAATCACATTTTTTTGTTTTAGTTTCATTTATTTTATTGGGTGGAAAAAATATTTTAAACGCAGCGCCTCTGGTGAGTTTTTTTTTAATTATTTTTTTTGGTGATCATTTTTTAAATTAATTTTTATTAAAAAAAATTTTTTTTAAAGAAATTGTTGTTTAATTTTATTAAAAAATTACTATTACATTTTTTTAAAAGAAATCAATGTTTATTTTTATTAAAAAAATTATTGTTAAATTTTTTTTTTAAAGAAATTATTGTTAATTTTTATTAAAAAAATTATTATTACATTTCTAGAATAATAATTATTATTAAAATAATTATTAACAACTTAAAATTTTGTTAAATTTATCTTTATTATTATTAAATAAATTATAGTACACTTGTTAATTATTTTATAAAATACATTTAACATTTTAAATTATTATTATTATTAATAATTATATAATTAAATGAAATTGAAATTATGAGCCATTTAATAATTATAAATGTAAAAATTAAATATTAAATATTTTTTTTTAATAATAAAAATTACTAAAATGCTTTTAAATTTCAGTGAAATAAAAAAAAAAAACAATTAATCTTCTCCAGCAGGAATAGCATCTTCTAATCTTTTGATAAATTTAACTCTAAGCTCGGTGATATTGTCATTTTTGAGCTGATCTTGAACGAACCAGGATGCGATTTCCATCTGGACCATTTCGCAAGCTCCGCGAAGGACTCCAGTAAGAATATTGCAGTACTTGAGATGAAGACAGTTGTCAGGGAGCTCGACGAATTCCGTCAGAGGATTGGACTCGAAGCAGAGGGAAAACTCGTCCCCGATGGCGCTCCAGTTGGTGATTGTCGGAGTGATGCCCAGGAAGAGCTTGAACCCGGATTGAATTTTCTCAGCGGTGTCGCGGAAGTCGTAGCACCTTCCGGAGCCGGTTCTAGCTAGGAAGTCTTCGATCAACCTCACGCCCATGTTGTAGCCCATTCTTTCTAGCTGCTTGTTCACGTCTTCTACATTTTCATAGTCTTTTAGCAGTTGGGCGACCAATGCTCCGTATGTTAAGGTAAATAATTCTGAATTCTAAATGTTTAAATTAAAATTTATTTTATTTTAATTTATTTATTGACATTTGATGATTATTAAAAATTTTTTTAAATTAATTATAAAGAATTAAAATTGCAAATTATTAAAAAAATGTTATTATAATTATTTATTTAAAGGAAACTCTAAAAATTATCAAATGTCAATTAATTTTTTAATATTATTCAAGTTACTGGATAAATAAATTTTATAATTGTTGTGTTTACTTACAATTTTTTTAGTATCAAGCCTAGCTCCAGTGCGAGATGACATTTTCATGAATTAATTTATATTAAAATAAATTTTATATATTTGTGATTATTGACAACAAAATAAATAAAGTGGTAAAGTATGGCGGCTGTGTACACCAGATCAAAATACTATCAGAATGATATAACTATTTAATTTCAGCGCCAGGTGTCGCTGTGTTATCAAAATTGGGGAGTTATTTTACTATCAATTGACAAGTGATACTTAAAAAATTTTTAAAATTTAATTTCTACTCAATTTTTAGATGTATCAAACTTCTTCAGTAGATAAAAAATTATCCACTGGATGATATTCTAAAAATAAATTCAAAAGGTAATTATAATAATGTTAAGAATAATTAATTTTATTTACCGGTAATAGGATTCATTTAAATAAATTGTAAAAAACTTGAAAAACTGTAAGTGCAATTTCTAAAAAATATTATTTTGTTCTAATTTAATTATTAAAAAAAAAAAACTAAAAATGTTGGCTAACTTTAGTATTATATAATTAAACGCCCTCTTAAGTTTAAAATTAAATCGTAAAAAGACACTTAAGCCGAAAAATAATTAATTATAATTGAACAAAACAATATTAAGCTTGCATTTTAAATCTGCGGCTTCCTATAAGATAGACCAAGAGATTAAAAAAAAAAAATTGAGTCTAAAAATATATATTTTAAAAAGTTATCGTGTTTGTCCCTTTATAAGAACTTGATAAGTCGTCTTTATAAGACATTAAAACCACTTTTTTATGTAAAAATACAAATTAATTGTTTTTTAATAACTTTAAGAATTAATTTATTGGAATTTCTTCTTAATGCAAATTATTAAATGTTTCTTTGTTCGGCAAATTATATAAAATGCGTAAAACGCAATTTATAAATTATTCTAGAGCTTGCTAGATGTCATCCTCAGTCCTTCTGCAATGTTAGGTTCTGCAAACCCTCAAATCAATACCATTGGATGCCTCGTGGTAGCGCCGTCGAGCGGTGCTGGGGTGGCTGCCCACCACAACCACCATCTCCATGTTTCTTCAACCCTCAGTTGCTCTCCGAGCCAGGGGCAGAATGCGAGCTTCTTTCTTTTTTTATCTCCGATTCTCTACTCTCTACTTTTGCAGAAAAACTAACAATATTTAACATCAATACTATTGATAATAAATAACAATCTATTATATTTAGAGGCAGTGTCATAGATCAGGTGCCTCAATTTGCAAAATTTGACTATCCATGTGGTGAACGATGAATTTTTCACCGTCAAATTGTCATTTTTTACTGCCACTTTCTATTGGGGAGGTGTGATGATTTTTTTTTATTAATTTTGATCACCAGAATTGAAATTATATAAAAGTTTGTGAATTAGATAATTTCTGGTGATTTAAAGGATTAATTTATTTAAAAAGTTTTATTAAATGTTCTCAATTCGGTGGTTAATGGATTCAAAAATTGGAATTGAGGATTTTATATTTGAATTAAGGTGAACAATGCATTTGCATTTTGAGAAGAATAACAATGCCAAGTGCGACTGTAATATTTTGTCCCTTAGTTGGATGGGAAAAGTTCCGGATGAGGAAGTACCTGAGGTGAGTTTAAAAAAAAAATGGATTTTTAGATGAAAATCAAGTTAGCTGACATTTCAAAATTTTTAGAAATTTTTTATCGAAAAAATTTCAATTAAACAATTTAAAAAAAAAAAAATATCACATGTGAAAAACTTGAAAATAACTATAAGTGCAATTTTTTAAAAATATCTTTTAGTTGTAATTTAATTAATTAAAAACTTTTAGACGTCTACTAATTTCAGTATCATATTTTTAGATTATTTTTTGGAATATTGCAAAACTTTTTTGGTCTGAATTTCAGGAAAGTTTTATTTATTTATAAACTTAGCTTTTATAAAATAATATATGATTCATGAGTTTTGTTATGTTTTACCGTGACATTTCTTGGACAGATTTAAGACCAGGAAGGAAGGGGAGGAGAGTTGGAAATAAAACGTTTCTAGGATTATAGGGTGTTGTGAGTTATTGTTTGGAGTTATTTTTTAGATGGGTTGATAAATAATCGGGGGAATGATGATCATTCAAATTTTGGGTAATTGATTGTTTTTACCTAATTTTTTATTGACGATATTATTTAATAATAATGGGGTCGATAAACTGCGGTAGTTATTGTCGTATATTATTTTTATAAAGAAGAAATTCTTTATTAATTTTAATATTGGGGATGTTAGGAGGCTTCAGTCTGAAAAATATATTAAAATTTAAGACAAATTAAATAAGTAGCTTCTAAAATAATATAGACAAAAATGCATTAAATTGATTTAGAGGATTGAAAGTTCAACTTTTGATGACAATTTTGATTAAAAATAATTGTTAGAAATAATTAAAAAAATAATGCATTGACTTTAGGTGTTAAAAAGTAATAAAAAAAAAAAAAGAAATCAAATATAAGGCTACTGTAGTAATAACATCAGTAATAAAATATTTTATTAGAATTATTCAAGACTATTCAAAGGTAGGATTGAAGAAAAAATAAATTTGTAAATTTAATATCAGGCAATATAACATAAAAGATCGGAAAGTGATGGCATAAAAAAAGTCGTATTAACATTAATATAAATTTTATGGTCTACTGAATCAGCAAGTACAACTTCTAAGACAATAAATATCGATTTTATGTAGTATACCGAATCTACTATAGCAATAAAGTTCCGAGGGAAATTTAAAGCTCGTGAATAATGAAATTTTCCGTCATGGATATCCATATATAAATGAATAAAAAAATAAGAAAATTTTGGGAGAAGAAATATTAATTTCAAGAGCAACTTCTCGGGTACTAGTGTATGGTATAGTTGTAATATCTAGTACCCTCTAGAGAAGATGAAGGATGAAGATCACGTCTGGTGTCTCAAGTGCAGCTTTCAAGCTTTATAATACCATTCGCATTTGTCAGCTATTTTCAATACAAACTCCTCACCTGGCTTTAGATATACAAACAAATATAATTTCATTTCGATTTTATGCCAAGTGTATTTTTTTTTTTTAATTATTAATAGAATTTTTTTTATTAAAATTATTCCATAGTTTATTTTTGATAAGAATTTAATAAAAGAAAATATGAAAATAAAGTTTTATTAAAAAAATTTTAATTAAAAAATTTCACATATAAAAAACTTAAAAAACTATAAGTGCAATTTTTTAGAAATATCTTTTTAGATGAAAATAAAGTTAGCCGACATCTAAAAGTTTTTATGATTTTTTTTTTTTTATTAAAAAATTATTAGAAAAAAATTAAAAAATAAATTTCATTTGTTAAAAACTTGATAAACTAAAAGTGCAATTTTTTAAAAATATTTTTTAGTTGTAATTTAATAAATTAAGCAAAATCAAAAATGTCGGCTAACTTTATTATTATTCTTTTTAGTTGTAATTTAAAATTAATAAAAAATTTTTAGCTAATTTCAGTGTCATAAAAATATAAAAATCAAGTTAGCCGACATTTCAAAATTTTTAGAAATTTTTTATTGAAAAAATTTTAATTAAAAAAAAATTATCACATGTAAAAAACCTAAAAAACTATACCCAAGTGCAATTTTTTAATTGTAATTTATATTATTTAAATAAAAAAAATCAAAAATTTTAAGCTGCTACTTCAGTGTGATAAAAAAAAATCGGTAATGTAGAAAACTATCCACCTCCCAACGCGGTTTTTTCTCATAATAATTCATAACCTAAAAGTTTTTGATACGCAAAACATCAACAACTCATTTATAGATTTACAAGTGGCAAAATTATTATTGGAAAAGTTTTTTTAGTGTAATTTTTCAAATAAAATAAAAACAATTATGTCGAATGTGATTGCTGAGGAAAGTTTAATTAAAAAATGTTCCTCACATTCAGAGACGCACTCGATTGTGTATGAGTGGACAATTGATGAAATATCCACATTTCTTAAATGTGATAAGAATCTAAATAAATTCAAAAAAATATGATCCAATAGTTTCATCGATATTTTCAACTGGTGGAAAAAATAATGATAAATGGTGCCTAGAACTTGCTATTGAAAAGGAAAACAATGAATCAGAAGAGTATTCATGGGTATCCTTACAATTAAAGCTATGTAATGTAAAAAATTATGTCCGGGCGAAATTTTTCTTCTTTTTTGTGAATTCTCAGAAGGAGAAAATAATGACTGACTTTGAGGCCTACCACCACCCAGTAGGAGATGAGTATTTAATACACTGTCGTTTCTCCAAGTTTCGGATTTCTAATAAGTTTGCCCGTTTCGTAAAAATAGACAATTTGTTCGAAAAAATCATTGAATGGTCTCAAAATGATGCTTTAACAATTGGTGTTGATTTGACTGTCTACGATGATTATGTACCAAGCGATCCTTCGCTAACTCCATTGAAAGCGCCCTCGCGGTCAATAGGTGACGACTTCAAAGACCTTATTGCTGCTAAGAAGAAATGCGATGTCAAAATTAAAGTTGGTACTGAAATATTTGACGCTCATAAGGTCATTTTAATCGCACAAAGTTGTGTATTCGATGGTATGTTTTCACACAACATGAAAGAGAGCGAAGAAAATGAAATAACTATTCCAGATGTTGATCCTGTAGTCTTCAAGAAAGTTTTTGATTACATCTACACAGACAAAGTTGAAGATCTGGACACTTTTGCTGAGGAATTATTAGAAGCGTCTGATAAGTATCAGCTTCTTGCGCTTAGAGAAATCTGTGAAGAGTCGCTATCAAGGACTATATCTGTTGAAAATTCCATCAGAAGATTGGTTCTAGCTGATCGTCATAATTCGGAAAGATTGGTGGATGTTGTTATCAAGTACGTAGTTTCCAAGTTGGCTAGTTTGAAAGATACTGAAGAATACAAAGCACTGGAAGAGTCTTATCCAGCTTTGTTTTTGGCTGTACTCAAGGAACACGTCAATAGATTTGGAATTGATAAATGGTATGTTGCTGTTATTACTTTGAAAGTAAAAAAATCAGCGTGTTTTTATTAATTAATCCTATTTTTCTTCGTTTCAGTACTGCTGTTTAAGGTTCATATTCTTCTTTGTTTGATTACATATATAGAAAGATATCAAGCTACAAAAAAGAGGGACCACGCAATATGCCTTGTTGTATTATTATTTTTATTATTTTATTTATATTATTAAGAGAATAAGAAAAGTCTCTAGATGTATAATTAAGAAATAGCTCTGTATCTCGTGAACTATTGACATTTTTAAAGATGTAACCTCATCTTGACATTATACTCATCGAGACCTTTCATTTGAGTACATATATATGTATATATCAAAAATGCATGTGGGTACTTAAATGAAAGCTCTTGATGAATGTAATGTCAAGATGAGCTTATATCTTTAAAAAGGTTAATAGTTTTCAAGATACAAGGTCATTTCTTAAATACTGCCATTTTTAAAGATATAAACTCATCTTGATGTAACGATCATCAAGAGCTTTTATTTGAGTACCCACATGCATTTTTGATCTATTTTTTATATATACTTATATATACTATATATAAATATATAAAATATATGAAAAAATGATGTGGGTACTCAAATGAAAGCTCTTGATGAGTGTAACATCGGGATGAGCTTATATCTATAAAAATGTCAATAGTAAAAAAAGTACAGTGCAATCTAACAATAGTCATTATTTCAAAAAGCAAAATATTAATTTTTGATAGTTTACAAGTCACGGCAGTCACATAGTGACTAGTTATTGTTACTTTATTATTTTTATTATGATTTAAATTTATTCATGAAGAACTGATGGCTTATATTTTTTATGAATTTTGTTATATAAATAAATAAATGTGGTAATTAAATTTTTAATAGTTCATTAAGATATGTAATTTTGTAATTTGTAATTGGATACGGCTGCAGAACTGTTTTTCTTGATGGCCAAAACACAGTGAAAAATTAAAATGTGATTCAGAGTGTACATTAAGAAGATAATTACTTCTATAAGAACATTTTTTTTTGATACAAGTACTTGTATTTTTAAATATTTCCAAGAATGTTTTTTTTTTTTTTTTTTTGGATGATAAATTTATTTTCAATCTAAGTAAAGCTATTTGTTTGTTTGCTTGTAATAATAGAAACAATTTGATATTTTTCTGTTAAAAAATCAAAATCAAAAAATCCTTGGATGGACATTAATTTTTACTTTTTCTTAGTGTACAATTACTTTTTGTGAGTAGCAATAAAATAAATCTACTATTTTACAAAGGTCATTTAAATGTTGAATTTTTTTGTATAACCTCTAACAGCGTCTTTGCGTAGTATTAATAATAAATAAATTAATAATTTTTCATCATAATCACGTCCAATAATTCAATTTAATTAATTAGTTAACGAGTATATGGATAATAATTCAATAGTTAAATTGTAAAAAAAAACGAAATTTAGACGGGAATCGAACCCGGTACTTTTGCAATCAAATAAATTGACATGAAAAAAATTTTTAAAAATGAATTTCTAGTCTCTAAATTGACCAGACAAATGAAATAGCAATTAAAATAACGAAATTAATGTCCCTTTTAAATATATAATATTATTTCCGGCGGTTGAATGCTTTCGATAAAGTTAATTATCATTTTCGTGTTTATTTGACTTTTGGGCTGGTCTTTCCTTTAATTCCCTCGTGTTTCTCATCTATTTCCATCTCTGTTTATATATAAGGGTGGATATATAGGTAATACTGAAGAGCAATGTCAATTTGAACTGTACTATAAATGTGGGTGCTGGACTTGCTCTGGAACAACCAGAGACAACCTATGCCTTGGCTAATTTACTGTCACTCGGGCGTTGCCAAGTACTGCTACGAGTAAGGGTGAATAAATATATAGGTATTTTTCCATTATACACATACATAAGGGATCGAGTGCTTGGTAATTTTTAAATAACCTTTCTAAGAGCCATTTAATCCTAAGAATTTTATTATTTTTATTTCTTAGCTTTAAAATTCAAATTGTGGACAAAGAATTGGAGATAAAAAAATAATCAAGAGACTTTTCTTATAGGAAATTAAATATCCTACAAAAAATCCTTATCACTTTTTCTAAATCTCTAATCCTTTGTCCAGAATTCAAGATCAAAGGTCACAAAAGACACCAAAAAACGCTTTTAATTTAATTATTTTTTAGTCTATCCGTTTTTTGGCTTTCAGCCGAGCTTCAATAGACGTTTTATTTCTAATAACTCCATTTTTACAGTACTGACGTATTGATTAAGCCATAATAACAATAAAAACAAGGAAGAACCTTACCTTACACTAATATGAATAACCTAACAGACTATTGATTAAACTTAGGAAAAGTAACGGACTTTATTGAAAGATTTATTCATCCTTAGAATTAACATAGACTAATCTTATTCAGTTTCGATCCTGGCCCCCGTTAGCAGTGTCGAAGGTCAATAATAAACAACCAATGAATTAATTTAATTAAATAAGATTGTTTACATTAATATCAACAATAATTGTTGAAAAGATTTTTAGAGTCGGATAAATTGTAAATTTACGAGGGTAAAATAGAGAATAAATGGAAGCGATGCACCTGAGGCACAACCTGCAACCCCTAATTTTAGTGGCACTTGACTAGCCTCGGGCATTGTGTTTCTACCAACCGACAACCCTACATAAACACGCTTACTCCTATCAACCCTATCCTTTGCTGTAAACTCTTTTGTGTGTCCGAAGTAGTCGCTAAAATTTATTCTTTCCACTCAAGATTTGATTTCTGTTTCAAATTTCGCAGTTTTTTACAATTTCAACCTCCACGAAAATCATAAAAAGAGTCTCAAGCTGAACTTTATAAAAAATTTAATACTTTTTACAATTTCTCAAAGCTGCGCAATAGTTTCTTTGAGCGCAAAAGTTGGGTAAACAAAATCTTGGTAATAATAAAAGAATTTCTTTATCTAGAAGTACTTATAAGAGTGTGAAAGCAGGTTTAAGTGGAAGCGATCCCACTTATTGCCTTTTCATGTTCAGAATTCACAATCAAATACAATATCACCCTCAACTCTTACTCTTTAGGCTTAAAAAACTCTATTCAATAATATGACACTCATTCAATCTTTTAAATCCAAGTTTATTGATTTTTTTTTAAATGAAAATGTTAAAAAACTCTGCCATAAAAATTAATATCTAAAAAATAGCTTGATTTTCTGTAAAAAAATTCTCTCTATTAATTTAAATGATAAAAAAAAAAAACGATGAAACATCCTTACGTATTCATCAGAATTATTAAATTAGGTCGAGAGTAGGTTCAAGCATTAGCTCGTCAGAATTTAATTAATAGAAAAAGATCCCGAGATAGAAATTTTAGATGAGTGGAAATTTTTTATCTTTTATAAATACAGTGGTTTAGGTAAATTATATCCATAAATATTATATATACGTAATTACTATGTTACAGGATGAGGGGTGGAAACTTAACCGTGCAAATTACTACCAGGAAGGGTGGCTAGCTACTGGAAATGCTCGCGGTTTAGTCGGAGTTACCTTCACGACATCACACTGTCGGACGAGAATTACGGAAAATCCACTGAGAGCCAATTATAACTTACGTGGACATCAAAGTGAGGTAAGAAATATTATATCACACGGTATATTTATGTATAAAGACCCCGGCACTAGGGAATATACCTTTACAAGTTTTTAAATAATTACCTCCGTAATCATCGTCTTGGAAATTTTCTTATTACCACGCTTTTCAAAATTTACTTAGTGTTTATCCTAATTACTCTTGACATAGCGCTGAAATTCTTCTTTTTACTGACTTTATATTTAACTTAGAGCTGAAATTAAAAGTTTTAACGAATACTCTGGAGTAAAAAAAGCCATTTTTCGCATTTTCTTCCAGTTTTTCGATTCAAAATAGGACTTACATTATTGAGCCAACAGGTTATGGGTCATGGTATTGTTCCTGGGAGTCAATAGCTTACTAAAAAAAATATTTTAATCAGATTCAAGCTATTGCTTAGAAGAAAAACCAAGTTTTAAGCCCAAAAACACGGTTTTTTTCAAACCTAACAAAGAAAAGCTTGTTCCTATAGAAAATTTAGTAACCAAAAAAATTTTTCTATATTTTAGAGTCGATTTGTCAACTTTTTTTGCTCTTATAGTTTTACTCTATCTTTCACCGTTTCGAAGAAAAATATTCGGTTAAAATCGACCTTGAGAGTCTCCAAAAACTGGACACAAAATCCATTAGCGACAAAATACTTCGTTGTAAAACAAAACGAGTATTTTCCACAAAAAAAAAAAAAAAACTGTAAAATAATCTGAGTAATTACAAGGAAAGACATCATTATACGTCACGTCTTTACACCCGAACGAACACGCCGTTTTTATAACTTTTTTTTCTATAGTGCAGCATTATTCTCCGACAATTTTTGTTTTTCCTATTTATATTTTTTTTATTCTCACTCCATTTTCTGGGAGCATTTGCATCTGGCACTTCCCTCTTCAGCTACACTGGTAGCTCGCTAATTGGCATGTCTCCGAATTCCCAGAAGGTGAAAAAAAAAATCGATTTTTTATACACGTACATCATACATATTTCTCTCTATCGGATCACAAAATAATGCAGATTTATGCATCTACAAGCTTTTATATTCCGTTCGATCTCCATCATTTAATAAGCTCATTATTTTTAACATTATTATGCTTCTAATGGTCTTTCAAAATAAAATGAATGATAAAAATTATCTGCAAAAAGCAACATGACGCAAAAACACCCGAGAAAAAGGTCGGAAAAATTCATATCAGCGAGACCACTCGCAACCTAATTTCACACTATTTGCTCAATTCTCACACGGCTCACTGGCTTTAATATTACTTTATGGAAACTTGGACCTATGTCGTTTTAAAGCTTTGAAAAATACTCTTTTACGTCTCATATCCTAGAAAAACATAAAACATCGTCCTTAAACATCCTTTGGGCTTCTGAACAATAAATTCTAAGAGCAAAACAAATGAATTTTTGGACACCGGGAATTTTTTTGGGTCATGAAAAACCTTAACAATGCAGATGTAGTCGAGTAAATTGGACAGTGTTGAGAGTCCCTGGGTCTAAACAGCATTGCGTGTACCAGATCGATAGCAAAATGTATGAGCTTAACGTTAACACCGAAATATACGGTATTCAAATGTTTGCCAAATAAATTTTTATGCTCACGTGTCTCTTGTAGTTAATTTTTAATATTGATCACTACAGTCTGAGTGGTTGATTGAAATACGGATAAAAATAAAATAATAGAGTGCTTTTTATATGGCTGTGACACGTATCGAATGTGGTACGGTTTGTTTGTTTGTCTCTGAACTTATAGACCTTTGTGAGGTTGTTTATAGAGGAAACTATCGAGGGAAGAATACCGTTGCCAAAAATATATGGACTTTAGGGCTAGTAAAAGTGATGACGCGACGATAAGGAAAATGTCGAGCAATAAAGTGATATTGGAGATGAGTAAGAGGTATTAAGAACAATACCCAGGAATTTTATTGCTTTTATTAATCCTGATAACCTCAATCTCGGTTAAATTAAAAAAAGAGATTTTTTTTATTTTTATACGGCATACATTTTTACTTTAATTACATAACTATTATGAAATAAAATAATTGTAGTCATCTAATAATCCTTAAGAACAATAAGAACAAAATTATCCATCTAAAGTTGCCAAATGTTAAGAAAAGTAATGAAAACTCCGTATTTGTTCGTTAATTACCCTTTAAATCCTTACCAACATCAATTATTTCCGTAGTTAGAGTTAAATCAGTGACAATAATAGAGTCATTAGTTCGTAGAAATTAAAATAATTGATAATTATTTCCTTTGAATAAGTTCCTTCGTCCACAAAATTGTTAGTTTATAATTACCAGGTTCATATAAAACAACTAGATAGATGTTTTTAGTTGTGAAAGAAATATTTCTTCTGTAAATTAATAACCAGAAGCCGTTCAACTTACTGCAACCCAATTAAATTCCACAGTAATATATCTATTGACTCCGTTAATTGTTCTTAATGAGAAAAAATCTCAACAAAACTTAAAAAGAATATGTCTCTCATTGTGTTTCACACCGGGGTATGTTTTAAAATCTTGAAAGCGGCTTAAAAGAGTCGAGATAGAATACGTGCAATACATTCTAAGTTGGACCCTCGTCATTCTCACTATTTTTCTCTGTTTTTCCATGCGTAGACATGATTCTCATATATTCTTGCCGTGTTCTGTTACATTCAGGGTATCGTACGTGTCTATACATGTCATATAACTGAGATAACAACAGTAGTCTGTACAATTAACAGTTGGTGCAGTAGCTATTGCTGAAGAGAACAAAGAACGATTCATGTTGTTCAGGAACAGGCGCTAAATTTGTAAGGGTGTAAGTTACTTTAGTTTCATAAACTTGATAGTGGAAAAATTTTTCATATCTCTGTTGAAGATCGAGAACTTCATTCCACCACTCAAATTTATCAGCAGGATCGCTCTTGAACCGTTTTTCCACTTCCCACACACTGGAACAATTACTTAGTCACGGATCTCCTCTACATTGATCTGTCAGTTATCTGATCATGATGGATGATACATTTTCTTCAAGATAATATTGTTACAAAGACAAAACAAAGTATTGTCCAGAAAACTTTTAAAATTATATTGTTAAAAACTTTTAGATATTCTTTCGCGGTATCAAAAACTAATCCAAGAAAATAATAGCCATCCTTGGATACTTTTCAAAACTTCAGGTTGCATATCATTGTCAACATATTGAAGAAAAAGAAAATCACAATATTTATCCACCCGCAACTTTTGTTTGTCTAAAAAAAAATCAACAATAGGACGCATTGCGCCTTGAGGCATAAAATTAGGATTTGTTGCTAAATATACGACTCAATAATGTCTGGTAAAATGGGCTCTTTTAGTTATTGTTATAATTCACGAGTGTATTTGTGATACTTGGATAGATATGTGGATGTGTATGTAGATCTTTAATAGGTAGGTCCTTCACTAGCGAACTACAATAGTCTTGAGAATGGTATATGTTGGTAGTTATAGACATAGGCTATAGAATCAATGCAGCAGCCTTGGTGAAAGACGGGTGCATAAAAAAAAATAAGCTATCCATAAGAAAAATAATTTCTAGAGACGAAAGATTAAAAAAGGAAAACATGGTGACCTGAAATGACCGTGAGGAATCAATATCGAAATTCTGCGGTTGGGTGGTCATTGATAAAATGCTTCGGGGATGATGCAGCTATGGATAATCGGGGTATTGATTCAACGTCAAGAGCCTTTTAAGAATGGAAGTAATAGACGGGGCTTAGGTTATAGTCTGCTTTTATTCTTGATGGCGTTTATACTGGGTTAGAAGAAAGAAAACAGAGTTTGTTGTAAGTAGCCATTTTTAAGTCCTTCTAGATTTTGGGAAGTATTGTTTGTGATGGAAGAGGTCAACTAGAATTGCCTGAAATTCATTGTAATGTGCTTGGCTATTGTGCCAACCTATTATCAACATATCATTTTGATAATGTGTTTTCGATGATACTGATATCGGGCTTTTATTGGTAATTTTGTTAAGGTTATATTCCATTTTAATGAAGTTTAAGTTGTGCTCTTTTACAGGTAATTCATTTTTGTGCTTAATTGACACTAGGATGCTTTCTATCAAGCAGTTTTTACAATAACGATGGAAGATCGCCAATTTTTAAGTGTCAAACTATTGATTGCACTATGGATCGACTTTCACCGAATTTTTCAGCTTAAATCCAATCCCAATATTTCTTCTTCAATGCGGAAGTCATTCTGAGCAGGTTCAAATTCGTTAGAATTAACATACGATTAGTTAACAAATCTTCTTAAGTGAACTCCACGTGTCCATTTATACATATTTAACTATAACCTTAATAAAACAATAGTATAACACTTTAACGTGAATATAACTAAGCGATTAAATTCTATTATGCAGCAACATGGAATTGTAGAAGTGTACTTAACAATATTACATTGCTTGTGTAAGCTCATATCTACAGCCAGTTATTTAAAAAAATATTATTAAATAATATCGAGGTCATTGGATCGAAATAGCGAGACATTTTTATCGTGTTAGCTTGTCATAAAACTTCTATATATGCTTTCAATATATATATATATATATATATATATATATATATATATATATATATGTGTTGATATTTTTTATTAATGTAAGTCAATCAAACTTATATCTATTTATATTTTAAGCAAACATTATTCCGACAGCCTCATTATCGATTAATTTTATACTCCGAGTGTTTTAAACTTTCAGTTTTTAAGTACCTTCTAATTTTTTAAGTACAGCGCCATCCATTAATCATCATCAACATTAACATATCAATCTTCCAATTCAATCTTTTTTTAAAAATCCATCAGGAAGAAAAATTTCAGTTTTGTGATGAATCCCGTATTAGTTAATCGCTTCCATTAATCTTGATTGTTTGGCAATTGTAGTCTCGTTAGCGCTGATGGTTCTAGATCGACTGTCATGATTCGTGATGAAGTCATTAATGTAAATGAATAGAGTCATTGTTTTTAATTTAAATCGAATTGATAACACCAACCTATCCGCTATTTTTCCAGGTGATTCTCGTAAAATGGAACGAGCCGTATCAAAAACTGGCATCTTGCGACAGCTCGGGCGTGATATTCGTATGGATAAAGTACGAGGGTAGATGGAGCATCGAATTAATCAACGATCGGAGCACCCCTGTCACGCACTTTTCGTGGTCCCATGACGGGAGAATGGCGTTAATATGCTATCGGGTAAGTTTTAGGGTGAAAAATCCCATCAATAACACCATCATCAATTACCGTGTCCAGTTTCTATAACTATACCGTTGTTCTAGGATGGATTCGTCTTGGTAGGAAGTGTGGGAGGTCAAAGATACTGGTCTTCAATGCTGAACGACCAAGCGACAATCACCTGCGGAATCTGGACCCCAGACGATCTACAGGTTTACTTTGGAACGACATCTGGCCAATTAATAGTGATGGATGTCCACGGTGCGATGGTGTCGGAGGTCCAGTTATCAGCAGGAATCACCTCGATGGCCTGGAGTGCCCAGAAGTTCAGGATGGAGGAAGGGGACCTAGAAGACGATGATATCTGCGGAGTTCAAACTCAACCAGGTTTACATCAGCTAATATGGAATGATGTTTCAGCTTTTGCTAATTCCTTCTGCTTTCAGATGAACGAACCTATGTCCTAGCAGTGTGTCTGACTGATGGCAACATCGTGATGCTTCGTTCTTATGACGACTTGTCGCCAATCACGATAAAAACCGGCCTCAAAGCGCCGTTGTTTGCCGAATGGAGCAATTCTAGAGAGTTGTTAGCCATAGCGGGTACCAAGGAGTCGGAGACTTCTATAGCTAACCCGCCTGAGTACAATAATCTCCTGAAGTTCTATTCCTTTACCGGAACGCTGATTTACACGACGACCATTCCGTACACTCAGGTAAGAGTTATCATAATTTGAATATCAAAACGCAGTTGACCTAATTAACGAATTCCAGGGACAAGTGTCAGCACTAACGTGGGGTCACAATGATTGGCGACTATTTATCGCTACAGGAGCAAAAGTTCACGCAGCCTGGGTCTCGAGGTATGCATGCAATTTCCATTATTTCGCGCTTTTCCTTTTAATGCCATTAATTCTGCTTTTGGCTCTCCAGGAATGTTGGATCGCTACAACTGCTAGCAACTCTTGCTGTAAGAGCAGCGCTGACGCGAGAGTCTAGTGTCCAACAGCTGCCATTGCCACGCAGGTTGAGAGCTCCTGTGGCAGCGCTTTTTGCGAGTACAATCAGGTAACCTTACCACCAACTTCTTCTTCAAGTTATAGACACAGACTGTGATTAGTAGATCTGCTAATGATTCATGTGTTCCAGATCTTGCGTACCAGAACCACGTGAGCTCCGTAAGTTCGTGTCTCGACCGCCACCTGGTGGAGGAAGGCTCCACTGCACAATGCTAAGACACGCCGGAGAACCGGCGCCATGCTACACCCTGTACCTCGAGTACCTTGGCGGACTGGTTCCGTTGTTAAAAGGACGTCGGACCAGCAAGATTCGCCCGGAATTCGTGATATTTGATCCCCAAAGCCAGGACACTCTCCAAATTCCTGATTACTCGTTCCCGTCATTCAGCGACAGCTCCGATACCGAACGAGATACCGCCGAACTGTGTGGTTCCCCGAGGAACAGGAGGAAGAACCGGAGAAAAAAGGATGACAAGTCCAATGACGAGTCCGATGTTTTGACGTATATTGACACTTTGCCGGAGGTATAATGATTTTACTTTTGTTACTGCAAATATAACCTTGTATTGATTTCCTGTCCCACGTGATTTGTTTCTTCTTAGGATGGACGACTAGTAGAAGTGACGTCTAACATTTGGGGCACCAAGTTCAAAATACACGGTCTAACGGATTCAGTGCCCGCAAATCTAGGTCAAGTTACTTACAGGACATCCCTGCTGCATTTACAGCCAAGACAGATGACCCTTGTGATTACTGAGCTCCGTGACGATTTACCAGCAGGTATTACTATTATTATCTCTGTTAGATCATTGATTGACCTCTAGTTGATGTTCTTTTACGTTTTCCAGGCCCAGACCCGTCTTTCAACCCGAACCTCTTCTCCGAAGACGAGGAAGAGACTTTCTCTGAGCCTCAAGGTGCAAGCCGGCCAGTAGACATTCCAGCACCACCAGCGCCACCAATCGCTCCAATGACATCTCGCGGTACAAGGTTAAACCCCGCTCCTCGCCCAAAGTCCCAGTTATCCAGCCAATCCCAGTTCATCTCCAATCCAGAAGTCCCGCCTGAGAACTTTCCCTTTGACGAAGACTTTCCCTACGTCGCGAATCACTTCCATCATCAAAACATGCTAGATTTTTGCGAGAATCTGCGTGCTACTTCAAGCAACTACAGATCATCCCGCCACCAACCTCGTTGCTGCGATGTTCCGGCGCTGCAGTCGCCTAAGAATGCTGTGGCGCCCACCCAAACTTTAATCGCGACTTCTAACTCCAGCAGCGACTACTCTGGTAACATCCAGAGGGTAAAGACATCGCTCATTTCTGAACAGTCCAGTATTCGCAAGGAATTGGAGATCAACAAGATCAATCAATTAGATGACAAGAATGTGGCTGCTTCCTTGCCTACTTCAAGATGTCAGACGAATGGTGGCTCCACGTCTCCAATTTACGTGAATTTTTCTGCGAGCAACGGGAGCTTTGTTCACACCAAGCCGAGTTCTCATCAGAAAGGAAAGAATCTCCGAACCTCTGGCGCCCAAAATGGCAAGACTGAAAGGGAAGAGCTTCGCTTTATCGACGAAGAAGCGGTTGCTAAAGAACCTGAATTGAGAAGTGTCCATAGGACACCTACGGTGGTTAGCATTGGACCCATCAACCCAGTTCTGGACCCAATGGTCAGAAGTTGCAGTGTCGGGTACTTGGATCTGGTTGATGCGCAGATGGTTCCTTGCGAAGTGGCTCTCAAGATGCTGAGGAAGGAAGCGCCAAATAAGAGACTGGTCCTGGTGTCCAGGAAGACCAAGAGGAGGAAGAAGAAGGCTCAAGAGGGACAAGCAAGGCCCAGGTTAAGAACTTGCGGGAAATCGAGAAGCTTGGACTCTAGTGATATGTTCCCTAGCACGGAGCAGATTCTTCCGGTTAAGTTGCTGGAGCATGTTGAAGAGATAGAGAAGAGAGAGGAGTTGGGGACTAGCAAGGAGGAGGACAAGAGGGAGGAGAAGGTTCTGAAAGAAACGGGGTAAGTAGAACTGTTGGGAAAATGGTTTGGTAGTTAATGATAATGATCTAATTGATGATTAGGGATACCAAATCCAGTGATTCATTGTCGTCCTCGCTGGATGGTCTAGCAGCGAGGCTCAGAGACTTTGATGACACCAATTCACTACCGCCCCCTTCACCCAGGCCGAACATTCGGTTACCACGAAGCTCTCCGAGCAGTCCAGCACCGACGAAAAAAGGAAAACGGCCTGCCTCTGCTTCGCCTATCAGGAGGAGGTTGTTGTCCAGTCCGCTGTTGAACAGACGGACCAGGAAAAACCGCGGGGAGAGCTCTGATGATGAAGGGCCCCAGGATGACAGTTCTAGCAGGAGTTACAGGAATTTAGAAACTTTCCAAAAGGCTCAGCTTCGACAAAAGGTAATTGTTTTGATTTTGTTGGGCTTTTTATAATGATAGAGATTTTTACTGAATTTGAGCTAAGAGTAGAACGTGATATAAATAACAGCTGTTTCAAATTAAAATTCCAGTTGAAACACCGAGGCAACGGAGTACTGGCCAACAAACCAGAAGAACTCGTGATGCACAACAAAGCTCCCATGTGGAACGAATCAAGCCAAGTTTATCAATTAGATTTCGGCGGTCGGGTCACCCAAGAAAGCGCCAAGAATTTCCAAATCGAGTATCGTGGAAAGCAGGTAAGTAATCGATTAATTTTTTTTTTATCAATAAATATTTATCGGCTCTTTCTGTTCTAGGTCATGCAATTCGGACGAATTGACGGAAACGCTTACACTCTGGATTTCCAGTATCCATTCAGTGCTCTCCAAGCATTCGCAGTCGCCCTTGCAAATGTCACTCAACGGCTTAAGTAACCATTAATATCTTTTTAATTATCATTTATTTTGTTACTTTTACCAACTACCTTCAATTGTTAGTTAATTTCAAACCTTAATTTCTTAGAAAAGAACTTTAAGTTCCATAATTTTGCTTAAAAATTAAAAAATAAGAATATTAAACATAAAAAAATTGATAAAAACTCACGTTTGAAGGGAGAACTTAGCACGGTGATATTGAAGCGTTGAACGGCGCGGAATGTCCAGGGTTCGAGCCCGAGCCGGGACACTGAAAGAAATAATAAAATTTTTTTTTTTTATTTAAATTATTTAAATGCCTTAGGAATAATTTTAAACTGTTTTAATTTAAAATTTTATGATACATTGAATTAACCGTCCAAAAATATTAATATTTATTTAAAATGTTTTATAATTTATTCCAAACGTTAATTGTTTTTGTACATTAGATTAGTAATTAATAAATTATAATAATAACAAAAAAAAAAAACGAATCTAACTGTGCTTTTAACGTATTACGCGTAAAATAAATGAAGAAATTAATCGTCCGAAATGAAGAATATACGAATATTTGGAAGAAATAAAATAAATTGACAAAAAAATCTTGACAATATAAATATATGTTAAATAAATGTTTTAAAGAGTAAGAGTCTACTGAATAAGCGGCAATTTGAAAGTTTAATAATTATTAATTATTAATTATTGCGAGAAGTTTGTTTTTCTTTTATATAATTGAAAAAGTAGGTAGATAATTTAATAAATATTTAGTCATTTTTATCGTTTTATTGTAAATAATGCTACTCGCCTAAATAGAAATTATTGAATAACTGACAGTGATTAATTAATTAATGCTAGGGTTAATAAATTTCAATTATTTGGCTGTTTATATATCGTTTTTTTTTTTTATCAGTATTATAGATTTAATTGTTTACAATTAGTGTAATTGTTAATTAAGAATTTAGGCTATTGAGAATTCGCTGATTTTATAGTTATTGAATATTTTAGAAAGATGTTAATTTTTTTTTTCATTTAGTCGATAAAAATTGAATTTTTATAAATTATTTTGAACCGTAAAAATTAGTAATAAAATTCACAAAAAATAACAAAAGGCCTAGCTCAAGATATTAACGCTAAATGTAATATTGTCGACGATTACAATTATAAGTTACGTTAATTAATGAGTTATAGATTTAAAAAAAATGAAAGATATAAAAATAATAGCTGTAATGATGAATAAAATTGTGAGCTTACATGGAAGTATCCATTTTGTGCTAAAATGTTCATTAGTGTACTGAAAATTGATAATTTTAACCAAATTATTATTATTATTATTTTAATTAACCGAATAATTGTCTTTGGCGCTAGACAATGAAAATTGTCCTATGTACTTTAATTTTGCCGTCAGTGCTACACAATATACATAGTATATTATATATTATGATGATGATTATTATTATTATTATTATTATTTTGATTATTATTATTATACATTTATAATATACGAAATATATCAATGTAACGACAAAAGCATGTATTGGTGATGTATATGTGCAATGAAATTTTGTTACTCTACAATAACAAATTATTGATAAAGGATTATATAATAATATAAATATTTGTAAATAAATCAACGATAATTATAAAACAAATACACTTTCATCTGTTTTTTATTTTTTTACCTTATAATAAAAATTCCTACGAAGAAAAATAATAAAAATTACTGAAGCTACTCAACAGTGTCAACAAAACTGCGGCGAAGAAATAATAATAAAAGTTAGCCGACATTTTTGATTTTTTTATTTTGCTTAATTTATTAAATTGTAACTAAAAAATATTTTTAAAAAATTGCACTTATAGTTTATGAAGTTTTTGACAAATGAAATAATTTTTTTGTAATAATTTTTTAATAGAAAAAATCATAAAAATTTTTAGATGCCGGCTCTAACTTTATTTTCATGCGAAAGCAAAAATATGGCGGCCCGAAAAGTTTAAAAAAATTTATTTGTTAAAAAAATTATTAAATATCTGCTAAATTATTTTTGATCAATTTCTTTCAGAATATTTCTAGAATTTTTTTTTTTTTTTTTTTTGATTTGTTTAAAGTCGCATAAACTACTAAGGTCATGAGCGACTACGGTAGGGGGTAAACTTTTGAGATTGGAACTCGTTTGTATTTCTTGGGCTGAGCAGAATAATACACTTAAATTATTATTCTAGAAATTTAAAATAAAAATTACCTTGATAATTTTCATTATTATGACCCATATAGCAAACTTTTTCAAGGCTTGAGCAAATCTGGTCTCAATTTCGATAGTTGTTAGTGTCTTTTTCTACCTATGGGTCTTGCTCCAGATACTTGTAGCAAATTCAGTTCACAAGCCTTGTACAAGAACTTTGGGCCAGATTATAGCTCAAGTATTGAGAAAGACTGACACCAGAAGCATGCTAAATATACTTGTGCAAGAGTTGCTCAAGATTTGCTCAAGATGAAATGTTTTTGAATGACCGTTCGCATCATTCTACCCCTCCTATATTATAACTATAGAATCAGTGGATTTCTGAGAATTACGGATCTTGAGCAAATCTTGAGCAAATCATGGGTAAGTCTTTGTTGTGAGTTTCTGGTACAAAAAATGCGTAAGAAAGTTTTTCAATATGCACCTTGCTTTAGACTTGTCTCATATTCTTGCACAATTAAGATGTCTTGAGCTAATTACATATAAATCTTGAACCATGTCTTTTTAAATAAACTTGAGCAAGACCCATATGTAGAAAAAGACACTAGCAACTAGGGGTTTTGCTCAAGACGCTGGCACCAAAATCTTGCTCAAGCACATGTTACGTGGGGATAATCATTTTTTAAATATTCACTCCAAAAGAAAAACAAAACACAATAAATTCATCACTTGTCACATCCACAATTTTAAATACTACTAAAATTATCAAAACTTTGATTTTAGCATCCAAAAATATATAAAAACATCAATTATAATTAACAATAATTAATAAATAACAAAAATATCAAAATTTTATCCAAAAAGTCAATAAAATCTTTCAAATTAACTCACAACGTTCTAAATTGTCATTCCCCCAGAAGCTTTTACCGCCATCTTGGATTCCTCCCTCCAAGCTGCTCCATCTTCTCTAACGGTAAGATTCAAAATTCTCAGACTCGTACTTTAGCGCCACCTAGTGATTCTTTTAACGACTGCGCAGTAAATCGAAACTTATACTATCAAACTGGACGCCATGTGCATCCTCTGATAATTTCCTGAAAATAAAAATTGGTGGTGTAACAAAATAAATAATGATTTATTTATTGTTAACAAGTGAAAACATTTGTTGAGTATTAACAAAATTATTTATAATTAAATAATTGTCAATTTCACAAGTCACGTGGTAGTGTCGTCGTGGTGTCTTGGAATTATTTATTCCCAGCGTGGAAAATAAAAATTATAATATTTATGTTTTGCAAACATTAATAATAATTAAAGTAAGTAATTAATTTTTTTAAATTAATTTATGTTAATTATTTTGTTATTCTTTTCTAATGAAAATTTTTTTTAAGGCTAACCTTAAAATGGACGACTTTTACGACACGGACCTGGAGGCGCGACTGTACGCGGAGGTTCATTATACAAATGACTCTTACTCGGAGGGGAATATTGACCCAAGAGCGCTGGCACCAGAAGGCGATGTCCCTCCTGGCAGTATCAGGTCTTATGCTAAGAAGACGGGGATGATCCCGAAGAAGCACCGCGCGCTGATTGACGGCCCCAGGACAGTTGGAAATCATCGGATGCAAGAGCCAGCTCCCAGGCAGGAATTTAGGTTTGTTATGTAAATTTTAATAGATTGAGTTGGTAGTGTGTCGTGAGGATTGCGAAATTTTTTCGTAACAAGTGTGATTATTTTTTTGTGTTTAAAGTTAGGTAACTTTTTGGGTTCATTTTAAAACAAGTGATTTTTTTTAATTACATGACATTAAAGTTAGAAGTATTTTAACAATTTTTATAATAGTTTATTCGGTTAAAAAAAATTATGGTGTCTCTTGAATTTAATTTTTATGAATTTAAAATAATTAATTATTGAAAAAAATTTTAATTTTCCTTGAAAATTAATTTATCAGATATTTTATAATCTTAAGTATTTTTTTATAACAAATAAATTATGTTAAAGAAATTGAGAAAAAAATTGACATTAAAAGAAAATTAATAAAAATGAAAAATGCAATTTTTTAGAAATAATTCTTAGGAGCAAATTTATTTATTAAAAAAAATGAAAAAATGGTCAAGCGACTGCTAACTTTAATGTGAATATTTTTCCGTGTATTTTTTTAGTAATTTAACTTGAAAAAAAAAAAAATAATCTAATAAATTTAGATTAAGATTAAGATTTGAATATAATTTCAGGTCCAGTCAATCTGATGTAACAAGAACAATCCCTTCTTTATTCAGTCTTGATCCCGCTATACCACCAGTACCTCCAAGATTTACCTCACCAAATCCTTCAAGATTTATATCATCAAGCTCTCCAAGATTTGCATCCCCAAACCCTTCAAGATTAAATATACCAATTTCATCAAGATTAGGTCCTCCGATTTCTACCGGATTTACTCCCCTGGATTCCAACCGACCCAATCTTTTCGGCAATTACCCTCCAGATTATCCAAGATCTGGGCACCTGCTAGATCCCACAGCCATCAACTTTGACAATTCTAGACTGCCACCCTACATGTACAATCAAGCTCCAAACTTCCAATTGAATCCTTACGCATCAGACAACTTCAATCTAAATCTCCTGGACCCTTACTCGTCTCCCAGACAAGATTTGCCGCATTTCAACCAGCCAGATTTCATCAGATTGACCCACTCGTCGCCAAACAGGAGCAAGGCCCAGTCCAGGAAAGATTCTCACATGGCAAATCTGAAGGATTTTGCCAAGAAAGTTCGCAATCGCCGCAAAAGGGAGAAAACAAGAAAGAACCGCAAGCTTTTTAAGGGAAATAAAAACTCTATTGCTGAAATCAATTCGTCTACGCCTCGGAAAAACCCAGACCGCGCTGCTAGGTGTCCAGATCTTAACAAATCTGGTGATGGGACTAAAGACGTCGTTAATTTGGATGATTCTATTGAGGTCGTTGAGATTCAAGAGTCGGCTAATGATAATCTGACGCAATCTAATCTTGAGAGTCAGGTAGGCAATGATGAGATGAGTCAAGGCGAGTCTGTTGATGATTTGGACGATTCTGAGGAGAGTTTAGATAAATCTGAGGGAAAGTTGGATGATAATCTTGATAAATCTGGTGATGGCTTGGAAAAATCTGATAATAGTGACAAATCTAAAAATTTGGACACTCCAAATTCCAAAGGGGAAAATTTGAAGACTCCAAATAGAAATTTGGATAAATTTAATAAAAATTTAGATCAATCAAGTAAAAATCTTGATAAATCAAATGACAATTTAAAGACACCAAGCAAAAATTTGGATAAATCTAATCAGAATCTTGATAAAACAAATAATTTGAATAAATCTGATGAAAATTTAACGCCGAGCAAAAATTTGGATAAATCTAATAAAAATCAAGATAAATCTGATGAAATATTAACACCAAGTAAAAATATGGACAAATCTAATAAAAACTCAGATAAATCTAATCGAACTCCAGAAAAATCTGGTCATAATTATGTCAAATCTAAAACTTTAGAACCACCAAACAAAAGTCCAGAAAAATCTGATGGAAATTCGAAGACACCAAGTAAAAATGTGGATAAATCTAACCCAAATCTTGACAAACCTGACGAAAATCTTGATAAATCTAACAGTCCCCAAAAATCCGGAACTCCGGAGAATAAAGACACAAATATGATTTCCAAATCAAGTCCGGAGCCATCATCGAAAGACAAAAACTCAAAGTACAATATAAAATCTCCCTCTAAATTTTCTAAATCAATGGCGACGTTGGATTCTTCATCAGACTCAGATTCTGACGAGTCTATTTTCGAAGTGCCTGTTCCGCCTAAACCAGCTCCTCCGCTGATAAATCTCAACGACAGTGACGAATCTGATGATTCTGACAGTGAGGAAGATTCCCAAGATGTTCCTTCTAAGATTAATCTTGAAGAGGATGAAAATGAAAATGACGATGATGATAATGATAATAATAAAGAAGAAAGTTCTGAAAAGCAGATCTGGGACTGCGATGACGATGATGATGATGAAGAAGAAGAAAAAAATTCTAATTCTGAGAAGCAAGTCTGGAACTGTGACGACGACGATGACGACGATTATGACGTTGATGATGATGAAGAAAAAGAGGAAGACAGAATTGAGGCAAATTTTGTGCTAAATTGCTCCCAGGTCCAGAAAGCTGTTCCAACTTTGGAGGAGCTAAAGAAAATCAATCTGACAAATCTGGAGGCTAAAGATGATCCCAAGGTGTTGGAGACAATTACTGACACTACTGAGGCGACTGCTTCGACGACTACGACAATAATTTCCGAGGACTCGGGGGGCAAAAGCAGACAATCTGCTTCAAAGAGTCTGGACTCGGATAAAAAACGACCGAGGGATGAGAGCAGAAATAGGGACAACTCTCTCAAGCCGATAAAAGTTCCTAGGAGTGACAAGAGCAAGGACAACACCAGCTTTGAAGAATATGTCTCGAAGCCGATGCCCGTGACGTTGAAAGCATTTTATACTGACTACAGAAGCAGTGGGTGTATGAATGATGTCATAGATGTCCAGCATAAAATGTCGAGTAAGTATTTTTTTGTGGTTTTAAATCAATATTGATGATGTTGATGCTAATTAAGTGTTTTTTATTTTGTTCTTCTAGGGAATCCGAATCTCTGGGCGATTCTGGACGCTGATCTTGTGTGTCGTGGAGGGGACAAAAGGCTCAGGTGCTCGTTTTGTCATCAGCCGGGACACAAGAGGGAAAATTGTCCGGATAAGAAGAAACCTACTTTGTGTCATATGTGCGGAGAAGGAGGACACTCGGAATCAAGATGTCCTCAGAGAATGTGTCTTACTGTAAGTTTATAATTATTATTACTATAAAATTTTGCTTCATTAAATAATAGCTTTTGTTCAATTACACTGTACTTTCTTAACTATTGGTATTTTTTAAGATATAAGCTCATCCTGATGTTACACTCTTCAAGAGCTTTCATTTAAGTACCCACATGCATTTTTGATATATTTCTCATATATACATCATATATATATATATATATAAATTTATGAAAAATTGATGTGGGTACTCAAATGAAAAATCTCAATGAGTGTAACACCAAAATGAGCTTATATCTCTAATAAAAATGTCAGTAATTCACGAGATATATAGATTATTAACATTCTAATCGTTAAAAATAAAATTTCAGTGTGGAAAGAAATACTCATCTTACCGCAAGACTTGCGAATACTGCCGTAAACTCCAGTGCGCCCTCTGCAAAAGCATGGGCCACTTGAAAACAAACTGCCCGGACCTCTGGCGCCGCTACCACCAAACAACTACCTCAGAAGGGGTGAACATCCCCCCGGACTTACGTGAGGTCCTCAAACCATCTCACAAATTATACTGCTGCAACTGTACTCGTCGCGGCCATGAAAGTTCCACTTGCAGTAGATACCGTTGGTCTTCACACTTTCCCTCGCCCATATCCGTCACAAGCTACACCGAGGGACCGAGCTATCCAATCATAGAACCAGTTGAAATTCCTCCAGAAATTCCGATTCCTCCAGAAGTTCCGATTCCTCTAGAAGCTCCAACTCCTCCAGAAGTTCCAATTCCTCCACAAGTCCCAGATCCACCAGCTCGAGAAGAAATCCTGTTCCACTACCAAAACTACCGAGTAATCCCCGAAGACTGGTGCTCAGACACAATATATCCTCTGGAAATTCCAAATATTTCCTATGACCTGGAAAGTTCCAAGAACCACGTCCCAAGATTCCTCACCAAACACTTTCCCGAAGGATGTCATTGCTACATCTATGTCCACATAAAGCTGAGGGTTCCTGACAAGCTGGTAGTGGAACTTAAGACACCTTCAGCGCCATCTACCCTGGAACTCAAGAAGTTAATGGTCCAGTGGATGTCCAGAAGAAAAGAAGATCGGAATAAAATGACGTTGACCCAACGGCTTCCTGTTAACAAAGCTCTTCTTTTGAAGGCCCTGTTGGACAAGTTCTACGATTTTATTACCAATTCGTCTTTTCGAGGTCTTCTCGCTTACGATTTTGAAGTTGAAAAAAGGACCAGCTTTCTCAGTTCCAAGATGGAAAGCTGCAGAGTAAATAGTATTCAGGCGTCAAAATTCAAGAATCGGTTAAAAGCAGTGGAACCAAGGTATCTCAAAAAATTAATTTGTTCTCTGTATAATTTCAAACTAGCGCCATCTGCTGAAGCGATTATCAACGACTTTCAAAAACTTCTTAGTTTATTGTCATCAGACAACGCCTGGGAGGGTGACCACGGCCGAGATAGTCTTGTTCCACAGGCAATGTATATGAGTTTTTGCTGGTTCAATTTTGAGTTGTTTACTCTTCACCTATCTGACTACCTTGTTCATGCTAAGAACTTGCTCTTGGAACGGATCGAACAGTTAAAAATGAGGAATATCAAGCAACATATGTGGGCTCCAGAAATGGGCTTAGAGTTGATGTTCAAGAGGTCACAACGGGTCAATTTCTTGTCCGAGGGATTTAAGCCGGGTGTTTTGAAGCCTAATAAGATCAAGGAGCGCCATCGTCAGTTAGCTAGAGGTATGCAAACTCGTGCTAATGCTAGGACCAAGAACAAAAGGAACAAGAATAATAGCAATAATGATTCCAAGAACAGTGAAAGTGGCAATGATGATAGTTCCTGGAACAATGATAGTTCTCAGAACATTGGTGGTTCTGGGAACAATGACAGTTTCAAGAACACTGGTGGTTCTGGGAACAATAAAAGTTTCAAGAACACTAGTGGTTCTTGGAACAATGAAAGTTCCAAGAACGCTAGTAGTTCTGGGAACAGTGGAAGTTCCAGGAACACTGGTGGTTCTGGGAACGGTGGAAGTTCCAAGAACATTGCTGGTTTTGGGAACAGTGGTTTTAAGAACAGTGATGGTTCTAGGAAACCCAAAGAAAAACCTACTTCGCTTATTGTTGATGGTAAAATAAATTTGGAGATTCTGCAGAGAGAAAAACTTGCCTGCCGAGCTCAGGCTGCTGTTGATTTGGCGAAAAAACATGGATTGAGGGATTATGCTGACCGGGCTGAGCTGATGGTAAGGAAGATTAAAAGCGGTGGAATGGTAAAAAAGAACGCCATTGAACAGCTGTGGTCACTCTTGGTGAAAGAGCTCAGGGGGAACAATATTAGTGTTCAAAATTAGACCCACGGTGTGTTTAAATTATTATTATTATAATTAATTTTAGTTTATTTTTTAATTTGTTATTAATAAATATTGATAATATGAATAACAATTACCTTGTTTCTATTTTATTTAGAAGTTTGAATGGAGAACCTGGAGATGCTGGAGGTAAATTTTGGATGCTTGGGTGTTTTATGATTGCTGGTATTTATGAATGTTATTTACTACAAAAAATTCTAACTAAAATTTTCTAAATTAAAAAATTATTCTTACATTTATTTAAAGAAAAAATGAATGTTTAATTTAATAATTAAATATTGAAAATGAATTTATTTGCTTGAAAAAAAATAGTTAATTACACAACACTCAATAAAATTATTTCTTGATTGGCGGTGGAGCGTTGATGGGTGGTGGCGGCCCGTTCATCGGTGGTCTGAGTTGAGTCATGGGTCCCATGGGGCCCATCATCATCGGACCATTAGGGCCCATCATGGGAGGTCGCATTCCCATCATCGGCGGCATGGGACCGTGGGGACCCATCATCATCGGGCCTCCAGGTCCCATTGGGCCACCGGGGTGCATTCCTGGCGGAGGCATCATTCCCATTGGGCCTTGCGGGCCTGCTACTCCTGGTCTGGGTCCTAGACTGGGCGGTGGTGGAATTGCGGCACCCTTGTTAGCCGCGAAGGGGTTTGAGGCGATTTTTCCAGCCTTGAAAGCCGCCGTCGTCGCATCAATCAGATGCTGGGCTTGCTCTTCCATCCATTTTTGATAGAAGTACTTGACGTTGTCCTTATGCTTCCTCCCTTGGCAGTGCGTCTTCCTTACACTTGGCGAGTCGTGGGTTAGATATGTGTCGCAGTAGTCGCAATAATATTTTGGCATTTTTTCTGAAAATTATTTCAAATTAATATTTTTATTTTTAAAACAATTTTAATGTAATTATTTAATTTTTTTTAATTAAATTAATGAAAATTAAGTTAGCCGATATTTAGAAATTTTTAGAATTCTTTTTTATTAAAAGATTTAAAAAACTACACGTGCAATTTATTAAAAATATTTTGTAGTTATAATTTAATTAAATGAAAAAAATTAAAAATTAAAAACGTCGGCTAACGTTAGTATTCTATCAAACTAGCCGACATGTGAAAATTTTTTATTGGAAAAAAAAAACTAATAGCCAAAAAAATGAAAGAGAAATTTAAAAAATTCTAAAAACAATTTTCAAAAAACTTATAGTGAATTATTACATTGATAATATTTATAAAATAATAATTTTAGGTTAGATAAAGCATTATTAAAAAAAAATCAGAGTATATTATTTAGATAATTATTTAAAAACTCACCTTTTTTATAAATTAAAACTTTGTTTTCAAAAAATAATTCGACTTAAATTAAAAAATCTTTTAATTTATTATTTAAGTTGTTACTTTTATTTATTTATACAACATACAACACCGTGTGATAAAAATTAAATTCTCAGTGTTGACTAAATATATTGATATATTTATAAAGGTTAACTCTCATGAGCGACATTAAGGTCTTATTTCATAATCTTCAAAGCGCGCGCATTTTTTTTAAATTTAAATTAAAGTTTAGTTGTGAAAAATTATTTTATTTAAAAATGATCTTAAATTTTTATAATTAAGATAGATAATTTTAGGACTTAATTAAAAAAATTTTAATTAGAATTTAAATAGAACTTAATTAAAAAAATTATTTAATTTAACAAGGTATAAAAAGTCAATAATTACAAATTAATACTTAAACATTTATTTATTAACTTAAAACCTGGACTGAGATTCCCTTGATGAATTCGAAAAATTATTATTAAGATTATTTTTAGCTTTTGGATTTTCAAAAGCGCGGTACATCGAATATCCGCGTCTGGACAATTCTTCCCCAGGTACAATTGCAGGATTAGAGTAGCAGAATTCGGAATCCAGTTCTCGGTTCCAATGGTCCCTAAAAAAAAACTTTATATTTTTAGTACAAAAATTAAATTACAATTATTTATATTAATTTACTCCACCATTAATTAACACGTGAAACTTTAGGAATAGTCAAAAATTTTCTAGAATCAAACTCTCGAAATTCTGAATTCATTCTGAAAAATTTATTTTATTTAAAGTAACTTTAAATTTATTTAATTCTTTAATCTTCAATTCTTTGAGAGCTAATTTTTAATAATAATAAAGTAAATATATCTTACCGGTCTCGTGATAATTTATTTATTTTAGTAAACAACACAATTATCAAAATAATTATTATTAAAATACAGGCAGCGACGACTCCGTATGTAATATATAATTGCAGTTGAATATTTTCTGAATTTTCCTGCAAAAAGAAAGTAATAATTAAAATTTAAATATTCAAATGATTTTTGCACTTCACGCCTTTTGCATGTTAAGCACTCCGCCATTTTGCGCAATGTTACATGGAAAAATTTAACAAAAACTTTAATTAAAATATAATTGAACTGCAAAATAATGAAAATTTAAGTAAATTCACTATTTTGCAAGTACACAGATGAGAAAAAAAATTATTTGCAATATTTATAACGAAGCAATTGGAAGAAAATTGACTTGGAAATTGCGAAGTGGTGTTTGATGATCAAAATGGCGGTCTATGGAAATTTTCAAAGTAATTAATTTTTTTTTTTAAGTCAAAAATTAACTTTTAACTTTTAAAGAAAAAGAAGAAAAATAAATGCAAAATTTAATAAATTACTTACCATTATTGCAAAAAAAAAAAAAAAATAATTTAGGTCGTCACGAACGCGTTGAGGTTTGTTGATACACTAAAGTACTCAAAGTCTTGGTATAGTGATTTAACATTGATAAAAATATATTTGTTATCATTATCATTACGGACTTAATAGATAAGTGTTATATACAGCTATGACTCTTTGCACGTTTTTAAAAACGGTAATTAGTCGAGGTTATTTATTTCTTGATTGATTCTTTTATCTTTTTTTATCTCCGGTGATTCATACCTCAACAATTCTTTGTACTTTTTTTTAATTGAAGAATTCAGTTAAGGATTTCCGAGAGTTTGGGTCAAAAATAATTAATAATTTTTAAAGTTATCAATTTATATACTCTATTTTTTTAATTTAGCTTTGGCAAATAATATAAAGTGTGAAGAAATAAAAAAAAAGTCAAAATTGATTAAAATAATATTTATAAAAAATATTTTTAAACATTATGAACACTAGGAATGATCTTTTGGTGTTTTTCCATTGATAAATATACAAAATAAGGGAACAACATTGTCAAAAGTACGTAAAAATAGTACGGAATCTTCCCGGTAGACCCAAAAGGCGGAATCCAGAGCCCTCTTCTGGTAGCGTCCCGAATGTGGTGGCTCAGGAAACTGGTCAGCAAAATCCAGGCGCAGTAATTGAGGTTATACAAATTCTCACTGGCTAATTTAGAAGCTATCAATAAAACCGTCCAAATTATTATCGGGAGAGTTGTACAGTGAAAAAATGGCCGACGGTCCAAATTTGTTGCGTCCTAAAAGTAAAAAATAAATATTGTAAGGTTATATTTTTAAAATATAAATTAGCTTACTTTGATATTAAAACTCTTGGCCTCTACAAAATGGTCGACGTCAATCAAAGAAGACAAGAAGATACAAAATAAAATACTTGGGAGGTTTTTCGCGATCGGCTCGTTCTGCAGAAGAACTATCAGCGTCCAAGATAGCCCCGCAACAATCCCGTGAGTCGCATTGTCAATAACTGCTTTTAAAAAATGATTATTGTTATTATAAGACACTAGTTTGTCACCGATTATTGAAACTAAACCCAGGAGAAGACATGTTGTTAGTTTTACTGTGTTTTGCTGTGCATCTTGCATTTTTTATTTCAATACCAGAAGTTTATTATTGAATTATAAGCTATAAATAGGTCATAGAATTTTCTTCAATAAATTTCTCCGGTTGAGGATAATATATATATATATAATAGATTTGATTTATTAACCGAAGGTAGATAAGGAAGAAATGTAATTATTATAATTATCATTGGCGCAGTTATAGTATTCTTATAAAATATTTAAATAAAATTATATAGGCATATATTTTTCACAAAAATTAGTTATTTTTAAAATTAATTCAATTATTTAGAACAATAGCAGGCGTCCTTGGTATTTTGAAGTATCCAATGCAAATGCGGGCCCAATTTTGTAAAAACTGCGATTTTTTTTGAGTCTCCTTCGCAATTGTTGTCGTTTGATAGTAACCCTAATAAATTGTTAAATAATTATTTAATTATCAGTTCTATAAATTTTTGTGGGATTAATTTCAGCAGTTGCTTGAATATTTAGAAAATATCGTGAAAAATACTTACCGATTAAATCGTAAACTCCAGCGTAGGAACGATAGTTAACAGAAGTTCCAACGTCGTTCTAAAAATAAAGATTAATTATAATTTAACAGCATAAAATATAAAAATTAAATTTTTTTAAATTTTACAATTCAAAGGTACATTACTTACATTACAAATAATTGACTTAGTACCCAAAACACCCATACATCCCGAATCATCGTGATAATTTTTAGACTCAACTCCGGATTTAATGCACTCTTTCGCGCTCAGTATCGGAAGCCCGATTTTCCGGGGAAGACATGCTGATTTTTCCTCGGATTGCGTTTCTGTCCATCCCAGTAGTGTGCCAACTTGCCCCAGATACGTTGAATCTGTCATTATTTCACAATTAGAAAAAAAAAAAAAAAAAATTCTTCTGAAGTAATTTGTTAGAGTCAATTATATACTCACTAGGATTGGGAAGACAAACGGGAGAAATTCTTTTCTCAAATTTAATCGGTCTGCTCAAGCGAATTAGCGCTAAATCGTGGGCATAAGTTTCTTTTACAAACTCCGGGTACATTATTATAGAATCAATACTTGTGTTTACTGACGATACATCAATGTGACAGCGGTCATACGCTCCTAAGGATACTTTTATCTCCGGAGCAGTAGCCCTACAATTTTTTATTATTTTTAGCAGTTATATTATTATTAAAAATGAATCATAATTATTAGTGACATTTATTTTTATTAATATATAATACATACCCTTCTAATTGACTCGCTGCTGTTATTATATACCGGTCATTAATCAACGCCCCGCTGACTTGATTCTCGGATTTAACGTGGACATTAACTAGCCAGGGGAATTCATGAGAGTATGTTGTTTCTCCCCCAAGAAATCTTGCCGAGTTGCGATTAGATCTTCCACATACTGAAAATATATCACTTTCATTAATAAAGCTCTTTTTTTTTTTTTTTTTTTAATAAAAAAATATCTACAACTTACAACAACCACCACATGGTCGAAATCGGGAAGAAATCCAATCTAAAACTCCGCGTTCAACTCTTTTTCCATTTATCTAATAAAGAATCAATTTAAAATTTTTAATTTAATCAAAAATTAATGAAATAATTACCATAAATCCATTTAAATGAAGAAATAACAAGCAAATAATAAACTTAACAAATTCTTGCAAATTCATTTTTATAAAAATAAAAATTTATTATTTATTGTTTCATTAAATAATAAATGATCAAGCTTAGAAGCAAACACTCAACTGAAATGTAATCCTGTTATAGGACTATATTGTCAGAAATAGCGGTACCCTCATCTTCATTTCTTCCCACCACTTTTCCACTACACCCAGTTATCAATTTTTTGCAACAAGCTCTTACGGTCAGTGACCTTATACTGTTATAACTTATAATTTAAACAAAAAAATATTTTTTTCACTGTTTTTATTGTTCATACAAAATTTTCAGCTATTTAATTATTACAATTATTAATAAAAAAACTTGCATTAATTTATTTTAATTAATATATAAATAAAAAAAATTATTTTTTTTGAATTTCAAAAAACTCAATTAATCAACAAATAGAAGCTATATAATAAAAAATCCCTTTATTTATTTATTTTAGAAGATTAATTATTAATATAGTTTCAAAACACTCTGTAAGATGGCGTTGCAAAGCGGATTCGGAACTACGTCACAGCCCCGCGAAATTTTGAATTTTAAAAAAACAATTTTGAATATTTTTAAAGTTATCGGGCAAATAAATGACTTGAACATTTGTTTTAATAACTTTAACTAAATTTTTTGAGAATAATATAATTAAAATGCAAATTCTCTATTAATCATCAAAATAAAAATTTTATAAAATATTAGATTATTAATTATAAATAACTCAAGTTTGGCAGAAACATCCATCCCTTGAATTATACAGCACCCAGTCTAGATACCGTGTAAGTCTGGTGTAAACTCCAGGGTACCCTGGACGAGCACATCCATTTCCCCATGAAACAACCCCGATAACTTCGTACTTTTTGTCCGGTCTTTCGGCAATTAAAGGGCCCCCGCTGTCACCCTGGCAGGAGTCCTTTTTACCGTCGGGGTATCCAGCACACAACATATTGTCCGAAATCATTCTAGGACTGTAGCTGGTGTTTCTGCAGTCTTTCAGACTCATAACCGGGACCTCGACTTCCTGGAGCAGGCAGGATGGCTTTCCGTCTTCATGCAAAGTTCCCCAGCCAGCCGCGATTGCTTTTGTCCCCACGTAGTCATTTTCTAAAGAAAATAAACCACCCGTATAACAATAAATTCTTTCTTCTAATTACGATAAAAAAAAATTAATGAGGTCATTGAGTACCCGTATTTTTACGTAACTGATAATAATTATCGAGGTTATTTTGCGTAATTTTTTTGCATAATACTATTAATTCAGATAATTTACCTTTGACTATTGGAAGACAAATCGGTCTGATGGTATTGGTCAGTGGTACCCGATCATTGAGCTTAAGTAGAGCAATGTCATTGTCAAAATTCAAAAAACTAAAATCTCCGGTAATTGCTCTGACGACAAATCTCGTATCTGGTTTATTTTTCTCGTCACAACGGTCGTGTTCTCCAAATGTTACTTTTATCATAAACCACATGAATCTAAAAATAAGACTGAGTTGTTTTTAACTTAAATATATTAATAAATCTAAAATTCGTTAATTATTAAAACATACCCTTTTACGCAATGAGCGGCAGTCAATACGTAACGATCATTGATAAGAGTTCCGCCACAGTAAAATTTATTCAAATATGACAGTCTTACCATCCATGGTAGCTCGTTTACTTGAGTTGTTTGTCCGCCAACTATGCGGCTTTCTTCATTTTTGACTCCGCAGCCTAAAATTTTTTTTATTTCAATTGTAATAAGTTTAAAAAATTGAGAATTTTCAAATTTTTTTCTTTGTGTAACTGCCGAGGTTAATCTTAAGAATACTATATCAAAATTTTGAGCCTCAATGCAATTCAAAATTGTCACCTTCTATATTAACATCCTTTTTAATTAAATTTTAATGTAATATCATCAATTACATAATTATAAATTAAGGTATTTTTCAAAAATTACATTGACTTGAGTGTCAATGCAGTTCAAAATTAAATTTTAACGCAGAATTATCGACAATTTTCCTGTTAAAAAAAATTAATTTCACTTACTGCAATAACAAGGCCCAGTCGATGCGGTAGCATTCGGCGGTTTGTTTCCAAAAATTCCAAAAAAATTTCTAACAACATCCCCAACAATATTCTTTTTCTAAAATAAATTTTTCCAGTTAAAACACAGCTAAATAAATTATTAAATAAAATTTCTTACCTGATAACAATTCACCAGCGCAAAAAGCGACAGCAAAATAATAACTTTTTTCATTATAATTTTTATTTAATCTCTAAAAATCGTGAAAATTAATTTAATTTCCAAAGAAGAAATAAAAAAAATTAAATTTTATAAAAAATTCATCTTAAAAAATAAAATTAAAATTAAAATAAAATATACAAGATACGTATTGGCGAACGTCTTAAACGCGACTGGATCTTAAGACTCTACGACCAGTTTAAGTTCACGTTCACGGACAAACCCTGGCTGTCACTGACCGCAAGACTATTTCGCGTCGGATGCACCTTTTATTTTTATTTTATATTTTTTATAAATATCTATAAGTCCGTACATTAATTCAATAAAAAAATCTTAAAAGTTGTTTCATAATTTACAATAATAATAAAATGAAAGATAAATTTTTAATTTTCTCAACCGGTTTTAATTATTTTAAGTTAAATTAAAAAATTTTCCGATTGTAAAAAAAAAAGAAAATTCTTTCAAAATCGCAAATTAAGGAAAATAGAAAAATATATTTAAAGTTTCTTGACATTTAAGTTACCGTTAGGTGATTTAATATTCCATCTGCATTACGACCGTTATCTATATCGAATAATCTATCATTTGTCTTTTTGTTTGGGTTTCATTGTTCAAAGTGGAAAAAAAAAATTTTTTTATACAAATATTATATTAGAAATTTATTTCTGTACATTGATATATATATATATATATACAAATTATTTTAAATAATTTTTTTTGGCATTTATTTATTGCAGAGACAGGAATCCTCCATGTTTGTGTTTATCCAGCTCAGGTATTTAGCTACTCGTGTGTAAACTCCAGGATATCCTGGTCTTCCACAGCCTACTCCCCATGATACTATTCCTGGAGAATTAAAAAGAAAAAATTATTATTAGATTTTTAGGGCTAATTTTATGTTAGAAGGAATAATTGGGAAATTAATTTTTTTTCTCCAGGAAACTTGTCAAGGTAGAGTTTTTTGGAAAATTTTTTTGGGAAGGGCTTTTTTTAGGTAGTAGGGAAGGACATATTAAAATTTTGGAAGATTTGGTTCAGTATCAAAATTTGCATTAATACATTTGTAATTGGAATTTTAATTGAATTTTGAGGAAAAGTATGGCCAATTGAAGCATTGACAAACAATACATTGATTTTAAATGTCAATGCAGTTTCAAAATTATCAAAAATTGCATTAAAGCACTTGTAATTGGTATTTTAATGAAAGGTCAGGCGAAAATTAAGACTATTGAGGTACTGTTTGAAGATACATTGATTCTAAATGTCAATGCAGTCAAAAAATATCAATATTTGCATAGGATAACTTGTAATTAAAATTGTAACATTATTATCAACTTTGATTAAATAAAGCATTGATTAAGAATTATATTGATTTTGAGTATAAATGCAGCAGAAAAATCTCAAAAAACGCTATAAAAAAAAGCCTATATTGAGAACTTTTACATGATATTATTGATCAGTATCTAATTTCTTAACAAAAATATTCAAAAAATTAGAAATTAAAATTATTCTATTCCATATATTTCAAAATTAAACTCATCACTCATCATTTAATTAAATTCAATATCGATTATGGAATAAAAATGAATAAATTTACCAGCAATTTCAACTTTGTCACCCTCTTGAATAAGTAAAGGGCCGCCGGAATCCCCCTGACAGGAGTCTTGGCTCCCTTTGCCAGCGCAAATCATATTACCAGTAATTCGATTAGCTTTGTATTTCATTTTCCTGCATTGATCGAGAGTTAAAATAGGAACTTTTACTTCGTGAACGACTCCCGGTAGCATTCCGCCTTCCATAGTACGTCCCCATCCGACGACAGTGCCTTCTTTGCCGGCTGGATCGGAGCCTTGATGAAAACGATAGTCATAATGAGGAAAATAGTCACTGGAAAATTGAAAATTGGGGAAAGTCCTCACCTGGAGTAGGTAAACAAATCGGGCGGACTGTTTTTGAAAAAATGACAGGCTTTCGTAGTTTGAGCAACGCGACGTCGTGGTTATAGGAGTTTATATCGAAGTTGCGGTGTCGGATTATGGCAGCGACGGCTCTCATGACAGCTGGAGCATCCGTTGTTGAATGTTGATCGTGGTCACCTAGTATCACACGTAGTTTTGATCTTTTTAACCTTAATTAAGAAAGAAAAACTTAAGTTTATTATTTAGTTCATGAAAAAACTAGCTGCATTGATTTTGAGCGTCAATGAAGGGCAAAATAATTATATAATACATGATTTTTCCTACACAAACTGCAATTTTGACTTTAATAACTACAGTTTTGATAGTTGTAATGTTTAAAATATGAACTTGCATTAATTTTGAGCATCAATACATTCCAAAATTTTATTTTTTTTTTTTTTTTTATTTTTTTACTTAAAATACAGTATTCGTTCAAATAACTCTAAATTAGACTCTTGGAAAGTCCAAAATTTCATTAAACTACATTTTTTTACTCATAATACAATTTTTCTTCAAATAACTTCAGTTTTCTCTTCTACAGAGTCAAAATTTAACCTTTATTGCAATGATTCCGAGCGTCAATGCACTATTAAAATTCCAAAAACTTTACTTTTCATCTGTTAAAACCAATTTTTTCTTGATAATATTATTCTTTTGACCGTCAAAATTTCAAAAAGCAAGATTGTAATAAAAAATTTCCAAATTGTTAGTTTTTTCTTAATTATAGATCAGTTTTTGTTAAAAAAAAAAAAAAAAACTCCAGTTTTAGGTTCTTACAATGTCAAAATTTTACAACTACATTGATTTTGAGTGTCAAAATTGGTAATTTTATCTAAACCACTTAAAAATTTCAATTTTTCGACTTGCATTCCTCTTATCAACACCTTATCAACAGCTTTTCAAGCTCATAAAAAATAAATTGATTTATCAAATTAATTAATTAGTTAAATAATTAACCTCCGAAGACAATGAGCAGCAGTCAATACATATTCATTAGTCAATAAACTTGCACCGCAGTGAAAACGTCCTTCGTAAACGAGTCTCGCGACCCATGGGTAACGATGAGGCACTGTCGGCTTCCCACCAACTATCCGGATTTCTTGATTCGACACGCCGCACTCTAAATAGACAACATTCAACAATTACTCATCAATTATAATTTCTTCTTTGTTAAACAATTGTTTATTAGTAATGAATAATTATTAATTGACAAGAGAAATTTATAAAGAATTATTTTTACCACAACTACAATTTTTAGTTTGTCCTTCATCGCTTTCAAAATTGTCACCAGCGGTAATATCCACGCCGAAAATTTCATCAAAGAGAAATTTGCCAGTTCGGTTCTGAAATTTATTTTAAATATTTTTTAGTTTAAAAAAAGGAATTTTAATTTTATCAATAATAAAATTTTAATATAATAACCTATTACATACAATAAAAAGAGAAAGTGCAATCAATATTATCGACTCACTCCATTTAAAATATTACACTAGTCATTGAACTTGACATTTAGTGGATGTAATACATAATAGTATTATTAAATATTTATCAAATTCGTAATAATGCAAATAAACATTTTTTTTTTTTTTTTAATTTTTTGAGCGTAATAAGAGCTTTAAAATGACTACCCACACGCTTATGGTCTCGCTCATATGTGAATTAATCACATATTATGTGATGTATATGATGCTCATATGTGTCACATATGAAGAAAATATCAAGTATCATGTGGGTAGTCATTTTTTTGGAAATTTTCTGCAGATTACGAAAATATAAGTAAAAAATAATTAATCTAAATAATATAAATAATAATTTTACGAAAAAAAAAAAAAAAAAAAATCTTACATTAATATTTGGGCCGAAAAATCTTGATGAGCTTGAGCATAAATTATCGACAAGTAAAGCAAAAAAAACAATATTAAATACTATACGTTTGTTATTATTATCTATCACCATTATTTGATCACTTGGCACTTGAAAATAAGAATTGAAAAATGAAAGAGCTTTCGTTTTTTATAAAAACTTTCACCGAATGACAATAATCGAGCACTTATAATTCTTTAATCGTGACATGATTTATCGTCTGTACTGTTGTAGCACTTTACACAGTATTTTTATCAACTGACATTTTTTTATTTTTTGAAATTTATGGAAGAACTTTTATAATTGATTTTTATTGATAAGGAGAATTAAAGAGTGATAATAACAGAGCTGTCGAACAGAAGCTTTCTCTGGTTGGATATAAATGTTAAATGTGTAATATAAAAGGCTGACGAGTAAGTGAAGACTGATCGAGTAAGCGAAGAGTACTCGAGTGTCTTTAACGTTGAGGATCGTGATTCTTGGTGTTATGAAGAAAGTTCTTTCTCCAACATTTATAACCGGATACTCAATTTAATTATATGTTTATCGTTTTACTCTCCTTTTTTATTTTTTTTCTTTTTATGAAATATTAGTAATAATATTTATGATATTTTTATTGATAATAATATTTTAATAATAAATATATCATGGTGATATTTATCATTTATCATGTCACATAAACAATAGTGATATTCATCATGATCATAGTATTTAAAAAAAGTAAAAGTCAATATAAATCATCATATTGATATTCATCATGATCATTATCATGATAATGATATTGACAATACTGATATAAACCTGGTGATATTCACCCCGATATTCATCATAATAAACTGTTACATTATTAATAGCAAAAAATTTTTAATAATAACAATAAAAACTATCATGACTTCATGATACTGAAATTGATATTGATATTACTCTCTTGATTTATATCAATTTTCCTGTTTTTTTTTTTTTTTTTAGAAACCCCAAAGTAAATTTCTTCCATTTACATCTCAAATTCTCATGAAACTCTATTAAAAAAAAAAAATTAATTTCCATAAAACAAAAAAATAAATTTTTCTTAATCCCAATACTAAATAACAATTTAGTATATTAGTAAGTAACGGTCGATGGTTTCACTAACCCAGATTCATTCGTCGAAAGCAAAACGTTTTAGTCGCATGACCCGGTTATCATTATATATATATATATATATATATATATATATATATATATATATAATATATAATAATATACAATATATATATTTTGATGTGATAAAAAATTCAAATTACCATTCTGGTCCCCACAATAAACAATCACATTCTTATTCAAACACATTTCCAAACTACGGAGTATAAATACCTCACATTTACTTTCAAGGTCATAAATCATCATCATCATAATTAATTTAATAAACATGTAATTATAGGTACTATTATTTATTTTAAATTAATCATCACAAAGTATCTTAATATTAATTACACTCTTAAAATATAAAACGACTAGAATTTTTTTTTTTTATAATTATTCATTTGAAAAATCTGAATAATTATTTGGCAGGCGGGCAAATACATTCTCCGTCTAGATTATCACGTAACCATCCTAAGTAATTTGTTAATTTTGTATAGACTCCGGGGTATCTTGGTCTTGCGCATCCTCGACCGAAAGAAGTTATTCCTGGATACAAAAAATTATTAAAACTTTTTAATAAATAAATTAATTAATCATTAATCATACCTATAACTTCTAAATGCCCGTAGGGCCCTTCAACCAATAAAGGCCCGCCGCTGTCTCCCTAAAAAAAAAAAGAAATTAATTTATTGATAATATAGTCACAATTTTAATAAAAAAAAATTGTTTCTTAAAAAGAAGAAATAAAAAATTTACAGAACAGGCGTCGCGTTTTCCTTCTAAGTAACCAGCGCAAAACATATTAGTAGTGCGCCGAGATTTTTGGTAACCAGCTTCATCACACTCTTCGTCAGATAAGACAGGAAGCTCTACTTTCCTCAATGTTGAGCTTACTTCCCCACCCTCTGTCGTACGGCCCCATCCTATAGCGGTCGCTAATGATCCTGTGTAGTCAATGGCACCTAGAAGAAATTTTTAAATGATTGATTATTAATTGATACAGCTACTACATTGATTATGAGCGTCAATGTAATTTAATATCGTTCAAAAGTACTGAAAAATTGAATTTTACCATTAAAATAGATAAAAATTAATATTCTTACGATTTTCTGGTAAACACGCAGTGCGTATCGCTCCTCCTACTGGAATAGAACGATCCATTTCTATGACAGCGATATCATTGTCCAAATTATAAGTATTGAAATCTTCGTGTACTGTCCAAGATTTAATGCGTCGACGTATCACAGCCGAGCTCGATTTATCAAAATCTTGCTTCCCGATAAATATTTCAAAATGTCTCTTGTCAAATCTGAAAATTAGTATAATTTTAATAATACTAACTTGTTTTAATTTTAACCAATGAAGAATTGTAAATTGTTGAATTACCCTTCTAAACAATGAGCGGCAGTTAAAACATGCCGTTTAGTCAACAAACTCCCACCACAGTGAAATTGTCCGTGTTTGCTCATAGCAATCATCCACGGGAATTCTCCAATTGTTGCTGTTGTACCACCGACAATTCGCGTTTTTCTTCCAACGCCACAAACTATAATTAATAAATTACATAATTTTAACAAAAACTTAATTTTAAAATTGTTTTTTAATTAAAATAAACTCACTACAATTACTGCACGTATTAGGCATTTTTGGATAGGCTATTTTAGGCGGATTAGTGTTGACAATAAATCCATCGTCGATAGTTAAATCATTGTTGCTCCTCGCCGACAAATTGTAAAAATCGAACGGCTTATCGGCCCAGCTATTTTGATTCTGAATATAAAATCAATTAATTGTTAAAAAATAATTAATTTCTTCTCTTATAAAGATTAAACATTGTCAATCTTGTTTTTAATTATTCTTTCTAATTAAGGGTGCAGAAAAAAATTCCAATTGTTCAATATCTTCACTTTGATAATTAAACATTTTAAAATGATTGTAAAAGTAGTCTTTTATGATTAAATAAAAAATTTTTGGATGTTAATTATTAAAACTTACCCTCGGTAGCGAATTTACGGTGAAAAAAGTAAAAAAACAGACAAATAAAACGGCACAAAACACAAAAACTCGCATGATGACTTAACGAGGAATAAAAATAAATCGAAAAAAAGGATAGCCGGGCCTTAGGATGACAATAGGTACTAAAATTGGTCTGGTAGACGGATTGTCGGATTGTCGGATTGTCGGTGGTTAAGTACCCGGTAAAAGTTTGTTAAACGCCGTTTTATAGTAAATTATAACTAATAAACAGTAAACAGTGGAACTGGTGGGAGTCAACTGGCGAAGAATCACCTTGGCCGGCGTGTTTGCATTGGCAGATGTACATCCAGGCCTTTAAATCATTCCCGGGTATTATACACTAACGCTGTAATGTCGCAATTGTCTCTTTTTATTTTGCTTTTTACCTTTACCGCAACACAATGTCACGCATTATTTCTATTAACATAAATCGGTAATACTTATATGTATTAATATTTACCAAAACTTTTCCTTTTTGATGCATATCCAGCCGGGCCACCGATCAATGTCAAATATTTCGTAATTGAAAACGAAAGTTCCATCGAATTATTGTTTTTCATATTTCTTCTCGGCTTCACGCTGGGACACTTTGACATTTTTTCTTTCACTTATGATTTATCCGTTAATTATTCTTTTATTTGCTTTTCTGTCCGCGGTATTACTTTTTTATTGTTCGCATTTTAGTACAAGGATTTACTTTACTTTTATGTAATCCTAACGCTCATTTCAATTCTAGCCTCATTTTTTTTTTCTTACCGCCGGAAATATATTTGTTTCATAATTTAGATATTGCTTTTTTTTTTTTTTAATGTAATAAAATTTTATAGTTTGGGAGTAAAAATTTTAAATAAAACATTAAATATTTAATTTATTAAAAAATATTTTATGATTTTTTTTATAGGAAATTTTATGCTCTATAAAAAAAAAAGGTCTCAATTTTTTTAAAATTATCCTAGGTCAAAGTTCAAAATTTATTATTTTTTTTAATTTAACATTCTAAGGAATAATTTGCCTGAAAAAATTACGAAATGAATCTAATATGACATTAAGATAATTGATAATTGATATAACAAAAGACATTCCAATTGAATACATAACACAAACGACAATAATGTAAATAATAAATAATAAATAAAATAAAAACAGCAACACCCGCATGAGGGTAATGTGACCCAGATACCTTGACCCATTGTCAATTGTCACAGTGCCAAACAGTGATCACCTTGAAAATAGATAATTAATCCTAAATTATCATTATTTTTAATTATATCAATAATTTAAAAAAAAAAAAAAAAAAAACAAAACTGACATCAATGTCCTTTGACCTTGAAAAAAATTACAAGAGACTTTTTTTGTAGATCATTTATTTTCCTATACAAAAAAATATCATTTAAAGGATTTAAATTTTCCTGCTTCCGTGCTTTGGGTTGTACCATAATTTTGCAATGCCTATAACTCGGAAACTATTTCTTCAAAATAAAAATCAATATTTATAATTTTGATTTGTTTATATGAATAAATAGTAGAAAAAAAAAAAAAAAAAAAAAAAAGCTTCCGGCAACAATAAAATCCTGGAAAAGATGATAAGTTATGAATTATAAATTTCACTTAATAACCCGTCAGTCCACTATTCCGTATATAAATAAAGATGTAGCACAGCTGAGTAACTTCTGTGTGAAAGTGTCCGTCGTATCGATAAGTCGATCCAATTATTTAATAATTTAATGTCAAAATAACTTTTTTATCAAATCTAATTGACAGTGGATAGAAGAAATGAATAAATATGCTATAACTGTGATTAATTTATTAGTGTGTGTGTCTGTGGTTTATTCAAACGTGAATTACCCAAAATTATTATCTGGTTATTCAAATAAGAACTGGAATAACCAACGAGTGAGTTATAATCATGCTAATGCTCATCCTAATGCTAATAATCAAGATAATTATAATGTAAATAATTATAATGATAATGGCAATAAAGATGTAGATAGTGCGGGACTTATGGGCAAGATCTTTGCTCGGGGATTTAAAAAATCACCTAGTGACCTTGTTGATCTAGGACTCGTCACTTCCAAGGTTAACTTTCTATCATTCTTATCTTTTACATATACTCTGGATAATTATTTTTATTAATTTTAATTTAAATATTTTGAATTAATTTTCAGAAAAATCAAGACTTGGAAAAAAAATTAGGAACAACTCAAAGAACATTTGTCGAGTGGATTCAAAATATTGTCGGGACTACAACTACTGTTGCAAGTATCCCTAAAGAGTGTCCAAAATGCTGTTAGTATTTTTAATTATTTATTCTAGATTTTTAAATTAATTTTGCTTAAAAGATTGCGCTTTTAAGAGAATCAAAATGAATTTTTAATATTTTTTCAGCATGTGGAACATCAAGTACCCCTAACAAAATAGTAGGAGGTCACGATGCAGGAATGGATCAATTTCCATGGATGGCTTATCTGACCTACGGCGGAAAATTTTACTGTGCTGCTTGCATAATCAGTGATAGATTCCTATTAACAGCCGCTCATTGCGTCGACAGGTGATCAAAGATTAATTATGAACAGACAAAAAAAAAAAAAAAAAAAAAAAAAAAAAAATTTAGCTGAAATTTTGAATAAAAAAAAAACCAATGATCAATTAAATAATGTTAAACTAGGTTTGATACTTTCAAAATGATGGTCCACGTGGGTGATTTCGAACGAGGAAACAAAACTTCTAAATCAACTGCATACAGAGTCGAAAGTGTGATCAAACACAGCGGGTACTCGTTGCTAAATTACAACAACGATATTGCGCTGATAAAAATACTTGGCAGGATGAAATTCGATGGCCCTTTAAAGCCGGTCTGCTTACCAGAGCGCGGGAGCACTTTTGCCGGGCGAAACGCCAGTGTAACTGGCTGGGGCGCTATTGAAGAATCCGGAGCTCTGGCTACGAAGTTACAGGAAGTTGTTGTGCCCATTTTGAGCAACAACGAGTGTCGCGGCACCAAATATCCGCCCAAAAGAATCACGGATAATATGTTGTGTGCGGGATTTCTTGACGGAGGAAGGGATTCTTGTCAAGTATTTATCTTTTTAATTATTTCAAGCTCTAGGGAAGATTTTGAATTAATTATTTATTTTTTTTAGGGAGACAGTGGCGGACCGCTTCATATTTTGGAAGACAATACTTACCATGTTGTAGGTAAGAATTATTCCTTATTATTTCTTTAAAATTTTATTTTTTAATTAATTCGTCCTGTTTTTCAAAAAAAAAAAAAAAAAAAAAAAAATAAAAAAAAAAAAAAAATAAGCGAAGGATACCTTAAGTAAATCTTGTAAAATTGTAAACCTCAAAGTTAGTACAGTGGGTAATATTTCAAACTTTCCCCCAGTAAATTTTCCACTAAAAACAACAAACTTTATTAGTGAGGATGTTTGTCAAAAGTAAATTTATATTTTGTCAGGAATTGTGTCCTGGGGTGAAGGGTGCGCTCTTGAAGGGTACCCAGGAGTTTACTCACGAGTTAATCGATACATAACGTGGATTGAGAGGAGCACAAGGGGATCTTGTTTCTGCTGATTTATAACTATTACATCAATTAAATGGCCATCAATAATCACAAGTAATTCACGGCACAGTTTATTTATTTTTTATTTATTTATTCACAAGGCACAAAAAATAGTAGAGAACTTGCATTTATTTTTAGCTCAACATTTAATTTAATAAATAATTTTATATAAAATATGCAATTTTCTCTATTAGCAATTTAGACATTTGTTATGATAGTTTGGGGTGAATTTTCCTTAGTGGGGGATTCGTCTGTCCCGTACAGCCAATAAGTCTCCATGTTTCCTTTCCCCTAGAAAAATACAAGGGAGAAATACTTATGCATCCCTTACAAGTACATTTTCATGAACTTTATGAACAAAATATGATCGCGAGATCGATAACTCACCTTGACCCACAACACCCCTCGGGACTCAACCCGGTAGCGATCTGAGGGCAGTAATGCTTTAGTTTCCGGTGAAATGTGCACTTTTCCCGGCTGTTGAATTAATTAGTTCAATTTTTAATTATTTTTTTTGGAAAATAAAAATCATCATTGAACTTACCAACCCTGTAGACTGCATTCTTGATGCAGTGTTCACTGTGTCGCCGAAAAAACAGTATCTCGGAACTTTAATCCCTACGACTCCTGCAACTGCGGGTCCTGAATGAATTCCTAGAAAAAACAAGCATATTATTATTATTATTATTATTATTATAAAATCTTACAGAGATAGTTTTGTACAGAATTGAATTTATAGTTTTTTTTAATTTAATCATATCTTCAATATTTATCCCAGAAATCACGTTCCAATCAATCTAATATAACTTTTATAAAAAGGTCAATTTATTTCTTTCAATTGAGAGATTTTAATGCCCCAATCAAAATCAAGCTTCTTTACCACAGAATCAAAATTAAATAAATAACATATTCACCTATCCGTATTTGTATGTCAATCCCTGAAGGTAATTGGAGAGAGCGTACACGTTTGATTAGTTGCAATGATACGTCTGCGATATTCCTCGCATGATGTTTCGTCCTGTCTGGAGCTCCACTTGCCGCCATATAAATACGTCCTACTGTCTCCACCTATTTTATCAAAGTGTTTAAAAATTCCATGAATATTTTAAAGAAAATTGGAAAAACGGTTGACCCTGAAGGCCATCCCTAAAACTTCCCGCCAATTCTAATATTATACCTAAACGCTTAAAATTGCACTTAAGCTGCGACGATTTAAGCTGGTTTGGCTTCAAAACCTTTCAGAAGATGCAAAAAAAAATCCGATTGGTGAATAATAATAGTCATAAGAAAAAAATTTATCGAGATTTTTAAAGCGGGATGTGACTTATTATGTCTTATTATACCGGATTTTATAGGTGGCCATGTATCGAGATTTCTTAAGCCTAAATTTACCCTGTGTTTTTACCTTGTAGACGTTGAACTTGTCCATTAGAGAATCGAAACAGGAAAAAACGGCGTTCATCGAGGACACTATGTCCATCACACCCTCGATTGTCGAGTAGTCAAAGTCACAAAGCTCGCAAAACAATACTGATATTGATTCAAAAGACTGCAATAAAAAAAAAATCCAAAAGTTTCTTGTTAAATTCAATTTTCTTTTATTCCGGCCCAACTTTCCCGACTTTTGACCTACGCCAGATTTATTGCGCTTGTTACTCAATCGATAGAGCAGTAAATTTCATCGCGGGTTCGAATGATCCCGGTCACAGTATTTTTTTTTTTTAATTTTTAAAGGCCTCAAAATGAAAACAAAAACAATTTTTTTAATCTACCTCACATGTACTCAGAGGATTAGAGCCACTTCTGAGCCGATCTGCGACCGTCTGAGGTATCATAGAGTAAAGCAGCTCGTCGCTTTTATTTTTCCAGCGATCTAGCAACGCGTAACTAGTTTCCAGTTCCTCTGACCTTTGCTCAGCCCTTTCGAACATCATTTCCAACCTGTCACAATGTTGCCAACCAGCCAGAACCATCTCCCGACTCATTCCATGAGGGTTTAGGTCGTTTAGATACAGTCCCATGCTCGGTAACTCATCCAGGCTATTAATTCTGCGGGGAAAATTTTTATTGACGTCTTATTTTAAAAAGATATAAAATAAAACTCACAAAGGACTACAGAGGAAAATTATAGACTTGATATCTTCGATGTATCGCATTTGTCCCTTTAAAAGAATACTCCGTGCACCGTGACTTCCCTTGCGATCCAATCCGGATTTGGAGCTTCCGGGGTCACGGTCTGAATTAGTTACTGTTTCATTAGAGCGAATTAATTCCAGTTCGAACATAACTGAGTACAAATAAATAACCTGAAAATTAACAAATTATTAGTTACAAAATTGTAAATTAATTTACTGGCCTAATTGACCTGATTTTTGACCTACCACAGATTTATTAGAATTGTTACTTAATCGATAGAGGATTAAATGTAGATCAAAAGTAGCTTTTTAATTAAAAAATCAGTCAATAATTCCACCAGAGTTATTACAGTTTTAAATTTTATTATTGAATTTTAGGTCCCGGGTTCGAATCTCAGTACCGTTTTTTTTTTTTTTTTTTAAATTAAAAAAAGACTCACATTGCGCCAAGTAAATGAAATTCCTTTGGGCCTCCTTAGTTTGAAAATCTCAGCAATATGCCTGTTCAAAATAGAATTGTTTCCTCCCCAAACTTGTAGCAACTTCTCACCTGCCCCCTCGATCCTCATCTCGCGATTAACCATCACTCCGAAAGGGAATAATCTGAGAAGTAATCCGCAAGAAACTGGAGAAAGCTCTCTGCCGATTGGGGCTTTCATGCGATTCGTCTTTGCCGTCTAAGCGCAATCAGTTGATTAATTTAAACTAATTTAATAAAATAAATTAAAAGTGACTTACGTATTCGCGGTTGTCGAAATCGATACGGAATTTCACCATAACGTTCCTCGACCCGGGGATGTTGTTCAGGTTTTCCAGCACCCGGATGTCCAGGGTTGTTTCGTAGAGGTCTTTCGCTATTTGGAACAAAATTCCTGCGGAATTCCAAAATTTAATCATTTTCTTTTTTTTGTTTAAATTCATTTTTGACCCACCGATCAAATAATGGGTCAAGCCTTGCCGATTGCTCCGGTAGACCAAAACTACTCCGTGGGGATCGATATGTGTGATGTACATGGAAGGGCTCTTCATTTTCGGATATGTGAATCGCATTTGGATGTGAATGTTGTCGACACTTTGCAGGAAATCACAGAAGTAACGGCCTGTTGCTTTTATCATACATCCGTATCTAAAATAAATTCCAAAGAATATTTAAAAAAATTTTTTTCGATCCAAAAGACACTTTAAATAATTAAAAACAGTTTTTTGGTCCAAAAAATATTCTCAAAAATTATAAAAAAATTTTTTTTCTCCAAAAAATTATTGTAAATAATTAAAAATGCTAAAATTGTTTTTGATCCAAAAGATATTTTAAATGATCAGAAAAATACTTTTTTTTACTAAAAAAACATTTGTAAATAAATAATTCAACAATCAAAAACATAATTATTATTAATTACTATTTACAAATCTTGTATAAATAGAAAATCACTTCCATTAAAGGAAAGTAGCCCCAATGGGACAGATATTTATAACTGAACTTAAATATTTATAATTATCGATTACCCGCCCTCAGTGTTTAATTTAATAAGAGCTTTCATTGCCGAGAGAATGTTTCATTGATTAGTCAATAAAACTTTCCCCAGGGGTTTTATTAATTCTTTTCTTTCATTCATAAAAAATGATACCTGAATACAAACTTACTAATTTTATTATTTTCTTTTTCTTTAGTTTATACTCACCCCAAATTACTAAAAAATCTAACAAAACACCTTCCAAAAAATTCAACAGTCTTATTGGCAGAAACTCCAATTTTTTCCGCCAACGCAGAGGCCAGTTCAAGCATCAAAGTGTCCGAATATATTTGCCGGGTATTAAAAACGGTGTTTTTTGCCCCGACTTGTTGCAATATTTCCAGCCAAACAGACTCGCCATATTCCAACTAGAAAAAATAAAAAAAAAAAAAAAGTTTCTAAAAATAAAATTTATTAGCTTACAATGGCTCAATAATTAATTATCATTTTCCACGAGGCGAATATCAATATGAAATGTTAATTTATATTTTTCTTTTAACATCATTCAAGATTGATTTTCTTTTTTTTAAGCCTAGACTTTTAAGAGATTAATCGTTCCAATTTAAAGGGGCTTAGGGTCCTTTTATCCGGCATATTTATACAGTAAAAAATATAAATGTGATATACTTGACGTGAATTTAATGTCTCTCGATTTAAAACTCAGTAAATAAAAATAAACAAAATATACTTAGTGGTATCTTTTTGGAGAAAGGAAAAAAAAAAAAAAAAAAAAAAAAAAAAAGAGAATTGGGGAAAAAATGTCAATAGACATTTTTTATCTGGATTCTTTTTTCCCTTTCAGTGATTTGCATCGATATTACCGTTTATTTAAAAATAAAAAAATACGCTCCAGGCAGAATTTATTTTATTCGTAAATTTAAAATACATTTTTTTGTGGATTGGATTGAAAAAACACAGATTTTTATGGATAAATTCGTTATTTGTTAGGTAAAAATCGATGGAAGGTTTTTTGAGGTAAAATTATAAATTTTTGCTGCATTGGCGCTCAGTATCAATGCAGTTTTCTCGTTAATGATTTAATTAGTAATGTTTCTTAAAAATAAAAATCTGCATCAGTTTTTTTTTTTTTTTTTTTTACAGAACTGAAGATAATGACTGACTGCATTGACGCTAAAAATCAATGCACTTCCTTTTTTAATGGTGCAAATTAGTAATTTTTGTTTAAAAAAATTAAAAATCTAATAATGAATAGTTTCTTTTATATAAAAAAATTAAATTTTTGCACTGCATTGACTCTCAAAATTAATGCATCTTTTTTTTTTGCCAGTTCTCAGGATCTTTTCATCTGATTTATACGAAATTTTTGATATTCTTGAGACTGAAATACATTATTAATGACAATATTGATGATAATAAAATTATAACAGATTTTCCTAGAGACTCTATTGATACGAACAGTAGCATTTTCACATTTTTGGCAAAAACGTCAGCTACTATTTGTCAAGCTTGAAAAGATGTCAATTACGATTTTCTAGCCCACCCGAAAGTTTTTTCCCCATAGAAAACTCTCTAACGCTCTGTTTATTTTTTGTCGCTTTTCCTCATCTATAAATGATTGACACCGGCCCTATTAATTGCCCCAATGAATCACTAGGAAAACATATCAACACCAATAAAATAAGTGATAAATTACAAATAAAAAAAAAATTTATCAGTCACCCGGAAAATTAAAGTTATTCAAGGTATTAGAAGAATTTTTATCGGGTTTTAAATTTGAATAAAATATGCTTTTTTTTTTTTGTAAAAGTTATTAGTATCTCTTTAATTAAAATATTCAATAACCCGAAAATTTCCAACAGAAATAGCGCAAAGATTTATTGTAAATATATATACTGTATATTTTTTTTTTTAATTGATAATTTTCTTACTTGAACAAAATGTTGAACACTTTCCAAAAGCATTCCATACATTTTGGCAGTTTTTCCTGAAAGGAAAAAAATAATTAACACTTGTTAAATAATAACAATTATTTTTTTCAGTAAAAATAATTTTTTTTTATTAGTTAGTGTTAAAAAAAATTTAACACTTTTTTTAAATTTTTTTAGTTAAAATATTTTTTTTTTTTATTAAAAAGTGTTAAAAAAAATTAATTTTTTTTTTTTTTTTTTTTTATTAATAACACGTGAAAACATTTGATAAAAAAAAAAAACCTGATAGCGAAGTGTTCGACAAGGTGGCTCGCGAGAGACTCGTGAAGAGCTTGATTTGATATTACACTCTACTCTGTACTCGAAGTATGAAGAGAAGGACAGAAGCGAGAAGAAAAAAGAGGAGAGAGAGCATATGGGGAAAAAGTTTTGGGGTAGTAAAAGATTTTTGGAGCTGCGCAAAGGTAGTTTGATTTCTATTATCGTGACTGTCGTGTCTCCGTAACACGTTGAGAGGACCACTAACCAAAAGTCGAACTTTTAGAGATAATTAATTACCTCCTCACGTGTTTCTCTTTAATTAACTTGTAGATATTAATGAAAAATTTATTGCTTGGGTTTAATTAATTGTTTGTTTTACTAATTGTAATTGATATTTAATTGTCAAAATAAATATGTCTATAAAATAATTAAAAGAATAATCAGTTATTAATTATATATTTATTTTTTAATATCATTACATATATGTATATTTTCTATAAAATCATTTTTTAACACATAAGTTATAAAATTCTCTCTTATAATTTCAATTACTGACTCATTACAGAAATTAATTACAAAAGAAATAATTAATAATTTAATAGTTATCTTCGAATAAATATGTTTCCGGATTTAAACTATTTGAAATTTTATAAACTGAACCAATCAGCCAATTAATTAATTAAATTAATTGACTGATTGAAAAATAAAGTTAGAAAAAAAAAAAAAAAAAAAAAAACGTATCACAGAAACAAAAATGAACTAAAAATAAATGAGCCTTGCATCCTCCGGGTTCTGCTCGACGGGACAGTAGGGGCACTTGAGCCTGGAAACAAATTGGTTTCTATTTTAAAAAAGTGATTTCGATATCAATGCACTTGGTACTTGCTCTATAATGAACGACTTACTTGTTTGAATTTGTTAATTTATTTAATGCGTCACGAGATATTACGTGACCGCAGACCAACTTCATTGGTGGATTGTTTTCGGTACTCTGTTGTCTCAGGATTGGACATGCGAATACTGAGTGATAGCGGCTTTGTTTTCCCAAGTCTATTTCGATCTGAAAAAATTTTATTTTTATTATTTTATTGGACTTGTAAACTATAAATAAATAAAATTTTTCTTTATTAAATAATGACTTGTTAAATTTCACAGTACTTTTTTAACTATTGATATTTTTTAAGATATAAGCTCACCCTGGCATTACACTCATCGAGACCTTTCATTTGAATACCCACATGCATTTTTTATATATTTTCCATATATAATATATATAAATATATAAAATATAAGAAAAATTGATGTGGGTACTCAAATGAAAGGTCTCAATGAGTGTAACATCAGGATGAGCTTATATCTTTAAAAATGTCAATAGCTCACAAGAAACAAGGTAATTTTGTTTATTCTCTTAATAATAAATAATAAACTTACAGGAAGTTCATCTTTTCCATTCCATATATTGGTAACTTGTCTCTGTTGCATAACTTGCTTGATATTTAGCAATGCCGGCAATGCTGTACATCCCGCATTTACACTATCAAAAAAAAAAAAAAAAAAATTAATTAATAAATCAATCAATGAATAAAAAAAAAGATAATCCTACCAAACAGACAGAGGACTATCAACACTGAGTCCCAACAAAGTGCATGCTTCCTTGGTGAAAACATCGTGAATATCCAGCCAAAGATTCGGATCCAGCAAATGGCTGTAAGGCGAAGACTGGATCCCATTCGGGAGGTACAGAAGCGTCCCCATTAAAGACTGAACCTCCTTTTCGTGGCGAGTCACAAACTGGGTCAAATTTTTCCGAGCATACATCACTGCTTCTGCTTGGCTGCTTGGACCTTGTTGGACCAGTCTGATGAACTGGAGACGGTGGAGCTTGAACTCCAAAGAGGAATTTTGGGCCAGCAGGGCATCGCGGTGGTTTTTAGTCCACTCCAACGCTGGTTCTAAATTTCGCTGCTTCAGGCAGTCTAAAATTTTGTTGAGTTCATTAAATGGCTCCTTTTTACTGTCATCAGTCTTTATTCCCGTCTCCTGGAACAATTTTTATTTTAAATCAAGGATAAATAATAAAATTATTTCTAAAAATTTTTTTTAATTATTTTTAATAAAAAAATTACTTGGAAAATAATTAAAAAACTTACAGCAGCTAATTCTTCAGCAATATCGAGCATTCCCTGTCGATAAAAATGCTGACAGATGACCTGGTTAAGCAGCTGCGTCTTCTCCGTGCCATTGAAGACATCTTCACGGCTGGTGCTGGCAAAGTCTGCGATAAAATTTCTGTCAATAGCTTTCCCGACTTTCGAGACAGTACTGTGGGACTCGCGGTGGTCTGTAGCCAGTCGATGCACTGTGTCACGGACTTTGCTCACTGACTGCTTCAGAATTTCAATCTGCTTTGGGGTTAGCTCTTGATCTGGGGGAGCTACCAAAAAAAAAAAAAATAATTAATACTAAAAATTAAGTCATAATTAAAAATTAAATGATAAAATTAAGAATTAAAAATAAAAAATAAAAAAAATGACGGAGGTCTTTGTTTACTAAAATAAATAAATAAAACGTACCTTGATCCAATTCCCGTTTAAAAGTCTCAATTTCACTGATTAAATCCCTCAAAACAGCTCCAGCTTGATCGTTGATGTCAGTGAATTTAAGTAAAACTTTGTCAAGTTCACGCTCTACTGTATTGCAAGCCTCCATTGTTATTGTTTTCTCATTTTAGATTTTTTCTATTCCTGTAGGTAGGTACTTTGTGTGATGTGCGATGGCTGATTCTCTTCCAACTCCCCACCTCTAAGCTGTCAATAAGGAAACAAAGATGGCGGAGCACCAGTCAGTGTTAAAATACACCAGTTAAATATAATATACTTATTTAGTGAAAAACAGCTGACAATTTAGAATTTTTTCTCAGTATTAAATTATTAAAATATTAAATAATAAAAAAATTGTTGGAGAAAAAAAATAACAATTAAATCAGCTGACATCTGATGATTTTTTTTGACAAAGAATTTATTACAATAAAAATTTTCTAAAAAAATTCCACTTGTAAATGTCAAAATAATTTATTGTTGCCTTTTTTTTAATTTAAAGTAATTTTATTTGTTCTATTTAAAAATCCAAAAAATGATGACAGCTAACTTCAGTTTGATAGAATAAAATTAGTTTGAAACTCGACAGATGGCGGCAGGTGGATGTTTTTAAAATTTATAAATTAAAATATGACGCTGTAGTTAATTGTTAATAACTGACATTTAAAATTTTTAAATAATTTTATAAAAATTAAATTATTAAAAAATAAATAAATTTAATTAAAAAAAATGATCAGTGGAAGATTTTAAAATAATTTTGTTTATTGTAATTGAAAAATTGATAGCTGTCAGCTGACTTCAGGATCATGTTTTGACTGCATCAGTGTTGTAAATAGTTGTTTACAATTGACGGGTAACCAACAAACCAACAAACAAATAAAGTTTAAGTGTCACTATGTCTGTGCAATAATAGAATCAGTGTTATTATGAGTGAGTCTGACGACACCGACATTTTGTTATTAATTCCTCCTGATTTATTCACCGTCGCCTCATCCCAGTCTGAAGAAAGTCTTTTAAACTACCCGCAGTTCAACAACTCCACCGTGGTATCTGAAATCCTGGAGCACGTTCAAGCTTTAGAAAACCGCATCAGTGCTATTGAAGTTAAAGATTCCAGTCTGGAGCGTTCGAGCTATGATTTGGCTCCAGCAGAGCCTCGGATTGCTGGAGCTGCTTCTGGGAGTTTCAACACCAACTCCACGGATTTGTTGAATGAAAAAAATTATCTGGACACGAGATCATCCTCCAGTTTGCCTGTCACTAAAAAAGGTTATTTTAAATCTTGTAATTATATTCCTGGACCAGGTTCCAGTATTTCTACGCCAAGCAATTCTCCCGCTAAAAAGTATCAAGACTTTGAATTTCTCAAAACTTCTCCGACGAGACGCTCTGATTTTCCAGGAGTTAAAAATGGAGAAGTTAATTTAATAAATTATAAAACTCAAGATTTACCGGGACTGTCATTGAATAGTTCGAGGGAGAAAATAGAATCTCCAAGACAAAAGTTCGAATTTCCAAAGTCAATTGTTGAGAGATCAAAGCTCTGGGAGTCCAAGAAGACTGTAAACACTAGCACACCTAAAAAAGACTTGAGTAATAAGCCTGAGGATTTTTTTCTCAAGAAAAATGAATGGTAATTATTTAATTTTTTTTTTTTTTTTTTTTTTTTTTTCTTCGCTAGTTAATATTAACTATACGCTATAGTTAATATTTTAGTTAATAATATAGATTTATTTATGTTACAGGAAAACTCCTTTGTTATCGCTGACTGATTTCTGGACCCCAGATCCTACTAAAAGTCAAGATGAGATCCTCAGGATTAAATTAGAAGAGGAAAAATTTCGACGAGAAGTATTTAATTAATGATTATAAATTAAAAATTAATTATTTATGTTAATTTTAATTTAAAAAAAATTTTTTTTTTTTTTTCAGCACTGCGAGCAGATGATTCAAGAACTGCAAAAAAGATTGCTAGAGCAGCAAGAAAAAATAGCTGTAGCAATACGAGTGGATAAAGACAAAAGTGACACGATAATCCAGTTCCAGGAAGTCTGGACTAAATTCAAGACCCGGTGGGATAACTTGGAGCATGAGCACTCCCAATTGCAATCGCGGATCCAAGATCTGACGGCGGATAACCAGCAACAGTTGGAGAGTCTCAATTCAAAGTTGCTCGGCAAAGACGAGGAAATAAAACGCCTGGAAAATTTACTAACAGAGAGTGATAAAAAGTGCGAGGCTGCTGTCAGAGATAAATTGACCACTCTTGAAGAGCATGCCAATGAGTTGGAGAAATACAAGTCGCTTGTCCAGGCTGCGGATCAACGTTCCGAGGAGTTTAAAAATGATTTTCACAAGTCCAAAGACTTGGTCGAACAATTGGAGCAGACTGTTAAAAGTTTACAGCAGGAATTGTACAAGGAAAGGTTGAAGAACACAGAAGTTCGCAATGAAATGGCTGTTGTTCACAAAGGGCTGGATACTTGTGAGGCTGAGCTGACGGTTTTGAGACAGGAAAAGGAAAATTTACTTCTCAAATTGAAGGAAGAAGAAAATAGGGTCAGTATACTGGAGAAGAATAAAATGATGCTGTTGGAAGATGTTAATAATACTAAAAAATCAGAGGTAATTTATATTATTAAAAGAATAAGTTAAATTTTATGGCTAGGGTATTTATATTATAAATATTTAGGCTGGAAAATGCTCTATCTCTAGATACATAATTAAAAAATGAACTTGTATCTTGTGAACTATTGACATTTTTAAAGATATAAGCCCACTTTGATGTTATACTCATCGAGACCTTTCATTTGAATACCCACATCAATTTTTCATATATATGATATATGAAAAATATATAAAAAATGCATGTGGGTACTCAAATGAAAGCTCTTAACGAGTATAACATCGGGATGAGCTTATATCTTTACTAGCAGTCCGCCCCGGCTTCGCACGGCTATTTAACAAAAATTTCAACACTTATTATGATGTTATATAGCCTATGCCACCCGGGGATAGTGAAGCTTCCCAACATTGAAAGAATTTTTCAAATCGGTTCAGTAGTTTCGGAGCCTATTCGATCCAAACAAACAAACAAACAAACAAACAAACAATCAAATCTTTCCTCTTTATACTATTAGTATAGATAAATGTCAATATTTAAGAAAGCACAGTGCAATTTAACAAAAGTTATTATTTAATAAACCAAAATTTTATTTATTTATAGTTTACAAGTCACGGCAGTCACATAGTGACTGCAAGGTTGCCAGTAGTTTTATTTATTTTTTATTAAATTGAGAAAAATTTTTACACTAGGAACTCGCGAGGGAAGAAATGAAAGCTCTGATAGCCCAGCATGACTTGAAAAGAACTGAATTAAGAGATATGTATCAAAAACAAGTAGACGACGTGGTAAATACCAAATTAAAAGAATTTGAAGCCCAATTAGATGCTGCTGAATTGAATTTCCAGCTAGAGTTGGAGTCAAAGCAACGAGCGATCGCTGAATGTGCTGCGAGGAAGATTAAAAGCATTATTGACAAGTAAGTCAATTAATTTAAGACCGGATGAATATTTAAATTGAAATAATTTTAATTTTTCTAGGCATCAAGTGGAGATAAATTTAATTGAGGAGAAACATAAAGAAGAAAAACGATTGTGGGAAATCAGGCTTTCTCAGACTAACAAAAAAGCTCAGGCTTACGAAACGCAATTAACTGCGTACCACAACGCAAAATCACGGCTTGCTGAGCAATTACACTCGCTTATGGAGAAGCAATATCACCAGGCTTTACATATTTTAACAAGTAGTTCATTTTTTATATAAAAAATTTAGGTTATTAAAATAAAGGTTATTAATTTATTTCATTTTTCAGCTGGAAGTACAGAGACATTTCAATTACCTCGGATTGATAAATCCGCGGAATTAATTAATTTGCTAAGCGGAAATAATTTCAACAGCACTACATACTTGGAGCCAGTTAAATTTAATTTTAAAGACAAAGATCAGGATAAGGAAAGGGAAAAGGAGGAAAAAAGACGAAAAGATTATGGAGAAAAAGATTACGATGAGTCTGTTGTCACTTATTGCAACTCTAGTGACGATTTGCCGGCCAAACAAAGTGATGATGATTTAAAAAAATATATTAAAATGGTAAATTAATTTTTTTTTTTTTTTTTTTTTTTTTTTTTTTTTGTTAAAATTTTTTATTAAATATTTTTGTGGATTTTCAGATTCTACAGATGCAAAATTCTAAAAAATTTACGGACAATAATTTAATAGATAATAACGACAAGTCGTCGTCGTCGCCGTTGGTATGTCGGGAAGTACCAAAAAAGTATTATTTAAAAGCTGATAGCTCTAAAAATAACTCCAATGAGGAGCTGTATTGTAATAAGTCTACTGAGGATATTAGCACGACAATAAATACCGTAAGTAATTTATTTATTTATTTTAATTAAAAATATTTATTAATGAAATTTATTACAGGAATACTTTACGATAGAGAAGAATAAATGTCGTACGCCTCAAGAGAGGCGTAATCAAGAGAGAGCAAAACCACCATGGAAGTGATTACTTGAAAAATATTAATTTTATCCAGTACAAATGAATAAAATTATTTTTAATACTTTTTTAACTTTAGAAAATAAATTTTTAATAAAACTTGAGATGATTGAATTTATTTTTTTCAAGTAGCAGATAAGTAAAAAAATGTTGAGTGAAAATAGATTTTAACGGAAGTCCGGTTGATAAAATTTATCGAGAATCCTCGAGTTCTTGAGCTTCAGTACACTAGTAGCTATTTTAAGTATTAAAGCTATAAACTCTGTTGATTTTTATTCAATGAAAAATGAATTTTATTAAACATTTTTTTATTTTAATTATTAATTTAAGCTTTGTTGTTTTGTGGAAAATTGAAGATGATAAATTTAAATGTCCAAAAGTTCGTGAAATTAAAAATTTTGATATTAAACAGGTACTTGATAATTATTTTTAAATATTTTATTTATTAAAAATAAATAAAATTTAGTTTTTAGGATCTTGGTACGTTGTTCAATACTACGCAAGTTCTGAAGAAGCGTTATCTTACAAGTGCATGCGTGCTGAATTTTCACTGTCAAAAGAAAATGTCAACGAAGTAACAATGAATTTTACTTATAATTTCATCGACGACCCGATAAATGAAATGATTGTCGGGAATATTACGTGGAAAATACCACTGCAGCATGATTCGTTGGCTCACTGGGTCCACGCTGAGTTTCCTTGTAATTTTTTATTTTAAATCAATATTGAATAGAAACTTTGCAGTTATTAAATAATGACTTTCATTAAATTGCACTGTACTTACTTAAATATTGACATTTATAAAGATATAAGCTAATTTTGATGTTAGACTCATCAAGAGCTTTCATTTGAGTACCCACATGCATTTTTTATATATTTTTCATATATCATATATATGAAAAATTGATGTGGGTATTCAAATAAAAGGTCTTGATGAGTATAACATCAAAATGAGCTTATATCTTTAAAAATGTCAACGAGTTCACAAAATACTAGGTCATTTCTTAATTATGTATCTAAAGATAGAGTATTTTCAAATGCAGCTTAAATACTTATTATAATAAATTGAATATCAGTGATTATTAAATGAATTATTTATTATATCAACAGATGAAGAAGTTTACAACACTTATATCTTAGACTCGGACTACAAATCATGGGGATTGTTGCTACACTGTGCTGAGAAAAATAAAAGCCCGCGTTATCTGTCCAGTTTTATAATGAGCCGTAAAAAAAATATCGGAAACAATGTTATTTCTTACTTGCGAGATAAATTGACTCGGTGAGTAATTAAATTAAAATTGCCAGTTTAATTATTTTTAATTTTTAATTTGATTTTAGGTATAATATTAATTTAGAGTATGTATTTCCGATGGAACAGAAAAATTGTAAATTGTACGACGGAGATGCTCTGAAGATATCTCCGTACTTGGCTGCTAAAAAAGCTTACAACAAAAAGCATCCTTTGTAATTTTTAATTAATAAATATTAAATATTTTATTTTTCTTATTATTAATCAACATCTTACGTATGAAAATAAATTATTCAATATTTGAAAAACGTTTTACAGCTAATTAATTTTTAACTTATATAATTATTCTCTCAAAGCTGATCGCTCGAAGACTTTCATTGCTTTGTGTTGTTTGACAAAATTTTCCATAGGACAATTGTAAATCTAGAAATTTTAAATTCGTCTTATTATTTAATCTGTGATAAAAAAAAAAAAATAAAGAAAAATATTTTGTGAATTACCTTGGAAACAAACTTTAAAACAGCTTTACGATCTAGTTCGTAATTAGCACGTGGTCCCCATTCAAATAAAACAGAATCGGTTTCTTTTTGTTTACTCTTAATGAGATACAATTGTTTCACAAATTTCTGAAATAAAATTTTAAATAACAGTTAATTAAAAGAATTTATGAAACAACATTTTAATAGCAATTAATTATAAGAATAAAGCTAGATGAATAATAAAAAAGTACTCACATCGCTGATCAAAGATTTGACATTTCCAAAGTATGGATGCTGACTTTCGTCCTCAGTGATGATATTCAAGTTTATTAAAAATTCCCATAACTCGTCTAATAAAAAAAAAGAAATTAAATAAATTCATGTGCTTAGAAAATGAATTAAAAAAATAATCAAGTAACCGCTAACTTTAATATATAATTTTAATGTATAAAAATTAATTTAACAAATATTTGATAATTTTTTTAATGTAATAATAATAATAATAAATTTTTTACCTTCAACAATAATAGCATTTTGATTATTTTCAGCACACATGAAAATAAAAGAAAGAACCAGAAAAAGCAGAATTTGTTCTTTAGCTTCATCATCTGACCTTGGAAGAGCCTTCATGTATTCGTTGACAATCATGTTGGTGATAAAATACTGAGCTCCTGTTGTGTTTACTAAATTGTAGCCAAAGATTTTTCTCAGCCTGTCTTTAACAATGACCATAACTTGACGAAAGTGCTCAGCATGCTTGCCCAAAACATATTTTTTAATGTCACTGGCTTTTACCGGGTACTTTGTGTGGCTTTTCTCAAGCAAATATTTAATCACGCGACTTCCCAGATGATCCAAGTTATCCGCTGGTCCTTGTTGGGTCGCTGTTTGACGACGTGCTCGTTGTGACATTTTATTTAACTTTAATTAAAAAAAAAAACTTTTTATATTGAAAAGACTTTTCTAAACTGGCGACTGTAATCGCTCGGTATTTTTTGGTTATGAATTAGCGTCGTAAACAAATCACAAAGAAAATTATAGAAAATAGCGCGCTAACTTGCATTTGCACTCGGAGAATAAGAGATAAGAGGGAGAAGGGATAAAAAAAACTAAAAAAAACAATTATGGCGAATCGCGTTGCCATGACAACTAACAACAATGATGGGGCTGATGGCTTCTAGTTATCATGATGGCGGCTAGATTTGAATTACATAGCCTAAAAATATGGCAACCCTGATCGACTGTCACGAGTTTTCGATTGTCTGTTTCCGCTAAATATTGCTAAGTTCACACTAATGAAACAAAATAAAGTCGACGCTTTGTTGTATTATACCGGCTTATTTCTACAAATTGATTGATTTAAAATAAGTAAACATTATTGACAACAATTAATTGTTATTCTTGATAATAAAATGATCAATTTGGTATAACAGTTGTCTTATGTCATGGAGTCTTCAATTAAAGATCAACAACAAAAACCTGAGAATGAATCTAACCTTCATTCACCGGTATGGTATTTATTTATTCAAATAAATTGTTATTTAATAATTTCATTATTATAATATTACAAAAAAATATCTAATGTTATTTTTTTAACATAACATTTTTCTTAGATGATGCAAGAGACAATAGAACTAACTACAAATGTTATCGAGGTAATTTTCCCGTATAAATTAATTATTCTAACTTTGTCAATAAAATTTTTTTACATTTCAGAAATTAAATAAAAATGTAGAAAAAAAAGCGAAGGTTGAGTGGGTCGTCAAGATACTGGTAAATAAAAAAGCTAAGATATTAAATTTACAAAATAAACTCAATAATGAAAATAATAATTGATTTAATTTTTTAGAGAGCAGATTTTTTACAAGATAGATTTTTTTGTATTGTCCAAGATGGAGGTGAAAATCTCTTCAAGTGTATAATTCCTCTTTCATTAACTCAGAAATTTGAAAGCGGGATCATATCTCCAGGGCGATGTATTAAAATCAAAGACTACGGTGTCCTTCGTTATGCTTGTTCATTATTTAAAGAAAAATATACGTAAGTTGTTGATGTTTAGATTATTTTTTTTCTTTAACTACAAATTGATATATATATATATATATATATATATATATATTTTTTTTTTAAAGCGGTACCAAAAATTTTATTTTTGTGATGGGGGTGGTTGACTTTGATATTGCTAAACCGACACTAAAAAAAGTTGAAGAAAATCCACCTTTGCCATCTACATCTGGAGGAAAGCCGGCTCCTCTACCGGTTTCTAGATCTGTAGTACCTCCAAATAATCCTCAACCTGGGAGAAATGTTGTTCCAGTTCAGAAAACTTATCCAAATCTCCAAGACCGGTAATTTAATGCAAACTATCTTTTGATGATAGTTATGATTATCAATTATTTTTTTTTTTTTTTTTCAGGCCAAAAATAGTTCCCATGCCTCCTCCCCAAGATATTGTAAAACTACATTCAATCAGAACGATTGCGGCACAAATGTATGTTATTTTGTTATTTAGTTTATACACAGATAATTTTATATAAATTTTTTTTAGGACCAAGTTTTTGTATGGGACCCTTAAATTTTATCCTGATTCAATAAAAAGTAATGATGCGTTATATATGGTGATATCTGATGGCAATCGATCTATGGTTTGCTGGGTTTATGGCTGGATCAAAAATCTTTTTAAAAAAAAAATCAAGGTTTTTATTGACTTTTTTTTTTTTTTTTTTTTTAAATATTTATTGAGAAATAATAAATTAATAATTTAATTTTTTAATAATAATAATAAATTTAATTTTCAGGACGGTCTTAAGATAAGAGTAAAAAACTTTACAGTAAGAGCGGTCACTATAAGACTTAATCGTTTCCCTCAATACAATTTAGAAATGGTACTAAATTCAACAACTGATTTTCATGTTTATGATGATGATAAGCCAGTAATTGTCCATTTGTTTAATGAATCAGTACCATTTAAACTTGATCCCAATGTTAAAGTTATAACTCATCGATACAGGACCTTGATGGATATCCTTAATTCTCACACCAACAAGTCTATTAGTAAGATTTTCTTATTATTACTTTTTTATTAGATTGTCTAATACAACGAGTGTATTTTTTTCTTCTTCAGATTTCATTGGAGTAATTGTTGATCAAACGAGTGTAATTCAAACTACAAGTGTCACTGTAAGACGTATAACAGTTCAAGATGAGTCAGGAACAGTAGAAGTAGCGTTATGGAGAAGGGATGGTGAAAATTTCAGTATTCCAACTGGTCAAATAATCATCGGTCATAATTTTTATGTCGATAGGAAATTTAGAGTTAATTTTACACCGTGTTCTAATGGTCATACTTTGACTGTCGCTCCGAAATCTCCTGATGAGTCAAGGTAGCTTTTAAAAATTCATTTCAATAGAAGTTTTACGAGTAAATTATATTTTTTATTGTAGATTACGAGAGTGGATGACATCTCTTTATTCAAATACTAAACGTCCTATTTACTTTGGTCAACAAGAAGACAGTGATGAGGAAAAATCAGAGAAAAAACCGGTACAACCGATAAAACGAGTGCAACCAATAAAACCAGTACAACCGATAAAATCGAAAAAACAGAAGAGGAAACTGGAAAAAGAAAAAAAGAGACAACTTAAGATTGAACGCAGGAGAATAATTAAAGAAACAGAAGAAGAATCTTTTCGTGAAATTGAAATGCAAGAAATGAAAGACAGGATTGCAGTAGGAGAAGAGTTGGAATACTTGCAAGAAATAAAGAAAAAAATGGAGAGAATGGCTAATCATTACATCCAAACTGATGGACTCTTTGATCTCGGAGCCAGAAAAGATTTTAAAACTTGGGCTTTGCCACCGGAAGTAATACCAGCTGAAGAGTTACCTCGCATAGTTGAAAAAAATAAGATAAAAAAAATTTGATTAGCTTTGCTTTTATAAGTTTATAAATTTTATAATTTTTTCTAATAAAAACCAAATAGTTTTTATAAACGAAAATTAATTTTTCAGATATTTGATAATTTTTTTAATAAATAAATTGAGATGTAGAAATTTAAAAAAATAGAAAATGCAATTTCTTGAAAATAATTTTTTTGGAGAAAATTTGTTTGTTGAAAAAAATGGTCTAATGACTGCTATTGTTTTTATTGTCATTTTTATAAATAAATTATATTTCTTATTTAAAATTTACCGCGCTTTCCCAGCCATGTTTTCCGTAGGACCAATCAGAGCGCTAGAAAGAAGCCTCCCGACCAATAGCGCGCGACCTACTTCAGCCAATGCTGATACAGTAGGTAGTTATTTCGCCAGCGGGTTTATATTTAATAATAATTCAAGAAAACTTTAAACATGGCGAATATATTTAGTAAATATTCTATTGCAGTGTGTACTTTATTTATTGTCATTTTTATTAACAAAAAAGCAAGTGACAATGATTAAAAAAAAAGCATCAAGTATTGGTGAGTAAATTTAAAGTGTTTAAAATAATTATTTGGACTAATAAATAAATTATTTTGTAGATAAAAGATATCAAGCATCGAATGCTGCGAGAGGAAAAAAATAAATGAAACTTTATTGAAGCAAAGTTAAAAAGTTTATTTTATTTATTGCAGTTCACAAGATGGTAATTTATTTATTTATTTAAAAAAATTAACAATTAATATTACTAAAAAATTTTAATTACTTCTACAAAAAGTTTAAAAAAAAATAGCAATTGAATTTCTCTTAAAAAATTCAATAAACACTTTGATTGTTGGAAAATATAAAAAAGATAATTAATTAATAAATAATAACCGCGCAAGTCACTAAATAAACCCGGTAAATTCAAATAAAACAGCCTGAGAATATAAATAACCCTAATTATCCGCCTGATAACACCTAATTGATTATTAACTCCGATAAACTAATAATCGAGAATAAAACCTCCCACCGCCCGGTGGCCTAATTACATTTTTTGCCCCAGAGACTAAAAGTTTTTGAAAAATAAAAAAAAAATATCCTACGCCTCCAAAATAATTCAATTTAAACATATAAACAAGTAATAATAATAATAATAATAATAATAAAAATAATAGTAATAATAATAATAATAATAATAATGATAACAAATATTATTTCTATTCTATCAACAGATCGCCACGCCCGTGTAGTGTGACTCGAGGTCAGACGTGGAGGCGGCTTCGACGCAGTCGCTCATCCTCTTGGGCAGTTTGCCTCGTAACCTGCACTCGTCTGATTTCCTGTTTTTAAAAATAATTGTGCAAGTGGGCTAGTGAATAAAATAAATAATAAAGAAGATAATTTAAGTGAAGAAAAGTGTATCTGCAATAATTACTGCAGAAAGTGAAACAAAAAATGAAAATGGCTAGAAAAAAAGAAGCCATTGACTATGTCTGTATTTAATTTTATAAAATAATAAATTTGTTGTCTGTTAATTAATCGTTAAAAATTTATATCAGTGCAAGTGTTATTAAATTTACATGTGAGTTAAGTGTAATTGTTAACGAGGTTATACGTGCGTGAATGCTCAACCGGTGACGTGAAAATTTAGCGTCAACTTCAGTCACGGCTTTATATATTTATCCACATCCAGGTTACAATTTCATTTATGGATAAAATATATCTATATATATGTACGGCTAGGAGTGACGTTTGCTTTCAGTAGACACGTGAGTGATGAATTATAAATTACTATAAATAAATTAATAATACTTTATTATTATGTTTAATGATACTAATAATAATAATAATAATAATAATAATAATAATAATAATTGACAGGATTTTTTGGGTAATTCTGGTGGACAGTTACCCCAGTGGGAGTGCATGGACTCTCAGTCTGAGTCTCTTGTCACAATGGCGGATGACGAAGTGCTGTTTGACGATGTTTATGAGTTAGGAGAAATAATTGGCAAGTGAGTATCAGTGCGCTGTTATTATTATTATTATTATTATTATTATTATTAGTATTGTTGATATTGAGATTCAAGTCAAGTGAGACGAAAACAGGGTCTGTGGTGATGCTGGGGCTTTACTTGATAATTAGCTTTCAGGTGTAATTCGATTTTAGTTGTGGATTTGCAAGGATATGCTATCTGGGGTAATTTGGATTAAGGATTATTTAAACTTATCTAATCTAAGTTTCAAGTTTTTTAGGAACGCTATTGTTTGAGGTTCAAGTTTCTGCTTCTGTTGTTTAATCTAGTTTGGTTGTTTTGTGTTATGAAACTGAAGTAAACACTAGTAAACTGAATTTTCTTTTTATTCTATCAATTATAAATTACAAGTTCTGTAAAAGTTAATAGATTCAATGTTTTTTACAATATTTTAATTTTTTAAAAAATCAAAATTATTTATGATACTGAAGTAGACATAAAAAATATTCTTAAAATTTTTGGCAATTAAAATGACATTAAAGCAGTTTTTATTTTTTTTAAATAATTAAATTTCATAAAAATTTTTTATAAAAAATTTTTTTACAAATAATTATTAAAATAAAAACTCAAATTTATATCAAAATATCTTCAACAGGAAAATCAGGTATCGAGGGAATAACTTTTCTGAGATGATTAACGTCGCAAGCATAAGAAACTCCCTTGCTCAAGGATTTCTTGTTCCAATTGATCAACTTGATCCTCTCAGAGAGATCTTTGCAAATAAACATATCCTCTGTAATAGCTGATTGATACGGATCATTCAAACCTACAAAAGCTGTTCCTTTTTTGGTTTCTGGCTGGTAAATAACCTTCCAAAAGAACCTAGGAACCTCCAGAGCTCTGTGAGTTTCGTTTCCAAAAAGATAAACAGGCACTTGATTGTTATTCTCATCTTCAATCATCATCTGGCCATGAATGCCAGTGAAAATTTCCAAGTTGATTCCATTTTTAACCGCAAACTTTCTGATACTGCTCTCGAGGATATTCCAATTTCCACCATTGAAGCTTTGCCACTGAGGAGCTGAGTTTACGTACCAAAAGGTAGACCGTTGCTCGTTGCCGTAAACAAAGTCGCTCTTGGGGACCATGTGGCCTCTGGAGAGAAACCGGGTCGAATTTACCGCGACAAATTTACTGACAAGTTTTTTTGATCCCAATAAAATTTCCAGGGTCGAAATCTGGGTTGATATTTTATAGAGATTGTCAATGTTGTGCTCGTAAAAGTCTGCTCCAAACCACTGCCTCGGTCTTGGGAATCCCAACTGCAGATTCTCGATTTTGCTGGTCAGTTTGTAATGTGTGTAGTAGGTCCAGTGGTGTGTGTCATTTCTGCACAAGTCAATTGTTCTTATAAACTCCTGATTGTTGTTTTTGTCGGTTATCAAAAATCCTATTTCTATCTGGGTGTTGTTGTTGTAGCATCTAGAGGACGTTCTACGTGCCACGTGCTTCGGAAACGTATTACAGGATACGTTTGTTGGGTTTAAAATAAACTCTTGGAAGTTGTAGAAAAATTTATTTCGCCGGAAACAAATCAGTTCTATGGAATTCAGTTTCTTATCGTTATCTATGCCTTTTAGATAGTTGTTTTTCCCTAAGATGATGCAAGCTTATTATTAGATAACCCAAGGCATTAGTAATTGATTTTCTATAAATTTTTTACTAAAATTAAATTTACCTGGACAGGACAAAATAATTTTTTGCATCGCAAAAACATTTAATCGATCCATATGCTGCGGATACAAAAACACAGAAGAGTTATTTCTCGTGAGAATAAGCGGTTGTGGTGCTCCAAAATCTCCATATTTGTAATTAATATTAATCTGACAAGAATCTAGACCATAATAATAATAATAATAATAATAAAATACAAAGCTAACAAAGTGATATTAATTGTAATATAAAAGCAAAAAGCTTTTGGTACTTACCATTGATAAACCGAGCACTTATTAAAGTAGAGCATACGAGTATTAAAATAAGGCCAAACATTTTGACTAACTGTTAATATGTCCAAGTCTAAAAGTTTTAACTATACTCTCAAGAATCAGATCTCTGTTTAACTCCAAATGTCAATTATTTATTTATTTATTTATTTATATACGTGCGTAGATCTTGTGCGAGATATCAGATAAATAAATATAAATATATACAAATACAGTTATAAAAAGGTTATTGAGCACGTGGGTCTTTCGATTTATTTTTAAATCTAAAATATCAATCACAAGTACTTGTTATCATGATCAGTTATTGACTTATTTGATATTAAATCTCGTTTTTTAAATTTATGTAGGTATTTATCAGTCATTTTTAAAGGGGCAGATTCTTGAAAAATTTTATGATGTAATTTAATTAAATGTTTTTATTTACAGGGGACCATTCAGTTTAGTAAGAAAATGTGTTTTAAGACTAACTGGACAAATATTCGCTGTAAAAATAGTCGACGTTGCAAAATTTACATCAAGTCCCGGATTAAGTACCGCTGGTATGTAAAAAAAATATTATTAATAATTTTTTAAAGGTATTTTTATTTAAAAAATTAATAAAATTTTCAGATTTAAAAAGAGAGGCAACGATATGTCACATGTTGAAGCACCCACACATCGTGGAGCTGTTGGAAACGTACAGCTCCGAGGGGATGTTGTACATGGTATTCGAATAGTAAGTATTTTATTTATTCATTTATTTAAAATTTAAACTCTAATTATTTATTATTTATTACAGTATGGATGGTTCAGACCTTTGTTTCGAGGTGGTGAGACGCGCAACCGCTGGGTTTGTTTACAGTGAAGCCGTAGCTAGGTAAATTTTTATTTTTTTTATGAAAATTATTTTTATTATTATTATTATTATTATTATTATTATTATTATTATTATTATTATTAATATTATAATTATAATTATAAGAAACCAGATTAAAAATCTTTGTGAGTTTATTGATTGACTTTAATCGTTGGTCACTCGAATCGGTTTGCTTTTCATATCTGTCGTATGCAGTTAGATGAATAATGAGTCCAAAGTTTTTATTTATATTAGGTAAAATAGTTTATTGGTTTTTTAAAATTGTAATAAAAATATTTATTTATATTTCAGTCATTATATGAGGCAAATTTTAGAGGCTCTCAAATATTGTCATGAAAATGACATTATTCATCGAGATATAAAACCACAATGTGCATTGCTAGCCGGTAAAGAAAACTCGGCGCCTGTTAAATTGCGGGGATTTTGTGTCGCTACACAACTACCAGCTTCTACAAACAATACAGGTAAATATTATTTATTAACCACAATTCTACGGTAATAATAATAATAATAATAATTATTATTATTATTATGAATAATATATCTCCGGTATTGAATGGAAGGTGAATAATAAATAAAATAGTAAACAACACTTACACAAAAAATACAAAAAAATGTTTAATATTAATGCAGAGAATTACACGACCGAGTATCGTCAGTACCTCAGCCCAAAGGGGCAGCTGTACTTGAAGACCGATAGCGAGGGTAAGCCTTTAATTCAAAAAAAACAAATCAAAAGTAAACAACATCCAAAATTTATTTATTAATATTGATTATTAATAAAATAATAATATTAAAACAAACAAAGCAATAAACCTTTCACCTTTCAGAGGATTCATTCGATCATATGCTACAACACACGAGCCTTTAATTTATTAATTACACCTTTTTTAATTATTATAGTCGAATTTTATTATTCACTAACGCAGCCATCACGCCGATATTTATTTACATTTGCTACCGCTTTGCTTGCTCCCTTTTTATCTCGAGCACTCCAACACATTTTTTTATTAATATTAAAATTTAGTTTTTTTTTTTTTTTATCAGATTTAAGCACGTTAATTTTTTACATTATTTTTTGGGCTGTAATTGAACAATTACAGCCTGAATAATAAAATATTTTTCTAGATAAATATTAATAAAAATTTATTACAGTATTTAACCCCAAGACACATAAAATAATTTTTTATAAAAAAATAAAATAAGCTTTTGTATTTTTTAATCAAAAAAAAAAATTATTTTGAATCATTGCATGGAATTAATTTAATTTAATTTAATTACAAGTAATGACTAAAATAAATTATCACATTAATAAACAAAAATAAAATAACTTATGCACTTTTTGCTAATAACACCTCATCCCTAAAATTAACAATTAAATTTATTTGTTAATATTAATTATTAATAAAATTTATATTTCACACTAGGGAGAGTAGGCTGCAGGCATTTCATGGCTCCTGAAGTGATTCAACGTCGACAGTACGGAAAGCCAGGGGATGTTTGGGCCGCTGGGGTCTTGTTACACGTATTGTTGACCGGTACTCTGCCGTTCCTGGGATCTGGTGATCGTTTAAGGGAGGCAATATGCCGAGGACGTGTTCAAGTAATTAACAATCACATATTTTTATTGCTAAATATTTATTTGTATTTATTAAAAAATTAACTGCAGATGGAATCTCCGATATGGGATTACATTGGTGAGCCAGCTAAAGATTTGATAGAAAAAATGTTGACAGTCGATGTCAACCATCGGATAACGATACAAGAAGTTCTTAATCACAAGTGGCTTAGAGTAAAATAAAAATAATAATATAATTTAGTTTTTTTGTATTAATTATTTAAAACAATTTTTATAGGAATTTATTTTCAGGATCGAGACAAGGGTGCTGCGCGAATTCATTTAAGCGAAACTATTGAGGAATTGAAAAAATTTAACTCTAGAAGAAAGCTCAAGGAATCTGTTAGAAAAGCCATTGACTCATCCAAGTGGCACTTAGATAATTCTAGTGATAATTTTTCCGACGTCGGTGACGATGATATTATATCCAAAGGTATTTTTCTTAATATACTGAAGTTAGCCGACGTTTTTAATTTTTTGAAATTTTTTCATTTATTAAATAATAACTAAAAAATTGCACTTATAGTTTTTAAAGTTTTTTTGTAAAAAAAAATGCAATTTTTTTAAAAAATTTTTTTATAATAATTTTGCCATTGAAAAAAAAATTTTTAAATGTCGGCTAACTTAGTTTTCATATTTTTATTTTATTTTTTTTAAACTCTTTAACTGACTTTTGTAACTTATAGATGCTGTAGATGAAATATTGGACTCTCTAGATGACATAGAAATTTTACAAGAGAGTGCGAGGCTCACTCGCGCTGAAGTGCTTTCTGCTGTCGATGATTATTGGCTGCGTGGACTGTTGGAGGTAAAAAAAAAAATTATCCTCATAAAAGAATCAAGCGTAATTTGAGCTTTAAAATAGTAAATCTTATCACTTATCCTCAATGCTAACTTAATTTTGTCGATACTAATTTTCCGTTAAATTATCTTCACGATTGCGCTCAATGATTATCTAAATAAAAAAATAACTTTTTGTTAAATAAAAAATAAATCAAAAGCAAAAAGTACTCAAATATTTGAACCATCAGCGGAATATCGATTTTTGCCGAGCTTGCGCTTTTACGGCCGCTGTATTTACTGTATTACTATTCCTTACTTTACGTGCACCCAATCTTATCCACTAAGTAAAGTAAAGTGTTTTAAAGAAAAAACAAAACACAATATCAATAACAACAATCATGATAATATTATCAAAAAAAATAAGCAATATTTTATACAATTTTTTTTTTTTTTTTTTAATTAATTTAGTAAATTAATGCTCTAATTAATGAAGAAAAGCCAATTGATTTTTTTGAATAATTCATATTTATTTTATGATTTATTTAAAATTACACATTTATTGGTAAGGATTATTGTTAATTATTTGACTAATTTATAGATTAACTAATTAATTTTCAACAGTTGTACGACAGGATCGAGACTAAAATAATTCCAACGCCGACTCGACCACCGCCAACAGATGCCTCAATTCGCTTGCGGGAAGTGGAGGAATTATTACGAGAATTGGAATTGTCCAAATTTCGTAATATCGATCTCTGTGATTTACATGAACTACAGGAATTGCTCAGTCAACCTCATATTAAGGTAAATTTTATAAATATGATAAAAAAAATTTTTTTCAAGAGTCTAATTGTTATTCTTGAGCTTTGGAGTAAAGAGATAACAGAAAAAAGTCATTGAAATTGGATAATTAGACCGTGTAATGAACAAAGTAATTACGTGTCAAAGGTGCGTTTGTTCGTTCGCTGATTACGCGACTAGTTGTTGAATTTTAACGAATTTTTGCAATCGATACGCCAGAGGGAAATTAAGCTGCAAAAAATTGTAAAAAACTATGACCTAAATAGTCTTTTTTTTACAAAATTTTTCATTCCTTCAGCTGTAATTGAGCAATTCATTTACTTAAGAAGAAAAAAACAAAAAAACAGTTTGCAACTTTTAGTTCTCAATAACTGTTTCTATAAAATGACCAACCAAGTTATTTAATTAAAGTTGGCGGGTCAGTACCCTTTTCGAATAAGAATTATCCGAAATAAAACAATCGGAAATAAACTGGTCTAGTGGTACTATGTATGATCTGTAAAATAGGACTCGAAAGTTATTTAATAGCTCGAATAGAAGTTATTATGAAATTGGTTGAACGCGCCCCAGATTTCTTCCCAAATTATAATTATAAAATGATATTTAATCTTTTATTCATAATTTACATCTGAAATGATTATGATGATAATAATAATTATCATTCTCTAGCTCGATTAATATGTTATGTATGTGATGAATAGAATATATATGGATCTATGGACATAGTACATAACAGTAGTTTCTCTCGTTAACATGTGAGTTGTCAGAGTGTCGCTTGGGGCGGTTTTGCGAAAAAAAAATAGGAAAAAAAAAAAAATAAAAATTACAAAATACGTGGGCGAGGGTGGAATAAAACGGCGGGGATAAAGCGTGGGTTGGAATGGGTGGTAGTGGGGTTGAAACGGAAGTGACGTGTTGGAGGTGGGGCAGAACACGGTGGAGAGGGATGTTCAACCGGGATATGGTTAAAGTCCTAGTCTACTGCAGAACGCTGTTTAAGTGAGACGTGTAGTTGGTTTAGTTGTTAGTTTTATTATTGACGACCGCGCTTGTTCATTTATTTATTTATTTATTTATTCATCCTCTTCCACTTCCACAATTCTACTTCCACTTCCACCAGACATCTACAGCCTCTGCCAAGCTTCCGATCCTGGCTAATATTATTTATTTAACTTTTTAATTATTTACTAACTGGCGAGACATCTGCTAGCTAATGGACAAATTTTAACTCAAGGTTCCTTTTTATTTAATCTTCAATCTGTCTGATTTTAAATTCAATATCTCTTTTTTTTATTTTTATTTTTGTTTTTGTTACTACCCCTGGCTCCAGTGACACCGTTTTTAGTGGGTGAATTCGGAAATAGCTCCACTCAATATTCCTCCAAACATTTTAAATTATATAAATTTTGAAATAAAAATCCAATTAAAAAATTTATTTACCTTTATATCCAATTATAGATTATTAAAATAATTTAAAGTAATTATAAAAAATTAAAAAAAGGACCTTTCGGTAAAAATGAATTAGATTGGGAATCCACTAGAGCAAACATTAGTGACGTAGATACAAATTTAAATTGAATTGTTATGTGAACCATGAAGCACGTACCGAGACCCGATACACCTACGTAGATGTCTAACACGAGTGCCGAGACAGTATCAATGGTCGCAAGATTGCCGAGCACTGCGCAGCATTCGAGCCACAGAAATGTCGGAGAACCACACGGCACACATCCACTATTAACTCTATCCACTATCCACGTGCCTTTTATCCACCGCACTGATATCCAATACCATTTCCCAATACTATTTATCCCAAATGCGAATGCCTCCAGACCATCTAATCCATTTGCTATTGCAAATTACATTCCATTAAAACTAAAAACAATAAGAAATAGTACTTAGCCGACACTCGATCTCACGATATAATAGCCGCCTTAAAGAAAGATTACTTCTTACGACTATAACTTTTCTCAATTCAGAGTATCGACAAGTAAGAGATATAAAATTTAAAAGCTTAACTCAATACTATTCGACTGTATATAGTATATATGATATTCGATATATAACACACACATTTATCTTGGTTTTAGTAAAGACAAACGCCGCTGAAATTCATTTTGTTCGGTATTCATTATTCATTAGATTTTGGCGCTGGAGCGGGGTCCTGGATTTATTACTGCCGTAAAAAGCTCCGACGAGGCGATCATCCGTTAGATTTATCATAAAGTTTAAGCTTCGTTCACTTTTTCCCAACTAATTATCACTGCTAAATTTTGAAATAGAGTTTAAACTTTCGGGTATTCGCGTTTTTATGTTTCTAGCATCAATTGTGCTGGAATAATTCTTTTATTAGCTTATCTTTAGTTTCCCAGTAACATTTATTTTTTTTTAAACTGGACCTATAACTTGATAGTTGCTCAATAAAACTAATTAGTATTGTAGTTAATATTAACGTCGATAATTATCAATAATAAAATTTTTTATATCAGGAATGTGAACAAGATAGGATCATAATAACAAATTGCATTATTATTTCTGCGACGTTTCGGTCATTTATTCGACCTTCTTCAGGCATCTGAAAATTTCACATGTTAATAACCAACATAATTAACATAACAAGCAGAAATAATAATAATAATAATAATAATATAATTTTTTATTATGATCCTATTTTGTCGACATTCCTGATATAAAAAATTTATTCTAATTAGTATTATTCCGAATGATAAAAATTACAGACAGATTGAAGTTGTAAATATTTAGCAACCCTAATTTTTTGAAAAAATCTAAAATAATTAAAGGATTTTAGTGTAAAAAGTTTAAGAAAAAAATGGTGGTAACAGAAGAACCAATTACCAAGTGACAATTAAAAAGCAGCGATGTTAAAAACAATCTAATTGCCATGTGATGATGATGATGAACTGCCCTGGGACCAGGGACCACCAACTAGTCTCGAGGTCGCCGGGATGCTGCTACCACACGTGGAACCCTCACCAGCACGTGTTCCCCCTGTGCCGGCGGTGCTTGAGGCCTTTGCTGACTCTCCATCCCTCGGCACTTTTGTCAACGTGCCTCCACGCGTCCCACCTGACGCTCTGCCATGACCACCACGCTCACCACCTTCATCACCTCCATCATCACCACCAGCATCGGTCTAGGTCCGCGGAAACAACTCCCACGCCGCTAAACCGGTTCAACTGGCGATCTTCATCATCATCATCATCATCCGCGAATCCATCCGCTAATTTTCGGTATCACACTCATCCTCTAAATGCCTCAAAGTTTTCCCTTCACCAGCCCTCAATTTCACATTTTTCCGCTGACTCTACGCCTCTCGACTCGTCGCACAACGACTCTAATCTCAATACTCACTTTCACGACTCTAATTTCACTAGTAATAACAACAATAATAATAATAATAATAATAATAATAATAATAATAATATTAATAATAGTAATAAAAATATTAAGGATAACAATGTACAAAAGAGTGATAGGACCAGTCAGAGGTCCTCTTTTAAGCTTAATAAACCTCCGGGTGTCGATCTCACCAGGTGGATCGGTGAGGAGACCAAACGTTCGCTACCAATTCATGTTTATAAATATTATTTAGCTTTTATTAAAGAATATCACCGGCAACATTTCAAGGTAATTTTTTTATGATTAAAATTCAGCCAATTTAATTAAAAAGTACATTTAAATATTAAAATAATTATTAACTTTTAGAGAGTTGATAATAATTTTATATTGAAATAAAATCGATTGACAAATGCAAATATTGAAACGAGACAATCAAATAAAGTTTTATAATTAACAAAATCAAAGTAATTTTGTAATCAACGCAGAACAAAATCAATTCTCCAATTACTGGAATAAAACAAACAGCAAAGATTTACTGGATGTTGATTTTATTTAACGTCGACTTAACTGATTAAACTGATGACCGTTTAATTTTTTTTAAATTAAACTATTTCCATAAATCCGCCCGGAAAATCAATTAAATAAATTTATTGCCTCTATCCAGCTGTTATTAAATGAAAAAAAATTTAATGAGAGTTCACAGTCATTGGACGGGACTTTATTTCAATTTATTGATAATTTAAAAACTCTATTTAATATCAGAGATAGAAAAAGAAAAATGATCAGAGTTTTTATGGGTTGTATTAATTTTAATTAAAAAAATAATAAAAAGCCTTTGAGTTGCAATAACAATTTAATTATAAAAAAAAATACTGTGGTGGTGTACTCGAAAAACTTACTACCGTAATTTATTAACCCTAGAAAAATATGTTTTATAAGATAAATTAATAAAATGTATAGAGAGTATGAGACCACTAAAAATGATCTCTTGTAATTAAAATTCATCTTTCCCCCGTAGCTAATTAAAAAGTCACCCTGTTCACCTTGATTCACCTTCAACTCTCGTGCCCTTTCTCATAAATAATAACCAAAAAAGGAAACTTTGAATATAATTTATCCGAAAAAAATATCCTTGCTCCAGAAAAGTCCTCATCTCTGTTTAGAAGTGACGCAGGCGCAATTACCTTACCCGGCCTTGACTAATTTCCCATTTATTTATTAAAACAGACTAGTGTTATAGTGTGTAGTCGATACAATTGCCGAAAATCAATCAGAGAGTGATTAACGGTCTGTAATTATTTCGGAAATAGTTAGAAAGGAAAGAAAAGAAAAGAAAAGAAAAGAAAAAGAGCTGAGGGTTGATATGAACAAGTATTGACAATGTTGATGATGATGATGATGATGATGATGATAATTATGATGGAATATTGGTGTGAGGAAAAAAGGATGCAGGGATGCAAGCAGGCATCCAGGAAAGTCGGTATTAAATAAAACCCTCGGAAAAATTAACGACATTTATAGGGCAAGGATATGCGCATAAGATCTAGGGGTCTAGGGTGGGTGTAGTGTTGCGGTGTAGTCCAGAATAATGTGGGTAAGTTGGATAAGGCCATCCCCTCTTTGATGATGATGTGGGTGTAGGGGAACAACCATCAGGCAACCCTAGTTGCGCGAGTTGCGCGGTGGATGCTGCACCAGCTAAATAATCTCACCACCACTCAGACTCAGTGCTGGAGAACGCGGCATCGCTATGTGTCGGTGTCCCGTTGCTACCACACTCAGTATTATTATTATTTTTATTATCATTTTAATACTTTTATTAATATATAAAATTAATTATTTGTTTATTGTTGTTGCTACTGCTACTGAGTATTTAATTATTAAAAAAACAATATTTAGATTTAAAGCTGACGTTTGTCAAAAGGGAGAAAACGCAAAGCCTAATTCTTACTATAAAGATACTCTGTTTGCAAGCAGTCTCTTCCATCACAAGCCATTTAATATTTAGTGGACAAACATTTTAATATTTATATTGTTGTAATAAATATTTTATTTTTTAAATTAATAATTTTAATTAATAGTAATATACATACGTCGGTTGTGAGTGATTTTTAATAAAGTATTGTGTCTAGTGTTTAAATTTTTAAATAGATCAAGAAAAGTCTGGAAAGAAATTTAAATTAAACGTGGAAAGCTAATTTTGAATTGTCAAAAATTTAACACCAAAATAAAAATAAAAATAAAAATAAAAATAAAAATAAAAAAAAAAAAAAAAAAGTAGAGTCAATAATTACGTAGAATTTAAATAATAAATAAAGACAAGACTGGAGAGACAGGTTTAATTAAATAAAAATAAAATGGATCTGTACCGAGGGAACTGGGGTCCCCATAGTTACCCGAGTATGCCGTCGACGTCGATGTCGACGAGCACAAACGTGCCAATATGCGACGCTGGGGCAAAGTGCTGGTCGTCTAGACCGTGCAAATCAACGGATTCGCTGCCGACAAGGCCTATCGATTACTACATGAGGTCGCAGGACAACATGAGGTCCATGGAGTCGATGAGGTCCTGCGAGGTCAGGGACATTCATCCTGAGATGGAGCAGGTCTGTACCGAGCAACCCAGAGGAGGAGTCGAGGGCTTCCGAGATAGAGAGCACCGGGAGTACACCGCGAGGGCGATAAACCACCCCTGCAGATTGATGGACCACAACGGGCACAAGCAGGGCCAATACTTTAACCACGACCACGGGTGCAGGTCCGTCGATCACGTTCCCCAGCTGTTTGAGCACAGGCCCTCGTTGCCCGTCGGGATGCTCAGGACACCCGGTTCCCCTCACAACGAGTTAGATCGCCCGGTCAATTGGTCCTGCAGGTCTCTAGAACATCCTGGGAGACCTCTACCTGTCGATTCTGTTATTTTTGGATCCCATTTACCGCCTAACAAGTTTTTTATCGACAACAGCCATCTCAGGGTCAATTGCCCGGTTCACAGTCCCTTTAGGTTTAAGTTTCATCATAATGGATTCAATGATTGTCACGTGCATCAGGTAATTCCTGAGAGAACTTTTTAATAAATTTTCCTCACGGAGAAAAAAAGTTTGTCCGTCAACTTTTTTACTTTAAATTTAAATTCTACGAACATTATCATAAGAAATTGAGAAAAATTTATAACAAACTTTTTTTTATAGAAAAAAACTTTATTTCTAAAAAATCGAATAAGCAAAATTGAAATAAGCAAAAAATACAATCAAACTGATAAGAACCTTATTTTTTTTTTTTTTTTTTTTTTGTAGAAAATTCAATTTCTCACTAAAAAGATCTCTTATCTTTGATATTTCCTTCAAACTATTAATTTAAAATGAGACCAATTTTAATTTTCCACTTTCAAGAGAAGAAAAAAAAAGCATAAACATTTTACCAAATAAAATAATTATAAATTATGATAATTAAAGGATTACTCGAGCTGCTCCAAATAGAAGCAATAAATAATTAGAAAGAGAATAAAAGTAAAAAAAGCACGGACATTAAGTTTTGGAGATAGAATGTTTAACGTTGCCCCAGATAACGGATGGATTGAAATTGCGTGTGTTTTTTTTAAAGCGCAGTCGCGTGATTGCGGTAACTCAGACGAGACTATTGCCAAGGGTTCATCATTGATCTTCATATTTTTCAACCTTCAAAATTATCGAGTCTCTTCAGCCGGATCAATTGTCATTATTTAAAAATTAACTCTTTTTTTTATTTTAAACTTAAAATAATAAATACAGAGTTTGTAATTTTCGTTGGAACAAACTTTTCTAGGTTAATGGACTAGTACAGCCTTTATAGTTATTATGTAATTTAATTACCCTGTCTGATGAAAAGTTCTTTTTATCCTTTCAGTCATTATTGCAAGCTCACGATGTAGCAGGCCACGAAGTTTACGGAGAAGAAGCGACGCGGGTAACTCCTCCTCCTTTGTTTCCGTACCTCAACGGCGGAGATGACATCGAGGGCCAAAATGGAGACATGGATGTCGAAAATGTCACCAGAGTCAGGCTGGTACAGTTTCAGAAGAACACCGACGAGCCCATGGTAATTTTTTAATGTTCTAAATCTAAAACTCAACCCCGACCTTTCATATTTACAAATTTAATTCCTAAAAATTCAATAGCACCCTTTGTGATTGAATTTTTTTAAATCAGCCACTGAAATTCCATTTTTAGCGCTTACTACTAGTCGCGCTCTTTCCATTACATCTACTCTCGGGTTTTTTTCTCGCGTGTATACAGCGACAGATTTTACACTAAAATTTAATTAAAGAATAAATTTATGGTTACAAACAAAAGAATTAGTGAACACTTACTGGTTGGATCCAACTTGCTGGCAAGCATATAAGATACTGCATGGCTGTCTTTTACCACTTCAATGTCCCAAAACAAATGGGTCGTTTTTCCAATGAGTGGTACATCACTTACCACTAATCAGCATATAGTCTTCTTTGTTAAAAGTTACTTTAGATTCAATTTCAGACAAACTTTCAGTCCTTTAAATAACAAAAAATAATTATAATTCGATACGAATTATAAATACAAGTGTATAATTAATTTGTTGAAATGCTGTAAGCAACAACTGATGTTACTCCATTTCGCGGATAAGACCAGTAGATTGTCATAAACTTATGACGACTGTCGAATTCATTTCGGGTGCTAGCGTACTTGAACCATCTCCCAGCTATCTGTAAAAAACAATAAAATTTAATGATTTAAATAATTTTGGTGAATTAAATGAATATACTTAGATCGACTAAATTGATATCAACTGCAGTGACATTCGGACAAGGACCTGGTTCGATTATTACAGCTAAAGATCCGGCGATTAAACAAAAAAATATCCGATACATTAAACATTTTTCCGTTTGTTTTAATTAAAATTTACTTTCTCTGAGTCACTTCGATACTTGTGCGCTCTTTTTATACTCGTCTTATTTTTATTATCATCAATTACATTACGTCTTTTTAAAATAACTTTGATTATCAAGTAATTTGATAAGCTTAAAAAATGCGTAATTTGTAAAGAAAAATAAGGATAAATGTAATTTCAAATAAATGTGTTTTTTTTTTATTTAAAAGATAAAAACTCGGTATTAATAATTATTTGAATGAAAGAAAGTTTAATTGAATTTAAAAAATATTAATATTTAAGCTCAAGTTCAAGGTACTGACCTGGTATTTTTTTATTAATAATAATTTAAAGAGTTAACTGGCGGTATTCAAATCAGCAATTAAAAAATCTATTGAAATATTCTCAGGACAAATTATGAATAATGAATTTCAATTAGCGTACTATCGATTTGCTTTTTAAGTTCACGGTTCACTTAAATTTTTTTATTATAAATAATGAATTTTAAAAAGGATAGTCGGATTACCAAAGTTCAAAGTTTAACTTATAGTTTACGGTTCGCTCAATAATTATGAATAATTTTTGGTTTAAAAAAAAAAAAAAAAAAAAAAAAAAAAAAAAGTATTTATACAAAGCGAATTAATTAACAGGGAATAACACTTAAGATGAATGAAGACGGAAAATGTGTGGTAGCGCGAATCATGCACGGCGGAATGATTCACAAACAAGCGACCCTCCATGTACTCGATGAAATAAAAGAGATCAATGGTGTTCCTGTGGCGAATCAATCCGTAAATGCGCTTCAAAAAATGCTGGTAAGTTTTATGATTATTTTAATTAGCCAAGTATTAATAAAGAAAAACAAGCTAATAAGAATGAATTTATTTTTACAGCGTGAAGCACGTGGGTCTGTGACATTTAAAATTCTACCCTCGTACAGGATTGCTCCACCACCATGCGAGGTAATTAACTTTTGCCCTTCATCATTAACCGTTCCGCGAATTTACTTTCTTAGATAATTAAATTAAGCTACTGAGATTATTAATATAGTTACTTATTTTTATTTCTTAAGTTGATAAACGTATTAAAGATAAATATATATTTATTCAATAGGCAACGAGAGTTAACAACTGTAGTGGCAGCAGTCAGTCCACCAGACGAGTTGTCGATACCCCTATTTTTTATTATTATTATTTAACTTTTAATCTTGTATTTTTCTTTTTTTTCTTTGTAGTCTAATCCCTCTTTCACAGTAAAATTAATTAATTAAATGTTTTTAGTGCACGCTCTGTCGACATTCACATTTTTCATTTTCATTATTATTATTATTATTATTATTATTGAATATATATGAATTGTCGTTTGCTTTGAAACGATATATGAGGCATCGTTAGAAAGATTAGCTACCGATTTTATTTTTTTTTTTATCAGTAGGATTAGAGTGGTCATTACTTTTGTTATCTAGATTATTGCTAGATGCTTTAAAAAAGCTTTTCTGAGGCTTAATCTCCAAGATCACCCGTGTCGTGACATTCTAGCATACTATTTTTATTTAACAAATGTTAACTTTAAAAATAAATCTTTTAGTAATTAAAAAAACAGTAAAATTCAATTCAATCTCAAAAAATTACTCAAAGAAGATATTTAAAGAAAAAAATTGATAGCTTTTAAAAGTTTTGAAACTAGTGAACCAAACTTTCTCTCATTTTGTTGAAATGTAGAACTGGGTAACCACCTTTGACTCCTTCAAACTCGTTCAATTCGGTTCATTAGTTCAGAAGTTATTGGTAAAACAAAAACCAGCAAAATCCAAAGTTTAAACTTTATATATCATTTTTAACAAATTTAAAAGATAAACTCTATATTTTCCGGTAATTAATTTACGGATCTTGTAACTATTAAGGATTCACTCTCGGGAAATCTTCGGAAGCATCCTTTAGTGGTCTGGGGTTTAAAAAGTAACAGAATAAAATAATGACCTAAGGAATGTTGATTACAAAATCGGTTTCTAGAGTAGTTAAAAAAACTATGAAAAAAGTGAATAAAAATTATTAAAAAAAAAAAAAAAAAAAATCAGTGAAGCATTGATTAATTGATATTCCTTTTTTCTGTTTCTTCAACAATCTAGTTGTTCAGGATTAGGCCTCTGCCAGTATTAGTAAGTACCGCCACTTGATCTGGTGTGATTGGACTGCTGTAGTTAGTCTCTAAACAGAGAGCTAATGCGTATTTTTAATTCATTATTTTTTATTATTATTAATTAATTAATTAAAATTATAAAACTATACCTGCATATTCGTAAAACAATCCTTTTATATATTATTATTATGTATATTAATCACGCGATAATCGTTTTTCCCATCACATCCAATTTAAATAATTCACTTAGTCACCGTTAAGTTTTTTTACTTAGCATGTGACGTTAATTACATCTCTAGTCGATGGAGCAAAGCACTTTATTAAAAGTTTTTTATAAAAATCTAATTGCTGTTCTTGTCAAAAAATTTTAAATTTTAAATTTAAATAAAAATTACCCGAGTAAAGTAATTCCGACCGGTAAAAGCTTGAATGCCTTAGTCGTAGTCTAGAACCCAAAAAAAAAAAAAAAAAAAAAAAAAAAAAAAAAAAAAAAAAAAAACCAACATTTATTTATTTATTTATGTAATAAAATTGTTTCAATAAGTCAAACCTGACTAATATCAATAATTAATAATTAAAACAGATATTTGTACGCGCTCAATTTGACTACGACCCACTGGAGGACGAGCTGATACCGTGCGCTCAAGCCGGAATCGCATTCAAGACCGGTGATATTCTACAAATTATCAGCAAGGACGATCACCAATGGTGGCAAGCGCGCAAAGACAATGTCGCGGGTTCCGCCGGGCTCATTCCATCTTCAGAGCTTCAGGAGTGGAAGATCTCCAACATGGCTATGAAGAAGAACAAGCCGGAACAAGGTTTGTTCCAAAAACAATTATTTATCACATCAAGTAATGATTAATCATTGTTAATAATAACCGAATTGAGGAAAACGGTTAATTGTTCCAGCAGATCGCACTTTGTGTCTCCGCATTTCGGTTTTTTTTTTTTTTTATTATTAATTTTAACAATTAACCAATCAAATAATCAGTTGTCATTATTGTGCTTATTATTTGATTTCCTGATTAAAAAAAATCATTTTTCTCGCCGTCTGTTTTTATTTAAGTGAATTGAAAATGTAATATAAATAATAATTAAATGACTATTTAATTATTGGTATAGAATTTCAATACACAGCGAATCAATCATTTCATAGCTTTCGCGATGAGTTATTCACTTGTACAATAATAATTTGATAAATTGTTTGTGATTGTATGAAATGAGAAATTGAATGTGTTTTTATTTAAAATTAATCGGGCATGTGGTGTACAGACACGTGACTAAAATGACTACAAATACAAAACTGATTTTATATGTGTGTGTCTGGGCTAGATGCTGAAGGGGAAGGTGGATGCTCACCTCACACCGAGGGCTGTGACAGCTCGACAGGTATGAAATATAAATCTGCCTGCAAAAACAAATTTTTTAAAATAAATTTCGAATTGAGTTAGACCAAGGCTCGTGTTACTCGTCCCGCCAACGTCAAGCTCAATCGATTGTAGTTTTACAGGTGGCGCCAAAAACACTTTTACTTTCAAAGCTTCAATTAACACAACGCGTTTATTGATTTTTATTTTTTACAACTTGTTCAAACATTTATATTTAAATCACAAAAAACTTTTGCTAACTCTTTTTTTATTAAAGTAATTACGGTAATTATCAAACTAGCAAAACTAAGGGGAAAAAGTTTGGTACTTTTTTTTCAGGAAATTCAATTTTCTACAGATTTTTATTGTACCGCTTTAATTACTAATTAAACTTTTTTCTTATCAGAGCTTTTTATATTTAAATTTAAATTTTAACTTGACTATCAAAAGTATGATTAAAACATACTTTTTGTCCTTTTTTGTTTCGCTATTTAATTTAATACTAATTTATCCAATAATTTGTTAAGAATGAAGCTTTGAAATTTTTGAAAGTATTTTTGGGTGCCATTTATAAAAAATAAACAAATAAAAATAATTAGAGCACGTTATCATTATGGGTATTCATCTTATCATTAGTAAATTATTTTTTCATTAATATTGTGACCTGCTGGAACTGTTATTATTTATTATTAATTATTTAATAATTTATTACATAAATAAATTTATTTTCAGAGTCACCTTAAATTTAAAATAACCGGCAACTGTAATAATTATTTTCAATTGTTATAAACAATTACTATAAATAAGTAGACTTTATTAACTGGAATAGATACACGAAGCATGTGTTTTTTACCACAGCTTGTCGATAGATTTTTTTTTTTTTTGCACCGCTTACGAAAATAAATTATCCCTACTACTATAATTTATTTTTTATTTTTTATTTTTTTTTTACAAGTACGTTATTAAATTAGCGACTATTATTCAAATATACAGTCAATTAGTTTTAATAATTATTCGTGCTCATTTTATTAATTTATATTTAATTTTTTTTTTTTTTTTTAAATAGTCAATTGCTCAATTTTTGGCCGCAAGAAAAAACAGTACAAGGATAAATATTTGGCGAAGCATAATGCGGTATTTGACCAGCTGGATCTGGTTACTTATGAAGAAGTTGTTAAAGTACCACGTAAGAATTAATTTAATAATTACTTTAACAATGATTTAATACTATTGATGTTTTCTAAATAAATAAATAATTAAAATTACAGATGAAGCATTTCCACGAAAGACACTAGTATTACTAGGAGCACATGGTGTTGGTCGACGTCACATTAAAAATACAATTATTGCCAGGCATCCAGACAAATATGCCTATCCAATTCCGCGTAATTATAATTTATTTATTAATTTTAACCTAGTCAGTTGATTAATAGTCTAATAAATTTGTGAATTAAATAAAACTACAGATACAACGAGGCCTCCACGAAACGACGAAGAGAGTGGACGCAATTATTACTTTGTCACACATGATGAAATGATGACGGATATCAGCGCTAATGAATACTTAGAATACGGTAATTTTATTTATTATTATTAAGATGAAAATTTTTCACTTGAATGAATTAATTATAAATTATTGATTAAATATATAGGTACACACGAGGACGCAATGTACGGTACCAAATTAGATACGATAAGAAAAATCCACGAAGAAGGAAAAATGGCTATTCTAGACGTTGAACCACAGGCATTAAAAATACTTCGTACCGCTGAGTTTGCTCCTTATGTTGTTTTTATCGCTGCACCCATCGTACAAAATCTAAATGACGTAAGTATTTAGATATTTCTTTTTAATTTGAAATATTTAAATTAATTTGAATTAAATTTTTGACTACAGTACGACGGAAGTCTGGAAAGACTTGGAAAGGAGTCGGACATGTTGAAGCAGGCGTACGGACATTTCTTCGATCTGACGATCGTCAATGACGATATTGATGAAACGATTGCTCAGCTGGAAGGCGCAATTGATAAAATACAAAAAACACCGCAGTGGACGCCAGTGAGATGGGTCTACTGACAACGATCACCCTCGCGTAATAATGATCCCTTAAATTATTACTAATTATTTAAATAAATAAATAAATAAATAAATCCAATCGCGAAATCGCAAGAGAGTACATCAAATGATATAAAAAAAGAAAGAAATAAAATGGGTCTTGAACCCTGTGTTCAACAATATTTAATTAATTATACGCATTATTTAAAGAGACGCTACACGAGAGAGCTGGGACCGAATTTTAATTAAACGATAGCCTTTATTCTATTAGACGCGACTACACGCGAATTGTTAAACTACGGACAGAAAACGATTTATTAATTATTATTCCCTTTAATCAATTTTTCTCTAAATCCTGTTTTATCATTGTAATTGTTGTTGTATTGGTTTGTTTGTTTGTTTGATTGATTGTTGTGAAATTTTAGAGTTTTGTCAGCTTTATTTATAATATAAATTTCGGTTTTGTGATCAAATTTTTAAATATTTACACGCTTTTTTTTATTTTATTTTATTTTAATGTAATATTTCATATCAATTGTAATTAAAAAAAATTTTTTACACTGATTTTATTATTTTTTATTAATTCTGTATCTATGTATATAAAAATAATTTTAATGAAAATAAATCTAGTCACGGAACCGAAATTTTTAAATTATTAGGACTATTATTATCATCAAAATTAGTTACTAAAGATAGTTAGTATGGAAATTTAATTATTTTGTCCTGATGTTATTATGTGTACCCCTCTCAAATCTCTTTCTCTATTATATATTGTACAACTAATGTTACTAACGAAAATAAATAAATGAAACTATGAAAAAAAAAAAAACAAAAAAAAACAAAAAAAAAACAAAAAAAAACAAAAAAAAACATGATTAAGGAAAAAAAAATAGGGATTAAATAAGTCTGGTAGCGATTCAATCAATTGCAATAAAAAATATTTCAAAAAGTAGTCTTAATTAATCGAAAATCAATTGATTTTTAAGCTCGAATTTAAATGGGAAAAAAAAAAAAAAAAAAAAAAAAAAAATTAAATTAAATTAGCGTGTGCATAATTGATTATTTAAATTGATTAATTAAATTAAAAAATTCATGCTTGGTCAATTTTAATGAAGAAAGAGGGAGTAGTTAACGCTTGGTTATATTAATATTAATTGGATTATTTATTTGAATGCAAAGGCTCGTGTACTTCTTAGTACTACCTTGTATCTATTGAACAATTGGCATTTAATTGGCGTGAATGAGAGTGAAATGTTTATTTGATAAGCCCGCAGCCTTTGCACGTAGTCTTTATTATATTATATATTATACTAAACCGCAAGTCATTATTTATTAAATATATTATCTGACCGATAAATGAGAGAAAGAGAGATAGCGTTTGATTAAAAACTTAAGTAATTATTAATTAATTAATTATAATAAAATAAAAACAATAAAAATCGCAGTGAATGAATCGAATGAGTGTATGTGAATAATTATCATTTCTTTTTCTAAGATTTATTATAATTTATAACTGGTCATTGTCTATCGTGAGTTTTAAATAAATAACCGACTGACAGATTAATTATTAAATTACTAATGAAGAATAAATAATTTTTAATGAATAAATTTACGAAAACGATGACTCCGGACAAACTAAATATACAATCATTTTGTTTTTTTTTTTTACTTTGATTTATATTTTATTTAACAAAACAAATAATTAAGGATGACGGGTCTTCAAGTAAAAAAATTGAAAAATTATAAATAAAATAGAATGAGAAATTTAAAAATAACATTTAAATATTATTGTGTATTTAGGAGCAAGAAAATGATATAATGTTGTTAATTGATTTAATAAAAATAGCCCAAAATAAATACTTGTTTTGTTTTTTATTATTAAATCACTTTTTTATTAAATACGATGATATTTTTATTACTCACCAAATTTTTTAAGTTAAAACATTAAGATTTAATGTTTATCCTAACTCTGGCAATGTATTTAACATTTCTGAATAATAAACTCACTAGTTTTATTTTCTTGGTATTCTTCTTCTTGGGTAATATCGTTTTTTAATAGCACAACAATTAATTTCACTTTTCTCTGGCGTCATAATTTTTTTAACAATTGATTTTTCACCAACAAACTATCACTTTTTTCAAAATTAACAAAGATAACACCAATTAAAAGCTCTCGGAGACACAACTGATGAGTTATTTTTCAAGTTTTGGCACAGATAAACAATGTTCCGACCGCGCGATGCGCCATGGGACATGTGTCAACAAGTCAACATATCCGGCGGAATTTTATTTAATTTTTCAGCTCCCCTATATTTTTAACCCCCAATAATTTTAATATTAATAATTTTATTTAATTTTTCAGCACCCCCAATTTTAAAATTCTCAATAATATTTATAATAATAATAATAATTTCATTTAATTTTTCAGCTTCCCTATATTTTTATCCCCTAATAATTTTAATATTAATAATTGTATTTTATTTTTTAGCACCCCTAATTTTAAAATCCCTAATAATATTAATAATAATAATAACAATTTTATTTAATTTTTCAGCTCCCCTATATTTTTAACCCCCAATAATTTTAATATTAATAATTTTATTTAATTTTTCAGCACCCCCAATTTTAAAATTCTCAATAATATTTATAATAATAATAATAATTTCATTTAATTTTTCAGCTTCCCTATATTTTTATCCCCTAATAATTTTAATATTAATAATTGTATTTTATTTTTTAGCACCCCTAATTTTAAAATCCCTAATAATATTAATAATAATAATAACAATTTTATTTAATTTTTCAGCTCCCCTATATTTTTAACCCCCAATAATTTTAATATTAATAATTTTATTTAATTTTTCAGCACCCCCAATTTTAAAATTCTCAATAATATTTATAATAATAATAATAATTTCATTTAATTTTTCAGCTTCCCTATATTTTTATCCCCTAATAATTTTAATATTAATAATTGTATTTTATTTTTTAGCACCCCTAATTTTAAAATCCCTAATAATATTAATAATAATAATAACAATTTTATTTAATTTTTCAGCTCCCCTATATTTTTAACCCCCAATAATTTTAATATTAATAATTTTATTTAATTTTTCAGCACCCCCAATTTTAAAATTCTCAATAATATTTATAATAATAATAATAATTTCATTTAATTTTTCAGCTTCCCTATATTTTTATCCCCTAATAATTTTAATATTAATAATTGTATTTTATTTTTTAGCACCCCTAATTTTAAAATCCCTAATAATATTAATAATAATAATAACAATTTTATTTAATTTTTCAGCTCCCCTATATTTTTAACCCCCAATAATTTTAATATTAATAATTTTATTTAATTTTTCAGCACCCCCAATTTTAAAATTCTCAATAATATTTATAATAATAATAATAATTTCATTTAATTTTTCAGCTTCCCTATATTTTTATCCCCTAATAATTTTAATATTAATAATTGTATTTTATTTTTTAGCACCCCTAATTTTAAAATCCCTAATAATATTAATAATAATAATAACAATTTTATTTAATTTTTCAGCTCCCCTATATTTTTAACCCCCAATAATTTTAATATTAATAATTTTATTTAATTTTTCAGCACCCCCAATTTTAAAATTCTCAATAATATTTATAATAATAATAATAATTTCATTTAATTTTTCAGCTTCCCTATATTTTTATCCCCTAATAATTTTAATATTAATAATTGTATTTTATTTTTTAGCACCCCTAATTTTAAAATCCCTAATAATATTAATAATAATAATAACAATTTTATTTAATTTTTCAGCTCCCCTATATTTTTAACCCCCAATAATTTTAATATTAATAATTTTATTTAATTTTTCAGCACCCCCAATTTTAAAATTCTCAATAATATTTATAATAATAATAATAATTTCATTTAATTTTTCAGCTTCCCTATATTTTTATCCCCTAATAATTTTAATATTAATAATTGTATTTTATTTTTTAGCACCCCTAATTTTAAAATCCCTAATAATATTAATAATAATAATAACAATTTTATTTAATTTTTCAGCTCCCCTATATTTTTAACCCCCAATAATTTTAATATTAATAATTTTATTTAATTTTTCAGCACCCCCAATTTTAAAATTCTCAATAATATTTATAATAATAATAATAATTTCATTTAATTTTTCAGCTTCCCTATATTTTTATCCCCTAATAATTTTAATATTAATAATTGTATTTTATTTTTTAGCACCCCTAATTTTAAAATCCCTAATAATATTAATAATAATAATAACAATTTTATTTAATTTTTCAGCTCCCCTATATTTTTAACCCCCAATAATTTTAATATTAATAATTTTATTTAATTTTTCAGCACCCCCAATTTTAAAATTCTCAATAATATTTATAATAATAATAATAATTTCATTTAATTTTTCAGCTTCCCTATATTTTTATCCCCTAATAATTTTAATATTAATAATTGTATTTTATTTTTTAGCACCCCTAATTTTAAAATCCCTAATAATATTAATAATAATAATAACAATTTTATTTAATTTTTCAGCTCCCCTATATTTTTAACCCCCAATAATTTTAATATTAATAATTTTATTTAATTTTTCAGCACCCCCAATTTTAAAATTCTCAATAATATTTATAATAATAATAATAATTTCATTTAATTTTTCAGCTTCCCTATATTTTTATCCCCTAATAATTTTAATATTAATAATTGTATTTTATTTTTTAGCACCCCTAATTTTAAAATCCCTAATAATATTAATAATAATAATAACAATTTTATTTAATTTTTCAGCTCCCCTATATTTTTAACCCCCAATAATTTTAATATTAATAATTTTATTTAATTTTTCAGCACCCCCAATTTTAAAATTCTCAATAATATTTATAATAATAATAATAATTTCATTTAATTTTTCAGCTTCCCTATATTTTTATCCCCTAATAATTTTAATATTAATAATTGTATTTTATTTTTTAGCACCCCTAATTTTAAAATCCCTAATAATATTAATAATAATAATAACAATTTTATTTAATTTTTCAGCTCCCCTATATTTTTAACCCCCAATAATTTTAATATTAATAATTTTATTTAATTTTTCAGCACCCCCAATTTTAAAATTCTCAATAATATTTATAATAATAATAATAATTTCATTTAATTTTTCAGCTTCCCTATATTTTTATCCCCTAATAATTTTAATATTAATAATTGTATTTTATTTTTTAGCACCCCTAATTTTAAAATCCCTAATAATATTAATAATAATAATAACAATTTTATTTAATTTTTCAGCTCCCCTATATTTTTAACCCCCAATAATTTTAATATTAATAATTTTATTTAATTTTTCAGCACCCCCAATTTTAAAATTCTCAATAATATTTATAATAATAATAATAATTTCATTTAATTTTTCAGCTTCCCTATATTTTTATCCCCTAATAATTTTAATATTAATAATTGTATTTTATTTTTTAGCACCCCTAATTTTAAAATCCCTAATAATATTAATAATAATAATAACAATTTTATTTAATTTTTCAGCTCCCCTATATTTTTAACCCCCAATAATTTTAATATTAATAATTTTATTTAATTTTTCAGCACCCCCAATTTTAAAATTCTCAATAATATTTATAATAATAATAATAATTTCATTTAATTTTTCAGCTTCCCTATATTTTTATCCCCTAATAATTTTAATATTAATAATTGTATTTTATTTTTTAGCACCCCTAATTTTAAAATCCCTAATAATATTAATAATAATAATAACAATTTTATTTAATTTTTCAGCTCCCCTATATTTTTAACCCCCAATAATTTTAATATTAATAATTTTATTTAATTTTTCAGCACCCCCAATTTTAAAATTCTCAATAATATTTATAATAATAATAATAATTTCATTTAATTTTTCAGCTTCCCTATATTTTTATCCCCTAATAATTTTAATATTAATAATTGTATTTTATTTTTTAGCACCCCTAATTTTAAAATCCCTAATAATATTAATAATAATAATAACAATTTTATTTAATTTTTCAGCTCCCCTATATTTTTAACCCCCAATAATTTTAATATTAATAATTTTATTTAATTTTTCAGCACCCCCAATTTTAAAATTCTCAATAATATTTATAATAATAATAATAATTTCATTTAATTTTTCAGCTTCCCTATATTTTTATCCCCTAATAATTTTAATATTAATAATTGTATTTTATTTTTTAGCACCCCTAATTTTAAAATCCCTAATAATATTAATAATAATAATAACAATTTTATTTAATTTTTCAGCTCCCCTATATTTTTAACCCCCAATAATTTTAATATTAATAATTTTATTTAATTTTTCAGCACCCCCAATTTTAAAATTCTCAATAATATTTATAATAATAATAATAATTTCATTTAATTTTTCAGCTTCCCTATATTTTTATCCCCTAATAATTTTAATATTAATAATTGTATTTTATTTTTTAGCACCCCTAATTTTAAAATCCCTAATAATATTAATAATAATAATAATAACAATTTTATTTAATTTTTCAGCTCCCCTACATTTTTAACACTCAATAATTTTAATATTAATAATTGTATTTCATTTTTCAGCACCCCCAATTTTAAAATCCCCAACAATATTAATAGTAATAATAATTTTATCTAATTTTTCAGCACCCCTAATTTTAAAATACCCAATAATATAATAATAATAATAATTAATGTTTATTTTTTTCTGTTTTAGCGCCTTATTTCCATGTTCATCAATTTCCACCGTTATTGATGAATATTTATAATAATAACAATAATTATACCGCTATAATATTGTTTATCGAGTGTTTGCATGAGTATAATGATTATTGGTATGTGTGTTGTGTGCTGTGTGTTATTTTTGAGCTACTTCAAGTGGTTTAATTATGTAAGCTGTGTCGGCCGGGTTTCCCTGGGGTTCCCTAAAAGTTTGGCGTTAGAGAAGCCAAACGAAGGCCGGTACAATTAATATCGTTACCAGTTAACGATATTAATTGTAGGTAAATTCGCACAGTTGCGTCCCCAGTCGCGTATTTTTTTTTTTTTTTTTTTTTTATCAATAAAGCGAATTAATTCGCCCAAAAGAAATAAATTCTGACTTTTTATTTAACTCTTCCTTATCCTTTAGTTGTAATTAGTTTGTAACTAGATTATAAGTAGATTATAGATAGATTTAAGAAGGATTGATTCATTTTCCTGTTGCTGTTTACGGATATTAAGGTAATTATATCTCATCTTTTTATTAATTTAAAAAAAAAATATATAATCGTCGAGTCACTAGATTTTAGTTCTTTGAAATATCATTTTTCAAATAAAAATTAGCCTTTATAAATCAATTGTTTAATTGAGAAATGAAATTCTATAAATTAAATAATACATAAATAGTAAAAAGAGAACAAAGTTATCTTTGAATTAGAATTTCCTTGTTCTCGGTCAGACCAAGATACATTTACTTCTCTTTAATTCAACGAAAAAATAATAAAATTAAGTAAATGATAAATAAAATAAAGATAAATTTGAATAAAAAACATTTAAAAAGATTGATTACGTGTAAACGCTCGGTCCGACTAAAACAAATATGTACTACTTAATTTGAAATAGTACTGAGATCATGCTTAAATTTTTGGCGTCTGACTAAAATAATTTTACACTACTTAATTCGAGGTACTGTCCGAGTCAAGCTTAAATATTTTCTGTCTGAACCTAATTGTCTCACTACTTAAAGACTAGGTACTTGACTCGGCATCTTATCGGTTAATAAATAAGAATGTTTCGTTTGACGAACAAAATTTCAGTCTAATACACTGATAAAAGGATTTATTGACTGTTAATAATTTGAATTATTTGAGAGATAATAATTAAATTCTGTGTCATGGCGGTCATGCGCATGCGCGTTACTTTTACAACATATATGTATATTCACGCAAGTAAATCTTGGTACACGCTCTGTGCGTCTCTCGTGGCATGGTTTTCCCAGTACAGTATGGCGCCATCTCTCGCAAAGAAAATCAACTAAGACACACGGTGAATGAAGCCGAGTGTATCCGACAGTTCTTTTAGTCAAATTAGTTTCTCCAGTTTATAAATCATTAATATTTTTATTAAATATCTATTATAAAAGTATTCGCTCTTTATTAGTATATTTTATAAATATATATTTACATCAACAAAATGGTACGTACTCAATAAATAATTTAATATTATTATTTGTAATTTTTAATCCTCATACATTTTATATTATTTTTATAATTTTATCAACAAAATTTTAGTCACGTTTTCCGGAGAATATTAAATAGATAAAATTTTTATTTCATTCAATATTTTATGCATTTATTTATTGAAAAAGCAAACATTAATAAATCACATAATTTTTTTTTTTTAGAGTAAAAAAATGATATATAAGTATATCATCTAGTAGTTGACGGATGTAAATTATCGGTTCGTTCATTCATAACCTTATAAGGAAATTATCAACTTCTGTCTATGCTGATGAAATAATATTTCAATTGATAATTTACAAAATTTTTTCTATCAATTTTATTTTGATAAATAAAATTGAATGCAACGAATAAAATAAAAAAAAAAAAAAAATTAATTTCAGCAACCCCAAATAATATTATTGAAAGAAGGGACTGATGTCAGCCAGGGAAAAGCTCAGCTGGTGTCAAACATAAACGCCTGTCAGCAAGTCGTCGACGCCGTGAGAACAACTCTCGGTCCTCGTGGAATGGACAAATTGATTGTAGATGCCAATGGAAAAGGTACTATCTCCAACGACGGCGCTACTATCCTCAAGCTTTTGGACATTGTTCATCCAGCAGCCAAAACTCTAGTAGACATTGCCAAATCTCAGGATGTTGAGGTAAATTTTTAAATATTAATCAGTCAAATAATTCTCCATTATTTTAATATACAAAATTTTATTTAGTCTATAATTTAGTTTTTTATAATGGAGTATATAAATCATAGAGCATTGGACTAGCAATTTTTTCTAGACTGTAAATTGTCTCAATCATGTTCTTACAATATTTTTTTTATGAATAAAAAAATGAAAATTAAGTTAGCCGACATTTAAAAATTTTTAGAATTTTTTTTTTATTGAAAAAATCATTACAAAAAAACCAAAAAAAAAAAAAAAAAAAAAAAAAAAACAATTTCATTTGTAAAAAACTATAAGTGCAATTTTTAAAAAATATTTTTTAGTTCTAATTTAGTAAATGAAAAATAATCAAAAATTAAAAACGTCGGCTTACTTTAATGACATCATAAAAAAAAACTAATAAATTATCAACAATAGGTTGGTGACGGTACCACCAGTGTTGTCCTATTGGCTGGAGAGTTTTTGAAACAAATAAAACCATTTGTCGAGGAAGGAGTTCACCCGCGTATAATCATAAAAGCATTCAGGAACGCACGAAAAATTGCAATCGAGAGAATCCAAGAATTGAGTGTAAAAATAGAAAAATCAACTGCCGAGGAAAAACGGAGTCTGCTGGAAAAATGCGCCGCTACTGCGATGAACTCCAAACTTATCCACCAGCAGAAGGATTTCTTCAGCAAGATGGTCGTCGACGCTGTTTTGCTCCTCGACGAGTTACTCCCGCTCAACATGATTGGTATCAAGAAAGTATCCGGAGGTGCGTTGGAGGATTCGATCTTGGTGGCTGGTGTAGCCTTCAAAAAAACTTTCTCGTACGCGGGTTTCGAAATGCAGCCCAAGAAATACTCACCCTGCAAGATAGCCATGCTGAACATTGAACTGGAGCTTAAAGCTGAGCGCGACAACGCCGAAGTTCGTGTAGACAACGTTGCCGAGTACCAAAAAATCGTTGACGCCGAATGGCAAATACTCTACGAGAAACTCGAAAAGATCGCCAAGAGTGGAGCAAATGTCGTTCTTTCAAAGTTACCTATTGGTGATGTTGCGACTCAGTACTTTGCTGACCGTGATATGTTTTGCGCCGGTAGAGTCCCTGATGAAGATCTCAAGAGGACCATGAAAGCTTGTGGCGGAGCTGTCATCACCACTGTCAATGATATCGACGACACTGTGCTTGGAAAATGCGCTAACTTTGAGGAAAAACAAATTGGTGGTGAAAGGTAAATAATTTATATTATTAAAAGAATAAAAAAAATTTTTTGTCCAGGATATTTAGGGTGCATTTAAAAATTCTCTCTCTATATAATTAAGAAATGACTTTGTTGTATCTTGTCAACTATTGACATTTTTAAAGATATAAGGTATATTTTGATGTTATACTTATCGAGACCTTTCATTTGAATACTCACATCAATTTTTCATATATTTATGAGTACTCATATCAAATGAAAGCTCTTGATGAGTTTAACATTAAAATGAGCTTATCTTTATCTTTAAAAAAATGTCAATAGTTAAAAAAGTACAGTGCAATTTAACAAAAGTAATTATATTTAATAAAGTAACAATAATATAATTAAATAAATATTTATTATTATTTTAGATTCAACTTTTTCGCGGGATGTCCAAATGCCAAAACTTGTACATTCGTACTTCGAGGAGGAGCTGAACAATTTTTAGAGGAGACAGAGCGGTCATTGCACGACGCCATTATGATTGTCAGGCGTATGATTAAGAATGACGCAGTGGTCGCTGGTGGAGGAGCTATTGAAATAGAATTGTCTCGTACACTTCGTGATTACTCGCGTACAATTGCTGGGAAAGAGCAGCTCTTGATCGGCGCTATTGCTCGCGCTCTCGAAGTTATTCCGCGACAGCTCTGCGACAACGCTGGATTTGACGCGACCAACATCCTCAATAAATTGAGGCAAAAACATCACCAGGGTAAATGCTGGTTCGGTGTAGACATTCTCAACGAGGACATTGCCGACAATATGGACGCCTGCGTATGGGAACCAGCAGTCGTTAAGATAAACGCCCTCACAGCCGCCAGTGAGGCTGCTTGTCTTATTCTCTCGGTCGATGAGACCATTAAAAATCCTCGCAGCGGTGATGCTCCTCAGATGCCTGTCGGTGGTATGGGTCGCGGTATGGGACGACCTATGTAATTTTTTTTATTTTCTATCATCACTACCTTTTTTTCAATTGATTAAATTTTTTTAAAATAAATAAGCAATTATTAAAATACACGCTTCACACTATTTTAATTCACTATTTGTACTGAATACTTGTTCTAGTATAATAAAAACGCTGATTAAACATTTAAAATATTTATTTTTATATCCTATTTTTATTTATAATAATAAAGTTAGCCTTGAAAATTAAATTAGCTGAAATTTAAAAATTTTTATAATTTATTTTATTGAAAAATAATTTTTAAAAGAATTCTGAGAATTTTTTTAATAAATAATCAGGGCTGTAGAATAAAATAGGCGCCAGCGCCCCCATTTTTATGACGCTCACGTGGACTAATATTTATTTATACAAACTCCAAAATAACGAAAGTTTATTTTATAGTATTATTCTGATTAAATAAATAAAACTAATAAGTTTTTTTTTTTTTTTATGTTAATATAATTTATTTAAAGAATTAATAATAATAATAATAAATAACATAAATGTTTATCGCTCGTAATATAAATAATAACAATAAATCTCGATTGATCGTTGTATTCCAACAATTGTCATCAACAATGAACAGGTAATTATTTTTTTATGAGTGTATTTTTCCTTCAAAGTACTCAAATTAATGATTTTTATTTCTTATAAATTTTTAATAACACAATTACAACTTGATATATACCACGTGACTGAGTTGACGTTATAATAGATGTATAGTATGATATATATAAATATAATACACGACACATCTGACATCAGACTTACTGTTTTTCTGACTCATTTTATTATTTTATCACATTAAGTATTAAATAATTTTTCATTAGACATTTTATTAAAAAGTATTAAATTTGTATATTTTAATAAATTAATATATGAGTCATAAATAGCTGATTAGATAATTATATTGTGGTTAGAAAATTCTAGTGACGTACAAAATTGATGTGTTTAGTTGTGTTTTATAAAAAGTACTGTAAATATTATTAACAATGACTTCTGTTACGGACGTACAAGCTCTTCAAGAATTAATGTCTAATTCAATGTGAGTTTTTATTAATATTTCAATAAAATTAAAGTTAGCAGTCACTTATTGAGCATTTTTTAATTTTTTTTAACAAATAAATTTCTTTCAAAAGATTATTAAAAAAAAAAATTGTATTTTTTTTTTTAAATTTCTACATGTCAATTTTCTTTGCCATAATTTATTTGTTAAAAAAATTTTTAAAATTATAGAAAAATTGGCTAAATTAATTTTGTTTGTATTTTTTTAAATCAGAAATTTATCTGGATCAACGGGTGAGGAGGCACCAACTACTTCTCTAGAAATGAATAAGGACATTATTAAAAAGCGATTTGAGAAAATAAAAAAATCTCCAAATGATTCTCAGCTTTACCGAGGATTAATTTTAAATAATAACATGAAAGTGTTACTGATAAGTGATCCTACCACAGATAAAAGTGCCGTTTCATTGGACGTAAATGTTGGTAAGTTTATTTAATTATTTATTTATTTATTGTATTAATTTATTTTAAAAATTTCAGGCTACTTGAATGATCCAGCAGAATTGCCAGGACTGGCTCATTTTTGTGAACACATGCTGTTTCTTGGTACCGAAAAATACCCAGACAAAAATTCATACAACTCGTATCTGTCTCAGCACGGTGGTAGTTCCAACGCAATGACCCTACCGGATTACACTCAGTATCATTTTGACGTAAGTCCAGAGTATCTCGAGGGGGCGGTGGATCGTTTTGCCCAATTTTTTATAGCTCCGCTGTTTACCGAGTCTGCGACAGAGCTCGAGGTTCAAGCTGTTCATTCGGAGCACGAAAAAAATATCGCAAATGACACGTGGCGGCAGGATCAGCTGGAAAAATCATCAGCGGATCCAAATCATCCGTACTCAAAGTTTGGAACTGGACACCGTGGAACTCTGGACTCTGGACCAAAGCAAAAAGGGATAAACGTGAGAGAAGCCCTGCTGGAATTCCACAAGACCTGGTACTCGGCCAATATTATGGCGTTGAGTATTCTTGGAAAGGAAAGTCTCGATCAATTGGAGAAAATGATAGTGGATAAGTTTAGTCCGGTGGAAAATAAAGAAGTAGAGGCACCAACTTGGCCGGAGCACCCCTTTAATGATGATCACTTTGGTAAAAAGTGGGTGATTGTACCGATTAAAGATATACGTGCTTTAAAAATGACTTTCCCATTGCCAGATTTGAGCCAACACTTTCGTTCTGGTCCGGCGCACTATGTATCTCATTTGTTGGGTCACGAGGCTGACGGATCGCTCCTGTCAGCTCTTAAAAAAGCCGGCTGGTGTAATGCATTGGTTGCCGGGGAAAAACGAGCTGCCAGAGGTGGCTGCAATTTTTTTTCCATTTACGTAGACTTGACCGAGGAGGGAATTAATCACGTTGACGATATTGTTAAGCTTACTTTTCAGTATATAAACATGCTGAGAATTAACGGGCCACTTGAGTGGATTTTTGACGAATGCAAGCAGATAGCTAACGTTGATTTTAATTTCAAGGAAAAATTATTGCCAAGAACAACTGTTAATGTAACTGTACGTGCATTGCAAAAGTATCCATTTGAAGAGGTACTCACCGGGCCTTATTTGCCTACCGAGTGGCGTCCAGATTTAATAAATACTGTCGTGGATTGTTTGGTACCTGAAAAAATTCGCATTCACGTTGTGGGTAAAGTTTATCAAAACATCGCTGATCAATTGGAATTTTGGTACGGGACTAAATACGCTATTCAAGTTATTCCAAAAGAAATCATCGAGAGTTGGAGAAATTCGGGATTATCTGACGAGTTAAAAATTCCAAATGCTAATGAATTTATTCCCGAGTCATTTGAAATTAAATGTAATAGTAATAGAGAAGAAATAAATAAATTTCCAAAAATAATTTTAGACACTAGGCTGATGCGTGTCTGGTTTAAACAAGACGACGAGTTTAAAATACCAAAAGTAAATCTTACTTTTGACTTTGTAAGCCCTTATGCGTACCTCGATCCTTGTAACTTTAATTTAACAAATTTATACATACAGTTGTTCAAAGACTCGCTTAATGAGTACGCGTACAATGCCAGTCTCGCACAATTGAGCTGGGAATTTAGTGCCAGTAAAAACGGTATGACTCTTATGGTTGGCGGATACAATGACAAACACCGGGTGCTGTTGAGTAAAATAATCGACAGGATGGTTAATTTTAAAGTTGACAATCAGAGATTTGAAATAATTAAGGAAATTTATATAAGAAATTTAAAAAATTTTGAAGCTGATCAACCGTATCAGCATGCTGTTTATTATTTAGCAGTTTTATTGACCGAGCAAGGATGGACTAAGGACGAATTACTTGAAGCTACTGAATTTTTAACTCTGGACAGGCTTGAGGAATTTATTCCAAAGCTGTTGACTAAAGTTCACATTCAGTGTTTGATTCACGGTAATTTGACGGAATCAGAGGCACTGGAAACAATTAAAATGGTTGAGAATCAACTGACCAAGGATCCACAGGACAGTGAAAAAAGTAAAACAATAGTACCGTTAGTGCCGAAACAATATATACTTAATCGTGAAATAAGTTTGGATAATGGCAGTCACTATTTGTATGAAATAGAAAATAAATTACACAAATCATCGTGTACTGAAATTTACTATCAAGTGGGGTTACAATCAACGGAATCAAACATCCATCTGGAACTATTGGGGCAGATAATATCCGAGCCGTTTTTCGATGTTCTCCGTACGCAAGAACAACTGGGTTACATTGTATTTAGTGGAATACGTCGAGGGAATGGAGTTCAAGGCCTGAGAGTAATAATACAGGGCGATAGACATCCCCAGTATCTGGAAGAGCGGATTGAAGCCTTTATTCACTCGGTTCAGGATCGAATTGTTAACATGTCCGAGGATGAATTCAATCGGCATAAAACTTCACTCGCCAATCAACGTCTCGAAAAACCAAAAAAAATGACTACACTGTCTGCTATATTTTGGAGCGAAATAACTAATCAGCAATACAATTTTGATCGTGCAAACATTGAAGTTGCCTATTTACGTACCATTACTAAATCTCAAATACTTGATTTTTACAATGTAAGTGTTTATATGATATATACCTAATGTTAGCAGCTAACTTTAGTTATATGTTTTTATTTATTAATTAATTAATTAATTAATTAATATTTTTATTTTAAATTTTAGGAAACAATAAAACAATCACCTCAGAGACGTAAATTGTCACTTCATGTGGTATCAACAGCCCCAGGTGGTGCCGGGTTCACTGAAAAATCATCAGAAGAATCATCAACAGCCCAAACTGATGCAACAACTTTGCCAATTAAGATAACAGACATCTTGGCATTCAAATCGAGTCAATCACTTTTCCCAATTATAAAACCCTTTATTAATATTCCAAGAAAGGATCAAAAATCTAAGCTTTAAATTTTATTTTAGATATTTTTTATTTAAACTCTCAGAAAGATAAATCATTGTGAATTTTTTACCAAGCACCTAAACATTAACTATTTTAATGAAATGATACATCACTTTACACTTGTTGTGAGCGCTAGTATTGGCTTTATGGCATATAAATTATAATGATAATAATAATAATTTTTAATAAAGTAAATAATTTTATTGAGTTGATAAAATAATTGTTGTTAATAATAATGTTGAAGTTGTTGAGTCGGTATGTGGTTGGTTGGTTGGTTGGTTTATGCTGGGATATAAAAGTGTATTTACAGCAAGTAAAAGGGAGAAGCAGGTTGTGATGGAGCGGCGGCAATCTGTTGGCTGTTATTTTCTTAATACTTAGTGCATGGCTTATATTATGGGTATTGCTTAGTAGTAAACTCTTTGCGGCGAGAGAGATTACAACTTTTGTCTCTGGTCTCTAGTCTATGATCGTAAGACAGGTACGAAAGGTGCACAACGTGGTGATTGTTGTAGTTGAGTTTAGCTGAGCGTAAAACGACACAACTTTTTTTTCTTTTTTATTTATTTTTTAAAAAAGCACTTACTCTTCAGTAAGTCCTCCTCTATCATTCTACTCAGTGTTCAAAGAGTGCGTTCAACTCGTTCAGAGGTTTATCCATTTTACCATTAGTATTTTTTCCGCGCGTTAATTTTTTCTTTAAATAATAATAATTATTATTAAAATGGTGATTTTATTTAAATATAATTGGTGAGTAAATTTAATTAAAGTCATTTTTTTTTTTAAAATAAAAAATGAGATTCAATAATAATAATAATAATAATAATAATAATAAGAGCGACGAACTCTTGGTCTTAGGTGATACGCGATTTGAATTCAAGGTCACGATAGTAAGTGTAGTAAGGTGTAGTGTTCATTTCTCCTTGTCGTTGTTATCCTTTCTTATCCTTTATTATCCAAAGTTTATCCTGAATCCCCAGCACATAGACGTACATACACACCAGTGCTCCGGTGAGTGTCATCCTCTAAAGTTACTGATATTAACTGTATATATATATATATATATATATATATGTCCCCTTTTCTGATTAATATTATATCCTACCTAACTCGTGTCACTCTTATCAGCTATTATTTAAAACGGCTTAAAACTTTTTTGTCAATATTTTTTATACATGAATAAATTTTTTTTTTTTTTTTTTTTTTTTTTAATTGTTTTACGCTTTAAAACAGTGGTATATAATTTTAAATATTTCGCAAAAAGTAACTTGCACTTAATATTTCTCAATTAAATTTTTTTAACATTAAATTCCAACCGTTGTAAATTAGATAAAAATGATTAAAGCTCGGTAATAACCAGTTTAACCGCAGATAAAATTCTAATTAATTACAAAATTACTTTCACAAAGGATATACGAGTTGGTTTGTTTTTTTTTTTGGATAACCATTGGTGCGTATTAAGAGAATTATAATGGTCTATGGTCTCGTTCTATTTATCGATTGTTGTATATAATAATATAAAAGATCAGAAAGGTGAATCTCGTGTTCCAGTTCTCGAAAATTAGATGATGATAAAAGAATTATTGAGAATAGCTAGTTCCCATCCATAATTCATAATTATTGTTATTATGATATATACAATACAACACGCTCGTGTTATAAATATTATATGGGTTAACAACATAATTTATTAAATTAATATAAGTTAATTTAAGGTAAATTGAAATAATATTTGTCAAAGAACAATTAATCTACCGAGTCGTTTTATAATTGTTAAAATATTAATCTACTGAGTAGTAGAAGTGAAGTAAGTTTAAGTAAAAGTAGCTAGTGAATTGTTCGTTTGATTATACTTAGCACCAGAGGACAAAGCTTTGAATTAAATCTTAAGAATGAGATAATAACAGAATAAGAGAATAACTCTTACTCAAGGAGAGTTATCAATTCCTGCTGTCTTACGCTCCAGTTAACTAATTATATTATTTTCAATATATATATATATTTTAATTACCGGTATGCTACTGATGACCTTTATAGATATATTTTCTTTAGATTGATATACTGTATACATACTAATAATGTAAAAATAAAACAGCTCATTAAAATTACTTTAGCGTTAATAAATTGTAAATTGTCTTTGAAATACGTGAAAAGTATTTACAATAATGAATAAGAGAAATTTAAAAAATATTGTAAGCAGGTAGCAGTGTCGATGCTCTCAAGGTTACAACCAACTGCCTTGATCTTCCTGATGATAAAAATATATATATAATACACAAAACCGGCCCTTATTACTTTATGGGCAAATAATATATTACTTTATGCAACAACTTTTACCAAAGGATCAACGGTCATTTTTTTTTTTTTTTTTTTTTTTTTTTTTTTTTCGTTATTGCAAAGATTAAATTACGCGCAATTACATTTATAATGTAAGTACGTTTAAGTAATTTATTGAGACACAAATGACCGGTTATTATTATGACTTTACAAAATATATATTTAAATCGGTTTTGATTTTTTATTGTGCAAATACTTAAATGCGTAAGTTGATTTATTTATCCTGGAATTGTTTTTATAAACTTTTACTGAGGTTAAAATTTATATAAATATTATTGTAGTTTTTTTAATTGTAGATAAAATAAAATAAAAGATAGACATAAAGATTGTAATTATTTATGGTTAAAGAGCGCATTATTTACTATTTATTGTTTAATTTCTTCACTTTTACTTTACTGGAAATCCATATCAGCGAAAGTATATTTTATCATTAATAAAATAATTTTATAAAATAAGTAATGGCTATCTAAATCTAAAAATTTATTGTCAAAGTTTAATAAAATTTAATACTTGCCAGTACAGTGAATTGATTTCTAGCCACTGGATCACCTCTATTTTAAATGAAAATAAATAAATAAGTTTAATATCTATCGAGAGCAGCAGCCGCATCCGGCTATTCTTAACTTCCTGCTGTCTTTTACCGGATTCTTATAAACTTTCCAGCTAAAATAGTTGAATGTAATTTTTTATTATTTTTATATTTTATATTGTAAGCAGGTGTGTTTACGCCAAGAGAAAACAATTTTTTATTTAAATTGTTAAAAAGGCCGATCGATTTATTATTCAAAAGTTTGTTATTATTGCAACTTAAACTGGGGGAAGTTTACTATTGAGTAGTAAAAGTAGCATTTAACAACAACTGTGTGGGAAGGGGATTAAATATTGTTTAAAAGAATCAAATGGGTAATAAGGATCGCGATCGCCGATCGGCCAACGACCAGTCACTCGTGAAACTTGAAACACAAAACTATAAATCTAAAAATTTTATTACTTATATGTGTATATTTTTAAATTTTAATAATTAAAAAAAAAAAAAAAGTCAAGTACGAGCACGAGTTTTTAAATAAAATATTAATATATTTAGATAAAACAATTTACATGTAGCAGTAGCATCTCGACCTTGATCTTATCCTCGTGAGAAATAACATTATATGCTGGTACTCCAGGGGTTGGTATATATACCTAACCGCAGACACACGGCTTGCTGAATTTTCAAGAGTCACTCATGCAAATATATTGTCTTCCTATACTCACTACATATTCATCCTTTTTTTTTTTATAATTATTATTTATAAATTAAATATTATCATTTTTTCTTGTTACAGAATGACAGATTATTTTCATTAAAAAATGGCCGAGAAATTATTATTCTTTAAATTATTTTTATTACTCTCGTTAATCAACAACTCAACAGGTAAGTCAGATTTATTATTATTTATTAAAATACACGTGCTGCGAATAATAAATTAATCGATAGGATTATTAAATCTCTGCATAAAAAATAAGAAATAAAAAGTTGTTTTAAAGACATATTAAAACAAGGGGTTTTATATTACGTTCAATATCTTCAGTTTGCTATTTATTTTATTATTATTTAGTTTTTTTCGTCCTATTAAATCATACCGTATAAAATCTGGAAAATAAAAAAAAAAAAAAAAAAAAAAAAAAAAAATAATGTTATGACCTTGGCCTACATACCGCCCGGCAAGTGTCAAATTAAATTTTTTAAAATTAAAATTATAAAAATACGACAATTATTCGTACAAAGAAAATAAAATTTTATTTTTATTTTCATTTCTATTTTTAATTATTGTTGTTTGCTTTTGATGAAAGGTTTAATTGCGTTAAAAATTACAGGCGATAAGTTAAGGTAAACATTTAGAGTTAATAAAACAATTACGATTAAACTCGATAATTACAAGTAGGCTGCTGTTTTGCTATTGTTGTTTTTTTTTTTTTTTTTAAACTTTAATAAGAAAAAAATCATTAAAAAATTGAAATTTTTCTTGATAAAATATATTATTATAATAGTGTGTGGAGTAAAAAAGGGAAATGAGAGTGAATATATAAAAATAAAAAAAAAAAAAAAAAATCAAGAGCGAGTGCACGAGCGTGATGTTATACGAGAATACATTAAGTCTGATAACGATCAAGTGTGTTGCGCTTTTTCTTTCTTTATGATAAAATATAAAATTGTTTCTTGGTATAAATTAATTAATACTTAATTATAGGATGCCAATTTTACCCACTGGGCGAGTATTTAAAGTTTGTGAGAGTGCCAGAAAATTTGCCAGTTGGAGCGGAAGTTCTTTCTCTGGAGATTCATCCTCGCAGTCATTTGACAATTATGCCGGTCGATAAGGTCGACTTGTTAATTTATTCACCGTACCCGGCTAATTATAATTATTATTATTATTATTCCAGCAGGATGAAGACGCGCGTTACTTTGCGTACAGAGACATTAATTCAACTCATATATCTGTTATTTTGGCACAATCACTGGAAGAGCTCGTTGACGCAGAAATACCGAGGAATCTTTTGAAATTTCGTTTTGTCTGTGACTACTCGGACGGGGCTAATTCTCTGGTAAATTATTATTATTTTTATTTATTGGTTCTTATTTTTATGGTTGATTGTACGGTTAAATCTCGAGATAAATAAATAATATAATAACGACGTTACAATAAAAATGAAAATGAAAATAAAAATAAAAAGGGATTTGGCTGGTGGCGTTATTTCACGGATGGACAAACTGTGTACGAACAACCGGGTCAGACTTATCGAGACAGTGCAATGAACGCATTTAAAGTGAGTAATTACTTATTGCAATACACAGATAATACAGCATTTGACAACTAAACCTATTAATATATATATATATATATATATATATATCACTAATATACAATAATTCTTGAAATTGTTTACATAAATTTAAATAAAACAAATTATTTTATTGGAATAATTTCACGTTTGTTGAGAAATTTAAACTCGATCCATTATTTTAATTATTGACCTTGTTTATTTATGTGCTTTCTTTTTTCGGTTTTGTATATAAATGAGAGGATGAGGCCTCTTGTGAATATAAATATTCATTTCAAAAGTTTTCATGTGTTTAATAAAACCTTCTTATCTTTACTTTTTTTTTTTTTTTTCTACATGCTGTATTGACAACTACTGACTAAAATTACTGCGACTATATGTACGATCCCCAATGAATTTTTTTAAAGCTTTCAACTCGCAATAACTATGCATGTATTATCATCATCATCCCGTAAAGCATTAAAATAAGAAAAAAAAAGTGTTAAGAGAAATGAAAGAAAAGAGTCAGCGAGTAAAATAACGGAAAAGAAAAATAAAAAGTTAACAAAGCAACCGACGGATGATGCATATATATATATATATATATATATATATATATATAAGAACATAAGAACATAAGAAAAATAACACACCGTTTTTTATTTCTTTACATATAAAAGCTTTATTAATGTCTATATGTATGTGCCAGAGTGTATCGCGTGCAAACTTCCCTAAAGTTTCCGTAGCTCGCGGGAAAATGAATTTTATGCTCAATCTTTTTTTTTTTTTCAAGTTATATTTTACATAATTATAATTATAATAAAATATATTACAGACGTCTTCTCATTTATCTGTCACCGTCTACGTTGAAGATATAAACGATCATGCACCCCAATTTATTAATACACCCTATTATGTATCAGTTGATGAATTTACTCCTCCAGGTAAGTTTAAATTTAAATTTAATAGGTATATTTAAAAAATAATAATAAATTTTTTAAATTTATTAAAGGAATAACGATATTCAGAGGAATAGAAGCGATTGATGGCGACAAACCAAACACGCCAAACAGCGATATCCATTATGCAATAGTAAAAGGGAATGAGGACGGCAAATTTTCACTCGAGTCTGGTCATCGAACTGCATTAATTCTTAGAAAATCTTTGGACTATGACGCCGGTGATAATATTTTTTACTTAGTAATTACAGCAACTGTAAGTTTTAATTAATATTTATTATTGTAAAAAGAAATTTGTATAATAATAATTGAATTTAACAGGATCGTGGTATACCATCTAAAAGTTCAAGCACGACAGTTACAGTAAATGTCCGTGACAATGACGACCTTGGTCCAAAGTTCACTAAAGAAATTTACCGAGCTCGGATACACGAAACTTATCCACTTACAGTAAGTTAAATGCACAGAGTAATAATAATAATAATAATAATAAATAAAATTTTATTACATTTACAGCGTGGCTCTATTCACAAGGAAATTTCAATGGACGAGCCAATCCACGCGGAAGACCAAGACAGAGGAATAAATACACCCGTAAAGTACTCGATAGTGTCGGGAAATGAACGTGGATTTTTTCAAATTGATTCAACAAACGGTTCGCTATTTTTTAAACGTGGTATCGATCTAGATACTGAACGTGCAACGTTGTCAAATAATACATTTACCCTTCAAATTCATGCATCTCAACTGGACAATCCTTTAAAATATTCATTTGCTAAAGTAACCATTGAAATAGTTGATTTAAATGATAATTTACCAGAATTTGAGCAAGAGCACTATAATATAAGTATTGTTGAAAATTTACCAAACGGATTCAGTGTACTCCAAGTAATTGCTCATGATCGGGACCAAGGTGAAAATGGTGAATTTAATTATGAGCTAGACGATGAGTCGGGTGCATTTGATATTGACGGTAAATCCGGATGGCTGACGGTTAAAGACGAAAGAGTATTAGACCGTGAGAGGATTTCGGCTATTAAGATGAAAGTTTTAGCCGTTGAAAAGAAACCCAGTGTTGTTACTTTAACAACTCAGAGTAAAAATTCAAGTTATGTATTTGTACAAGTTAGCATTTTAGATGCTAACGACAATAATCCAATGTTTATACCTGGTAATATTTATGAATTTATGACGCGAACAAACGCTAAAGTTGGAACAGTATTGGGTAAAGTACACGCAGTTGACACCGATCTAGGTAGAAATGGAGTTGTAAGATATGCTATTCAACAGACTGGAAAAAACAACTTCAATAGCACTACCACTAACAATTCTAGTAGTAATAAGTTGGCACGTGTTCCTTTTGCCGTTGAACCACGTACTGGGGCTATATCTGTTGCGGAAAGTCCGATTATTGAGGGGAGACATGCAATCTTTGTTGAAGCCACGGATCAACCAGCGAATCCCAGCGAAAGGAGATTCTCACTGGCCGTTGTCACGGTGGATGTATTTCCACCGGATGGTACGTTACTCATAAAATAAAATAAAATAAAAATCTAATTAACAACACTTTGTAACTTTATTATTTTATATTATTTACTTTCTCTATATTATATATTATATATTTAGATTCTAGAGATTTTAAACCGGATTTCGTGGGGGCTCCTTATGAATTTTGGGTCGGAGCAAATGTCGCTGTTGGTACCAGCGTTGGTCAGATTCGAATAAACGATCCAGCTATAAAAAAATCCGGGGTTCTTTATGATCTTTTACACGGATATCACGAGGGAGGTAATTTTTATCTTAAAAAGTTATAAACCGATTAAATTTAGTAACGTCGTTTGTATATATTGCAGTTCCATTCGCAGTAGAAGAGCAGACAGGAACGATAACGGTGATTGATGAGATTGAACGATATCCCAGAAAGTCTTATGAGTTTGAAGGAGTTGTTACTAATGATAAAGATCTAACTCTAATTACAAATGTCTCGATAAATGTTGTTGATCCAAATGACAATCGAGAATTATTTACCAAGTAAGTTAATAAAATTACTTTGTTTTTTTTTTTTTTTTTTTTTCAAAAAATAAAAGTCATAATCCGTGTAATAATAGGATGTAACTAACTGATGACTGCACGATAAACAATTGTCATTTCGAAAGTGAAACGTACACTCGATGACAAAAGACTGCGGAAGTTTTTATTATTATTCTTTCGAGTGTATCAATTATATTAAATCGATATATATATATATATAGAAAATACTATACAATTAATATTTTTTTTTTTTTATTTTCCAGAGGAACAACACGAGCTCCATTGGTCTATCATGTAAAAGAAAATATGGGAAACGCGTATATTGGACAAGTACTTTCGCGGAATTCAACGTTAAATGTTACGCGTAATATACGTTTTCTTATAGCCAATCAACGCGATGTTCCTGATATAGCAATAACCGAGGACGGTGACCTTTATACAGTGAGGGGTCTTGACCGTGAAATCAAACAGAATTACAGCATCACTGTTATTGCTGAGACGACTCGAGGACTCGGGATATTCCAGGTTAATGAATAATAAATAAATAAATAAATTAAGTATTTTTTAATAATTATATAACTTTTGATTTATTTATTAGGTTACAATCGTTGTTGATGATGTAAATGACAATCCACCGATATTTGATATAGAAAAATACGAAGGTCATTTACCCGAAAATAGTGTCCCCGGTACAGAAGTTTCTCTGAATCGTCTGGTATCTGTTCACGATGCCGACGACGTAGTGAACCGTAATTTTAGTTTAACTCTCGAAGGCGATGCCAGTGATCTCTTTTCAATCGATTCTGATACGGGGATAGTTTTTTTCGCCGGTCGTGGCTCTCATTTGCTCGACAGAGAAAATAAATCCACTTACACATTACGTATTATTGCCGCCGACAACAGTAAGTGAAAGTTACCAACTACAAACTATAAACTATAAACTATAAACTATAAACTGGTTTTTGCCGCAACTTATAATTATTATTATTATTATTATTATTAAATTATTTAATGTTACAGTTAACAAAAATTCAACCGCCTCGTTAGTTATAAATCTCGATGATGTTAATGATAATCCACCGACATTTACTCAAATGATTGTTTCTCCCGACTACGGTATTATTGTATCAAACAATAAAATAAATGACAATGATGATGATAATGATAATGAAAATGATAGTGTTGAAAAATTGAGCAAGGACGGTGAACAGCGTCGGCGTTCACCTTTACTTATAGTACCGGAGAATATAACAATAGGAACTGTGATAATCCGTCTACTGGCCCATGACAAGGACACCTACGACAACAATGCCAAGATAACTTACAGCATTGCCAATGAGACGATATATCCACCTTATCTACACCCAATTTCCGATACACCAACATTACCAACAACACCTTCAAGTTACTTTATTATAAATCCGAGGTCAGGAGAGTTATCTGTCGCTCGTAGACTTCCTGTCGCACGTAAACTCTATTTAAATATTATTGCCTCTGATCCTGACAATTTGACCGATCACGTAACTGTTAGAATGAAAATTGCCGATGTCAATGATCATCCACCGGTATTTAAAAAATCATGGTACGCATTTGATGTCCTTGAGGGTGTTTACAATAAATATAAAATTGGTAAAATAACAGCAGAGGATCTCGATCACGGAGATAATGCTAAAATAAATTACAAAATACAACAACAGAATATTAATATTAATAATGCTAGTGAATTATTATTTGAAATTGGATTGACAACCGGTGCATTGACAGTAACTGGTAATGTTGATCGTGAGAAACGAGATAATTATCAGATAGTCGTGATTGGTTATGATAATGGAATTGTACCGCTCAGTTCAAGTGTCGATATTGAAATAAATATTTTAGATGCTAATGACAATCCACCAAAGTTGTACGGTTTTGTTGAGATTAAACAATCGGTACCTGTTTATTATGCATCTGTTGCTGAAGATACACCAATTGGTACTGTTATTCATCGTATTTATGCAAATGATTCGGATTTTGTTGGTAATGGAAATGGTTTGATTCTATTTGATCTACCAAATTCACAGGATCGACAATTTTTTACAATAAACAGTAAAGATGGTAGCATTTCAACGATAAAAAATTTAAATTACGAGTCTGAAGAATTACACAATGTAACAGTGACAGCCCGTGATTTAGGATCACCAAGTCTTACGTCTACAGGAATTTTGTACGTTAAAGTTTTGGACGTTGATGAACCTCTTGAGGAATTGGAAGCCGAGAGTAAACCGGCCTTCCAGCATCGTTATTACGAAGTTGAGGTCGAAGAAAACTCATCAACGCCCTTAAAATTGCTCAAGTTAAATGTATCTGATAATTATTTGGGTAAAATAACCAAATATGAAATAGTGTCAAATGATAGTGAAATATTGAATTTATTTAACATTGACCCAAATAATGGTACATTATTTTTAATAAAATCAGTTGATCGAGAGTATCGAGATATTTATGAATTTAAGGTCAGAGTTGATCGTAAAACTCCTCGCGGATTACCCTCCGCCGCAGCGACAATGATATTATATCCAATTCAAGAGGATAAACTTATTGATTTGAGGACAAACGAAGCTAAAATAGTTGTACGGGTTAAAGATATTAATGACAATGCGCCCAAGTTCAAGAGTAAAGGTCGTCCCCTATTGGCTGCAGTCCCAGCATCTGCCAACTATGGCTATGAAATAATACGAGTTGAAGCTAAAGATCCAGATGAGGGTATAAACGCCGAAATAAGGTATGAAATATTGGGACGTCAAGATGCTCCGCGGTTTGCTATTGACCCACTAACTGGTCAAGTCCGCTCGGTCGCCAGTTTTACCAGAGAGGCTGGACGAGTTTTTGGTTTTGATGTCAAGGCTACTGATTGTCGAGGCAGTGATAACGGACGCAGCACCATTGCCAATGTTTTTGTAATTATATTTATTGTATATTATCATTTTGATTGTTATGATTATTATTAATATTTTATTACAGGTTTATGTTGTTGATGACAATAACAAACAAGTGGTTATAGTTATGGGAAGAAAACCAACGGAAATAGAAAATCAGATGGAAGACATTACTGGGTAAGTCGTTGGTATTTATAATACAGCTGACCGAGTTTTTAACATCGTAATGATGATTAACGAATTTAACTCGCAACAGAGCGCTGAAAAACCTCACGGGGTTAGATGTCAGGGTGAGAAAATTAGAGCCCCATATTGAGAAAAACTTGATTGATACTACTTGGTGAGTTATCAATTAATCTTTAATAATCCTTTCAAAATCCTTCTTATCGATAAATTATTATTATTATTATTATTATTATTTGTTATCAGTACTGACGTTTATCTGTATGCGGTTGATCCAGATCTAAATGTAATGGTTGATATGGAAACTTTGCACAAGTAAGTTGAAAAGAAAAAAAAAACATTTGAATAAAATTCAAGATATGTGAATGTTATATTGATGCTTTTAATGGTGCTACAGTGTATTTCGTCGAAAGAAATCGGAAATAAAGGGTGAATTGGAGCGATATCGTGTACTTGAGATCACAGGAAACACACTGAGAAATAACGCGAGTAGTTCGAGATATTTGCTGTCTACCCTTGAGGTTGGGGTAGTTGTCCTTAGCTGTCTTATATTTCTCGGTGCACTGATATCAATTCTCTGTGTCGTTTGTGTTCGTCGTAACAAACGGTGAGTAGTAGTTTTATCCTTCCAGCATCTTCAATACTATATTTTAGCATATTTAACATTTACCATCAAGCTTTGTACTCTCTATTGTTAACATAAAATAATAATAATAATAATAATGTATAGATGTACTGGGACTTTTTTAAATCTTTTTTGTAGGGTATTCGGTAACATCAATGGTGTACCATCAACTATGTGACTACTATTATTCTGTGATTATCTGATTCACAGAAGCTCGCTTTATATTGTATTATATATTTATTTAATCTGATGCGGTAAATAATTCCAGTGGTAGCTGCTGTTCCTGCCAGAGAGAATAAACCTTAATCCACCATTTTTAAAACCCGCATTAATAAATATAAACTGTCTTTCTATTTATTACTCTTTTTATACCTACTACTAGTGAATTTAAACCAAATATAGTTTATCATATTGTAAATAAATAAATAAATAATAATAATGCATGATGTAGATTTATTGGCTGATTAGTTTAATAGTAAAGTTGCTCCATTATTTATCATTATAATTAAATATATAAAAGTATTATAAAAAGTTATAAGGGGTTAAGTAACTTTTTGATAGAACGGGGTGGATGAATAAATAAAAAAAGTGATGATAGGAGCTCAATGAATTGTTGTTGGTTAGCCATGGTCATGAGAGAAGACTAGATCCATCATCAGTAGCAGCAGCAGCAGCAGCAGCAGCAGCAATGTTTTCACCAGTTGGTTTTGCCCTGACTGAGCCAACCGCAGCTACCTTGAGGAAATCGGCCTCGTTATTTCCAAGTTTGGTTGATGGCCTTCGTTATGACCCAGAACCCTTTGCCATCGACACCAGGAGACTCAGTGTCTGTGAACATGAACCGGGATGCCTTCATCACAGGTAACTTGATAAAATTTTTAATTCATTTTTATACACAACATATATTACTGCAGCATGAAACAATCATATTACATATTAATAAATAATTTATTATAATTTTGGATTTTGGGATGCTGGTGTTGGTTACACATAACAAAATGTGATGCGCATTACAAATAGTTCTATAAGTAGTTGTTTAGTTGTTTAGTTGTTTAGTTGTTTAGTTGGGTGTGTGAGTGTGTGTTATTAAATTCACAGTCGGTCGCGTATTACTGGCTGTGTTGGAGATTCAAACAACATTAACAACAACAACAACAACAGCAATAGAATCACGACACGAGGAATTTCTAATGGATGCATTGAAGCTTCAGCAACCTCTGTACATTCGAGCGGACAAGATTCTGGAATAGTTGCGCGTACTTGTCATTGTGGACATGGACACTCTTCAACCCCTTCAAGCGGTGAAAGCAGCAAGTTTGTACCCTTTTTTCTTTTTTTATAAATTTATTATCTTTGTTTATTAAATCCACCAGCACTCTACTATTACTACTCACGCTCCAGTATATCAATCACTTTAATGACTTTAATGACTTTAAGCTTTCGACAAATAACAAAATTCTTCTTGCACCATATTATTATTTTTTAAACATCATTTATTATTTAATCTCACGATATTTATTTATTATTTTCAGTGGATACGAGGATTCTCTAAAGTCACTCAATCGCAGCGGTGACAATGAATTTGTTGTTAATGATAAAAAACAACCAGTGACCAGTTGCTCGAGTAACAGGAGACGCACTCGATTAAATTCATTTTCAAATTGCGAGTCATCGATTTACGCCAGAGACACTAGTTTAACTCGGGAGATGCGTTATCGGACGGAAGTTGAAAAGAGACGAATACAAGATCGACCCTTACCGGAAATTCACGTTTCAAGAACTATGATCAGACAGCAGCCAGCCGGTTCTTCTGATTTTAACCACAGTATGACGAGTCTCAATGGTAAATTTCATTTTTTTTTTTTTTTATTTAATTATTATCATTTTACTATTATTAACTTTTAAAAAAATATTCTTATAGGTCCAACAGGATCAAGTCACTCGTTGTTCTGGTGATACCAAAGGCTCATTGTAAATTGTTGTAAATAAATTTATAATATTATTATATATAATTAACGAGTTAATTGAATTTACTTTTTTTTTTTTTCTCCATCAATTAATTGTTTTCCATTGATCAATTGATTTCGGTTAGTTGTATAATTGATAAAATAAAATGTTTGTCCCTGACACAAGACAAAACCGAGGGATAATGAGTTGGCGTTTTCATGTACTACCATCAGGAAAACAATTACAATTGGAGCAACCCATTTACAGATGATTCATTTATACTTTTTAATCTCTTTACCAATTATTTTTTTTTTTTTTTAAAAAACAAGGGCACCTATATATTTATATACTTACCAATTAAATACAAACTTTTTAAAGTTTTAAGTAAATCGGTGCTGGTGGTTTTTTTTTTTTTTTTTTTTGGTCTCTTGCTGTTAATTGTTTCCTTGGTAAAAACTATCCACAAGCGAGCCTCAAGGTGATGCGTTAACAAACTCGTGGTTGTTGTTGTTGTTGTGTGCCAATGAGACAAACTTGCTCAAAACTGGGATAGGACCTAGAAAAAGAAAATGATGTAGATATATATATATATTTTGAAAAAAATAAAATGAAAAGGAAATCGATTGAACTGGGGGAAAAAAAAAGAGAAAGAGAAAGAGGAAGAGGAAAGAGGGAGATTAAAAGCCAAAGCTGATTCGATGGACGTTCCCTTGACCGAAAGCAGCCTATCGAGTATATATAAAGTGTATACGTATAGGATATACAGGGCGAGACACTTTACTTGGGACTATTGGGGATGGAAACTAAACTAAACCTCGAACCTCGAACCTCGAACCTCGAACCTCCAGTTACCTCGAGTTACCTCAAGTCACAGTGATTTATCTTCAACAGTGTTATGTTATATATGTAGCCTTACCTCTAGAGTTATCTATACCAACATAAATTATTAAATCTACAGTCTCAAGTGTTATATGTTGAGCTATTAGCTATTAACTATTAATATTTTATTTGCTAAACATACATCATCACCATCAAAACGTCAATTTATTAATTTATTAATTTATTAATGACACCTAAACTTTTACTGACGTTTCTCTACATATTAATTATTATTATTACTTTGGTAGATACATTTATAAATATATAAATAGATATACCCTGATCTTTACCAGTGGTAAAGTGGTAGATTGATAAAAAAGTATCATTAATCAATTTGCGACCTCAACAGTTACGCGAAAGATAGATTAATAAAAAAAAGCTTTATTTCACCTTTTTTTATTTCTCCTTTTTAAAAAATTAATCACCAATTACAAGTGATTTATTTAATTAATCATTCATCAACAGTATAAATTGTTATATAATAATAATAATAATAACTAGGATTAAAGTTTAAACGAAAATATATATATATATATATATATATATATTATAATTTATAATTTATAATCTAGTTTGTTGGGATGAAGAAAAGTTTCATTATTTTCTGCGACAAAGTTTTAAACGTTTGGACTTGAATGGAACTTAAAATAAAATAGAGAGCAAGTAGTTTAAGAGCTAGTTTTTAATATCGATATATAAGTATACACTAAAAGTATTCTGGTTTTATTATTTTAAAATGAAAAAGTCAATATATATATATATATATAGTTGGTGGTCTAATCTTGGTCCTTTCCTTCAATTTATTAATAATTATTTTTTAATTATTGTTTAATATTGATTTTATTTTTAAAATTGTATACGTAGAAAAGGTGTTAATAGAAAGGGTACTTTTTATTTTATAAATAAATTGTAAGAAATTCGACCTAATTTAGCAGGCTGTGCTCGGAAAAGCACTTTTCTATATATACTATAGATCTATAAATGTATAAATGTGTGTGTAAGAGGTGAGATGATCGTCGGTCAAGTTTGAAAGGTGAAGTTATTCATATAACAGACAACACATTACTCTATTTAAATATGTAAACTAATAATAATAATAATAATAATAATAATAATAATAATGAGTACCTTTTTAATATCAGTGTCAAAGGGTCATTTTAAAAATATTTCATTAGCTTTTGAAATTATTTTTTAAACTATAGAGTATAATTTAAAAATGTAAAATGATAAGTTAATGTATTCTATATTTGAAATGAGAACGAAAATTGATTTTAAAAGTATAGAAATAAGTCTAAAGTCTAGTACAATCTTATGTGTCGGTATAATAAATCATTTTTCAACTTGTATGTATGTATGTACATAAGTAATCAGACAGTGTCTGACAGTCGATCACCATCTTATACCCATTTAATAATAATAATAATAATAATATTTTAATAATAATAATACTGACCTACACTTTTATATATAGTTATTATATATTTACCATTTCTTCCTCTATATAAAAGATCAATGACAGTTGTTTAAATAAATTAAATTTTAAATTCAAATTTTACGCGGTGATAAAATAAATGCTGAGGTTTATATTCAATTGAATAAGATGTGTCCGGTGGTAATAAGAATGATAATGAAAATCAACTGATTAATGCATTTAAAATGAGTTTTTTTGATCGGTTAAATAAATATTTATAATGATGTAGGTGGTTATTGGCTAATGCTTCATCATATCATGCTGCTATACTACTGAAATAAACTATAACATATAAAGTAACTAGTATGTATAATATCTAGGTATTAGTTTAACTGCATGTGCTCCGATCCAATTGAATCTAATACTACAACAACCAGCTAACAGCTAACACTGCTAACACTGCTAACACTGCTAACACTGCTAACAGAGCTAACAGAGCTCTAGGAGCCACCTAACCAGCGGATGTAGCATTGTAGCGTCTGCGCAGTATTTTGTTGAGCTTTGTCAGATAGCCCGTCGGTCTCACCGTATTTCGGACGCATCCAACAGCCAACAGCCAACGGTGCTCCAGTACGCGATAGTCACCTAAACCAGAATCATTTATCCCCGAGCATCCTTTAAATTAAATTCAAACAAAACAACAAACTAACACATTTATCACATAAAACTCTAATATTTTTTTATTTGATAATTAAAATTTAAATAAATAATTGTGTTAAAAGTTTAAGTGAGTGAAAAAATTAAACAAACACGTGAATTCAGGTAAGCAGGTGGACGGTTAAACGCAGGTAGCGCAGGCGTATAACCAGGAGCGGGAGCTTTTTACAAAATATTATTTTCAATTAAAAATGGACTGGTAATTTTATTTATTTATTTAAAAAAAAATAAATTAAAAGAAGAAGAAAGAAGATTGTTTGATTGATTGTAATTAAATGAAAGAGAGGGTGCTGACATAATTGTCGGCTTGGTACCAATAAATGTTGCAACCGCCTTCTCCGCCACTGCTGGAGATGGCATCTCTCCGTCTTCCAGACTCGGAGGAATTTGACCTGGAGCCACGACACCGTACCAGTGGGAATGTCCAGGTGACAAGCGGTCCACCATCAGCCCCTATGTACCTCGCAAACGACGTGTTTGTCCAGACAAAAGAGGATATCAGAGATTACTTTAACAACTCGTTGAGTGAATTGGTGACCGGGGGCTCAAGAGCAGCCCTGGAAGAGTCAGGTTCCGGGGGTGGTGTTGTCCTATTTAACAGCAGCCTTTCAACAGACTCTGGGGCCATCCCCGTAGAGCATGTACCAGATCGTTTTTACAGACACAGTGTTGCTATGACCGCGGTGTATTGTGTCGCTTATATGCTGGTGTTTAGCATTGGACTTGTTGGTAACAGTTTTGTTATTGCTGTTGTCTATCGTTCCCCAAGAATGCGCACTGTTACTAATTTTTTCATCGTTAATCTTGCGGTTGCTGATGTACTTGTAATTGTATTTTGTCTACCTGCAACTCTAGTTGGTAACATCCTAGTCCGTAAGTATTATTTTTTATTTATTATTATTATTATTATTATTATTATAAACTATATATACTGCATATAGTTTTATTTTTTTTTTCTTTTTTTGGTTTGCCTGAGGGTCTACATCTTGTCTTTTTTGTCGCCTAAACTCTATTTTCTTGTAATCGTTCGATTACTTTTTTTTCTTAGTTGACAAAGTTTTATTTGTTTTTAACCGTGACCAATTTTTGTTTTCTTTTAAATCAACTACTGGTAAAACAACAATAGAAACAACAGCTATTGCGAGAGTTGGTTGTAGCACCAGTGGGAGCAGTTTTGGAGATCCATTTGCCAGTACGTGATTTCAGAGGAACTCCTGGAATTTGAAATCTCTGATGCGCGGTACATATACATAAATACATACATACAACACATTTACAAGGACAAGAGACAATTTGTACGTTCAATGGACACCTTGACCTTACACAAACCCTCTGTTTTACTCCAAAAAAAATATATATATATATATATATATATATATATATATATAAAAAAAAAAACTCTGAGCTATTTGCATTGTGCTGTTCCTCTACATAAAAACTAAATTACATTTTATCCCTTATTGTATTTCTGCTGGATAAATTTCAACTTTTCAAACTAATTTATTGATCAATTAAAAAAAAAAAAAAAAAAAAAAAAAAAAATTAAACTTTAACTTAATTCAAAACTCACCCTCAGAGTCTTTTTTTCTTTATTTATATATTTAATTATTCTTCTTTTCGAGTAAAAAAAAATTTACTCTTGTAGGTATTTATTAACTTTCAGTGATTCATTTCCAAAGCAACACTGAAACGCATTTCATCCCTTTAACCGAGTCCAGAGCAAGTTTTTATTAAAAAAAGAAAAAAAAAAAAAAAAGAAATACGATATAATAGTCGTATCAGGATTTAACATTACTCTTTTTTTTTCCTTTTTCAGCATGCCCTTAGGACTTGTCCCGACTATTCTACTTAACCCTACATATATTGTTTTTTTTTTTATTTTAATATTCCTCTACTTGAACCCATTTATTTTTTTTTCACTGGTTAGTGAAAAAAATAATTTACGAAAAAAAAAAAAAAAAGAAAAATAAAAGTAAGCTGATTAAGAATAAATAGCGACCTTGTATTTTCGGAGTGTACAGAATAACATAAAATAACAGATGGTTGTGTTGTACAGAATATTGTTATTTGAGTTATACTTATATACATATCAATATACACCACATTTAGCCACTTGTTTCTTTCTCTTAAAAGCTATTATTATGCACAAGTACCTGATCGTTAAAGCAGCGGAGTAACCTTGGTTAATGTCGATATCAATTCAAATGGTAATTGTTACAATACTCTCGATATTCACAATATTCACGTGATTTTCATTGTCATACGCTGCTGCATGAGTATATTCCAGGAAATAACTCATCACTCACTCACTCACTAAAATTTATTATCATTTTTGTTTAAACTATAAATTACTCTTTACCTTCATCATCCCCGTAAATTATAAATATAAATAATAAATAAAAAAAAAAAAAAAAAAAAAAAAAAAAACAATTCAAAGGGTTCTTTAAAAATGGATTATCAGTATATAGTACGGCTATTGAGTGCTGGGGTTAATGTCCTAAGGTGACCGCGTGGGTCCCAACGCTCCCTTTCTCACTTAAATAAACTTTAATTGTTTTACTGTTTTATATTTTATTTGTAAGACAATACACCGTTTAGACTAAAATATTTTCAAGAAATTCGAAACTTTTATAAGCAATTTCAATTAAATTAAATTAATAAGTAACATACTGAGAGAAAGAGAGTTAATTTAAGTGGTGAGGTTTGTGTCTTGGAGGCTTTTGTGGTAATATGTATATCATGTCGCGTATATATTAAGAAGAGAAGAGAATTAGGAGTATATAATAGTTTATATTCGTTTGTGATGCAAGTTACGCGGTGTATATAGGTACTCAAGCAGGAGTTTATGAATATTCAAAGGAACGTCTTGT